TTTTGTTTATTCTTTATTTATATTATCAAAATATCCATATGACTCTTCTCTATTTCAGGTAAAAATGAGCTACATGTACCAGAAAAGATATTGAAAATTTAAAAACTGTTTTAACAAGAGCATCATAAAATATAAAAAAAAAAGAACAATACCAGGTCTGGACCTTTGTGACTGCATGCAATTAATTCTAAAATACCAGGAAACAATATGTAGCTGCACAGCAGACATGGCAGATCTTAAAATTGCTAATAGGCATCAACTCAACATTTTCAAGCTGCATTTAAAAGGAAAAGCATTCCTTTTCATAGAATCCAAGATTTTTTTAACCAAGTCAAGTGGTTATTAGACCTGTTATCATGAAAATACTAACATATATATTAGTATTAACAGTCACATGTAATATCCCAAATATAAGAACTATTTGGTATGTGTGACTATCTTTCTTCCCATGTCATGTTACATGTATGCTCAGAATATATTAATGTCTCAAGGATATGAAATGGATAAATGATATATTGTCAACCATTTAAATAAAACAGACAGGCTCACATATAAATTAACTGTCTATGTGAAAGTTCAAGTTGACTAAAATTGTCTAGAATTAAAAAAACATATATCCAAAAGTACAGAATTGCCTTTCTCAGAAATTTTGTATGTTTAATAGAATGATACTTGTAGCTTCTATTTTCTTGGATCTGTATCAATATAAAATAGGGAGATGTGGTATGATCGCCAATGCGACAACTTTCCACCAGAGACCAAAGTAAGTGTTAGAAAATACAGGTATGTATGGCATTGTGTATCAATCTATGAAAGACACAAAGATTACAAAGTGTAAAATAATTCCGACAAGATAACCAACCATCAAGGCTTCCTCTGGTCTCCTCTTAAACCAGCCAACTCACTGAAACTAAATATAACAGCCAATTACAGTCATATTCACAATAGGTACTATTTTGGGTCAACAGAGAATTCAAAATAGCCACCAAAGGCAATGAAAATTAGAATGAGAACTCAATAGGATATTGACTTGGATTATTTTCAACTAGGTTTAATATAAATGGTCCCAGTTTTCATGAACAAATGAAATGGAATCAAATGATCCAGGAATATTCAGTCTGTCCAACACTTTTGAAAATTTGTTTTCGGTGCTTTTAATCACAATATGTTATGTTCAAGCAGAGACATACTACATGAAAACGTAGTTAGCTGGTTGTTTTGAGGGATTGAATTCTGTTCTTGGAACAAAAACATAAAAAAAGAATGACACGAAATAAAGTAAATGGGGAATCCAGTTTTTCAAACTATGTACATAGTTTGTATTTGAGTTTTCGACTTAGTGGTTTAAGTTTTAATAGTGCTCCTTATGCCGCAGTCACACAAAGCCACGATCGCACTACGATCTCTGAAAAAAAATGCAAATTTTGACGATCGTAGTGCGATCGTGAAGATCGCAGTAAGGTTGTGGTGAGGTCTTCATGATCGTGATGAGCGTGGCCAACTTTGAACATGTTCAAAACAATCGTGGTGCGGTCGTGCCGAAATCAGGTCGTAGTAGAAGCGTAGCGAGAGCGCAGTAAGGTCGTGCTAAGATCGCTGTACCATCGTAGCGAGAGCGTATCGTAAGCGCGAATCTAGTCAGAGAGATTGCGCTACGATCTCACAGCGACGTTATTACGACCATTATGTTCTCCCCGCGACCAAACAACGCTTCTACTACGACTATACCACGTTTATACTACGCTGTTCAAAACCATAGTACCAATGGCGGATCCAGAAGGGGGTTCATTTGAATGGGGACATATATGGTTGGAACCCCCCCTTTTTAAAATGGCTGGATCTGCCCCTGAGTACGATTCTAGCACGCTCATCAGAGTCGGATTTAGAGGGTTTTCCAGGGGGCCCGGGCCCCCTTTTGTGGGAAAAATTTTGGTTGATTATATAGGGAATCACTGAAGCATGACTGGAGCGGGCCCCCTCTTAGGCAGTCAGTGGGCCCCCCTTATGAAAATTTCTGGATCCACCACTGCTCATGCCGTCCTCATCACGCCCGTCTTACGACCTGATTACGTTCATACTACGACCATTTCGAGTTCTAGCCATGCTCATTGTCATCGTCACATAAAATATATAAAAGCTCTCCATGTTTTGTTTGTCTGTATGTAATTTGGACCTCATGACCCTAATATTCAACAGCTCAACCATGCTTTACACATCTGTATCATTCCCCGTGGGTATCATTCCCACTTTTGTTCAATAAAATATCGTCAGTTGATCTGGATAGATCAGCAATACGTTGTGATTCAGGTTTGATTGGTTGATCCGACATCTCTACTGGATCAGGATTCGTACCAGAGGCCCCTCTGACTACATTTTCCGCCACCACCACGCCCACGAGTTCTGGTAGATATGGATCGTGATGTTGACGTTACTGCTGAGGGCGTAGTTAGATCGCGGTATAAACGTGGTAATATCGTAGAATGATCGTGGTAAGAGCGTGCTATAATCGCAGAAGAAGCGTGGTGAGATCGGATAAATCGTGGTATGGTCGTAATGAGAACGTGATAAGCGTAGTAAGATCGAAATAATCGTAGTAAGGTCGCAGAATAAGCGACTGCTGCGTGGTGAGAACGTGGTATATTCGTAGCAAGATCGTTGTAGAAGCGTAACGAGGACGTAGTAGCATCGCGAAAACAACGAAAATCTACATTTCATGCCGCTCTTATCGCGACCTCACCACGATCTGAATTTATTTTAGATCGCGGTGAGCGTGATGCGATCGTGGTCTAGTGTGACTGGGGCATGACATGCATCTGCCTGCTGAGATTACACAATTGAAATCCACGCTAAGAAAACCTACAAATAATTCTACTGCTTATTTCCTCAAATTGAAAAAAAAAAAACACCTAAACACAATGAAACCCGTGAAATCATCGGCAGATCCAGGGAGTGTTCCTGGAGCCGGAATCCCCTTTCAAAATGACTGGATCCTCGCCTGGAATTAATATATAACAGGTTGTGGTCAAAGGGTGGATCTGTCCTGTTTATTAAATAAATGAAAGGATAATATACAGTCTGTTTTTGTTAGATGTATTTCTATTTGATTCCATCTGATGAGTTGATGCCTTTTTTAACTGCTTTTTATGGTTTTTTCTTATATTGGAATATTCTACCATAGCCCTGCTAACATGTTTAACCCCTCATTCTGCATGAGCCTGTCCCAAGTCAGGAGCCTGTAATTCAGTGGTTTTCGTTAGTTGCTGTGTTACATATTTGTTTTTCGTTCATTAATTTGTACATAAATTAGACCGTTAGTTTTCTCGTTTTAATTGTTTTGCATTTGTCATTTCGGGGCCTTTTATAGCTGACTATATTCGGTGTGAGCCAATGCTCCGTGTTGAAGGCCGTACCTTGACCTATAATGGTTTACTTTCATAAATTGTAACTTGGACGGAAAGTTGTCTCAATGCCACTCATACCACATCTTCCTATATCTATATATGTATTTACGGCTTTGCTCATTGTTGAATGCCGTACGGTAACCTATAGTTGTTAATTTCTGTGTCATCTGTCTCTTGCGGAGAGTTGTCTCATTGGCAATCATTCCACATCTTCTTTTTGTCAAGACTGCGACTTTTGTCGCAAAAGCGAGACATAGCGATCCTACATTGCGGCGTCCACAAATATTCACTCTGTGGTTACAGTTTTTAAAATTTTAATAACTTTCTGAAACTATCATCGATTTCTACCAAACTTTGAAGGAAGTTTGTTTATGATTATAAGATAGTATCCAGAAGTAAATTTTGTAAAAAAAATCCTGTTTATCCGTATTTACTTATAAATGGACTTATTTTTTCTGCCAGTTAGCATTACATTGACTGGGTGTTAAAAGTTTTTAAAACTTGGATAGAAGCTTGTTTATGATCAAAAGCTAGTATCTACTGTTTTTCCGTATATTACTTATAAATGGACTTAGTTTTCTTCCAGTTAACATTACATACAGTCTGCAGTTAAAGTTTTAAAAACATTTATTAGATTCAAACCATCCTGGATTTTAACCACACTTCAGTTGGACAGAATCAAAAGATAGTATCTAGAGGAAAAAAATCAATAATTTTCCCCATTTTTGTTGAGCCTGCTACTATAACACTTTTACAACAAAAGTAGGCGAGACACTGGGTTCCGCGGAACCCTTACGATTTTTTTCTATAAACTCTTTAATATATATAAATGATAAGATGAAAAGAAAAGAAAAAGTCGCAATAATGTATATTTATGTACATATTATATGATTTCACACTGACAAATACAGAGTGGTCCTAAAATATTCTGTTGTCTAAGGTGCTGTCATAAGCCTGGGAACAGTATATCTAATATAGTCAATATGTATGTTCCTGCATAAGCAAGCCGCTTTTGTTGTAAATAGATAAATAGTTCATCCTTTTATTAATAGAAGAATAGTCTATATTAAAAATAAAAAATGAAATAATCATCACTGACTCAAGAGTAACAGAAGTTAAGAACTATCGAACAGTTGAAATACAACAACCTGGTGACACGTTTCATGAAAGGAGCATTGCAGTTAGAATGCAAATTACCTGTGAGTGTCATCAAATCGTTAATATTGTACAAAAATATGTGCACAACGGAAACAAATAAATTTAAAGTCTTTTTTTTAAATGTTGCCATTTTATAATCATATATATACCTATTATGGTCCCTATTTAAACATGTGCATGGCTGTAATTAATACGCGTTAGTTTGTAAACAAAACTGTATTGACCTTTTAATTTTAGAATAATAGAGTTCAAATATATCAATATTCATGTTATAACTTATTGTCATTTTGACGTAAATGTTTTTAAACCAATGGCAAGATATGATTTATTTTTCAATAATCTCTGATATTTACTCAATTGATATGGTAAAGTACCAACAGGTTCGAATAAGATCTTCCCAGCATATTATCATTGGTTTCCCTCCCCCTTACTTATATTCCCCTGCAGAAACCCAACGTGTCCGATATTCATCAGAATTTTAATGTATTTATTGACTAATTGAAATTTGAACAAAGCGAAAAGTATGTACAACAAATTTAAAGTACATTGTTTTTTCTACATGTAATTAGTTTTTACCCATGTAAAAGGGTAGCATTCCGCACCGTAAGGCGTAACTTAAAAAATAAATGACCCTGATTTTCTTAAAGGTTATAATTACCCTGTGATATATGTCAGTATATATGTATCTGTATACGTCATCATGTAACATTAACTCATCTTTAAGACCATCTTTCAGAATCTCATAATTGTTGTCTGAATATTTTCATTGTTAAAAACACATGACACCTTGTATGACTTTGTTTTGTTACTGTTACTGTTAGATTACTAAATGCAAAATGAAATGATAAAAATTATAATTTTATACTTATTTTGATAAAAGCACAATAAAGAAAGCACTTCCAAAAATGGAAATCAATGGATTAACATTGCAATTAACAATTGGCAATTCAGTTCAGTTTAGATTAATATATAATAAAATGCTCCGCAGGGCGCAGCTTGATACGACCGCAGAGGTCGAACCCTGAACAGTTGGGGCAAGTATGGACACAACATTCAAGCTTGATACAGCTTTGCATTTGGATTGTGATTAAATATTTGACACAGCATAGGTTTCTGACACAGAATGAATGTGGTCTAAGAACTTAAAAATTTTAAATTGGACATTCACCTATTATGGTCCAATATCCAAAATCTAAATACATGGTTAGATTCAGCATACCAAAGAACCCCAAGAATTAAATTTTTGATGAAATCAAACAAAGTTTAATTTTGGACCCTTTTGACCTCAATGTGGACAAAGTTGATAACGGGGCCCAAAAATCAAAAATCTAAATACATGGTTAGATTCAGCATATCAAAGAACCCCATATATTCAATTTTTGTTGAAATCAAACAAAGTTTAATTTTGGACCCCGATTTGGACCAACTTGAAAACTGGGCCCATAATCAAAAATCTAAATACATGTTTAGATTCAGCATATCAAAGAACACTTAGAATTCAATTTCTGTTAAAATCAAACTAAGTTTAATTTTGGACCCTTTGGACCTTAATGTAGACCAATTGGAAAACGGAACCAAAAATTAAGAATCTAAATACACGGTTAGATTCAGCATATCAAAGAACCCCAATAATTCAATTTTTGATGAAATCAAACAAAGTTTAATTTTGGACCCTTTGGACCTCAATGTGGATTAATTTAAAAACGGGGCCCAAAATCCATAAACTAAATACACTGTTAGATTCAGCATATTAAACAACCCCAAGAATTCAAGAATAAAACCCCATTGAAATTGGTCAAGAAATAAGCAACTTATACGAAGTATCTTCTTTTGCACAATACTGTGCAATTAAATATTTCTTGCTATTGCGCAATACTGTACAATTGACAATTTCTTGCTATTGCGCAATATTGTGCTATTGGATATTTCTTGCTATTGCGCAATACTGTGCAATTGAAGATTTCTTGCTATTGCGCAATACTGTGCAATTGAAGATTTCTTGCTATTGTGCAATACTGTGCAATTGAAAATTTCTTGCTATTGCACAATACTTATTATATAATAATTTACACATCCTGCTTGGTGTGTATCTCCTACCATATCATTATTATTTGCTTTTAAATATAAATCAGAAATAACCAACTTAAAATGGAAAATTTTAAAAGAAAAAAAAAGGAAAAAAAGAAAAAAAAGGAAAAAAAAAAAAAAATCCCCCCCCAAATTTTTTGAACCCCCTTATGATTCATCACCCCCAAACTCAATCCCAGCCTTCCCTTTGTGGTATGGTACCTTGCAGTACAATTTCAGAGAGATCCATACACTTGAACACAAGTTATTGTCTGGAAACTAGAAAAATGCTTGTTTTTTGCCCCTTTTTGGCCCCTAATTCCTAAAATATTGAGGCAATTACCCCCATCATCAATCCCAGCCTTCCCTTTGTGGTATGGTACCTTGCAGTACAATTTCAGAGAGATCCATACACTTGAACACAAGTTATTGTCTGGAAACTAGAAAAATGCTTATTTTTGGCCCCTTTTTGGCCCCCAATTCCTAAACGTTTCAGCAATTACCCCCAAACTCAATTCCAGCTTTTCCTTTGTGATATGGAACATTGTAGTACAATTTCAGAAAGATCCATGCACTTACACACAAGTTATTGTCCTGAAACTAGAAAAATGCTTGTTTTTTGCCCCTTTTTGGCCCCTAATTCCTAAAATATTGAGGCAATTACCCCCATCATCAATCCCAGCCTTCCCTTTGTGGTATGGTACCTTGCAGTACAATTTCAGAGAGATCCATACACTTGAACACAAGTTATTGTCTGGAAACTAGAAAAATGCTTATTTTTGGCCCCTTTTTGGCCCCCAATTCCTAAATGTTTCAGCAATTACCCCCAAACTCAATTCCAGCTTTTCCTTTGTGATATGGAACATTGTAGTACAATTTCAGAAAGATCCATGCACTTACACACAAGTTATTGTCATGAAACTAGAAAAATGCTTGTTTTTTTGCCCCTTTTTTGGCCCCTAATTCCTAATATTTTTAGGCAATTACCCCCAAAATCAATCTCAGCATTCCTTTTGTGATATGGAACCTTGTGGTACAATGTCAGAGAGATCCATACACTAACACACAAGTTATGTCTGGAAGTTACAAAAATGCTTATTTTTGGCCCCTTTTTGGCCCCTAATTCCTTTACTGTTGGTACCATAACCCCCAAAATCAATCCCAACCTTCCTTTTGTGGTATTGAACCTTGTGGTAAAATTTCATAGAGATCCATTCACTTAAACTAAAGTTATAGTGCGAAAACCAATGTGTCTTCGGACGACGCCGGACGACGACGACGACGACGCCAACGTCATACCAATATACGACCACAAAAATTTTTTTGCGGTCGTATAAAAACGACTAAATTTGACTAGTTTGAACTGGAATTGTCTAGCAAAATGATAACACACAAAAGCTGTTAAAGATTATTTCTAGTACTGAGAAGCACTTGTGTTAATACAACTGAATAGGAACATTGGATAACCAGCAATTTGGCTTTTGTGACTTTCATTACAAGCAAGTAAAACACTGCATCACTATATACACATGTAGTAATTCTAAATCTAACTAATGTGATTGCATACATTTTATATAGGAAAATCACTACTGAAATGTGGCTATTTTGCCAGCTCTAGGTAAGTGGAAGCCAATTTTGCCAGAAAAAAGCCGACTTGTTTATGTACAGATATGCAATTCAAAGAACTGACTATTATTCCAAGAGCAAATTTGATTTAAACATTTTTGATTTTGAAGCAATGTGATTGATTTTGTTAGATTGTATATAATGTTAAATATCAAATATATATATATGCAATGATATTTTTAACATTCAGTTAGAAAATCTGAGATTTTATTCTTTTGTATCGTCAGATCATATGTTTTCGTACGTCATATGAATTCGTACTATGCATGCTTTTTCAATGGAAATTGTGACATCACAATGCATTCTAAATAGCATGAAAACCCATAATACGAGGATATACATGTAGCATTCGACTATGACTGAGTTTAGAAGTAATTTCAACTACATGTTTTGATATGATTTCATTGCTACAAATGGATGCTTGATATTTTTATTTTTATTTCTTCTTGCAAATTCTTATTTTCACTTGGACTTGTACATGTTTTTAAATGATAATATATATCTCTATGAGTAATAATTTGATTCTTTTATTTTGACAATGCACATTTTCGTAGTACTTTTCAAAAGTAAATATCTTTTTAAGCTCACCTGGCCCCTTTGGGCCAGGAGAGCTTTTCTCATCATTATTTTGAAAACCGTTACAATATTGCAAACCTGATACTGACACATTTTTCCCATTAATGAATACATCACAATTATTTCTTAATTTACAGTAATAATAATTAGACTGTTTACTTTTCAGAAGACATGGGTGACCAGCGTCCCCACCTAGCAGTAGTGGACACGGTACCAATAGTAGATATTCCTGACCACCATGATCATGATAAACCATTATTTAAGAGAAATCCCGCTGCTGATGCCATTATAGATTTTGTTGCTGGATGCAATGGTAAGTGTCAAATATAAAACACAAAATCCTTTACTAGGGGAGCTACAGTATATGTTTGCAGCACAGCATTTATATTTGGTTGGAGTGGGGAATGGAGCCCAGGGCCCACAGGGCCCATTGTGTATATCCTTCATCTTAAAGTGCCCTAAAATAAAGTTATTTTAAAAGTTCATCATAAAGTCCTGCAGCAACTGTCAAGATAAAGAACAGCAATATTAATCTGTTTTTATGCCCTGCTTAAGATAGTAAAGGGGCATTATGTTTTCCGGTCCATGGGTCCATCTGTCAGCTGATCCTTTCATCCTGTATCAAGTTATATGTTAAAGGTACAATTTAGTTTTTGGTCACATTAACTTGAAACTTAGTACACATATAAAAATAAGTAGATGTGGTATGATTGCCAATGAGACAACTCTCCACCAGAAACCAAATGACATAGAAATTAACAACTATAGGTCACTGTACAGCCTTCAACAATGAGCATTCACAAATATGATATACAACAACAAACGACAACCACTAAATTACAGGCTCCCGACTTGGGACAGGCCCATACAGAATGTGGCGGGTTTAAATTAGTTTGAAGGCGTCTACCCTCCCCTAATCTGGGACAGTGGTGTAATAGTACAACATAAGAATAAACTATAAAAATCAGTTGAAAAGGGCTTAACTCATCAAATCAATACTAAGCAGAAATACATCTGACAAAAACACAGACAGGATGTGGCAGGGTACTTATCCATCCCCTCAAACAAAAAGACACTAAGTACAGACCTGAGAGTACTCACAGTTACTGACAGCTACTGTGGATTCATTTATTTTCGTGGTTACCAAAACTTACACTTTGGTGAATATTTTAATTTCTTGGTTTTACCAAGTTCTGCATACAAGCCAATGGAAAATTTGTAATTTGTTGAACATTCAAATTTGTTGTTCACATGTACCCACAAAGTCTATGAAAATTGGTATCCCATGAAAAATAATGAATCCACAGTAGTTCAAACTTCAAAGCCAATTACAACTAATAAAAAAAATCGTACATCTAAGACTAAAATATCAATCAGTACACATCCAACATCCAATGAATTTAATGTAAAAATGTCATTAACAGTCAGAGAAAAACATGACCTTATGCAATGCCAAGATACAGGTATCCACAAATTGTAGAGCCATGAATGTATATAAAAATAATATTTAGTTTGATTTTAATTTACTGATAACAAAATCAATATTAATACTGTACCAATAAAAACAATATTCAAAGATCTTATTACAGTGTTGAATTGGAAACTTTTTAGAATAAGATTATTTAAAGGATCAATAATTTTACCCTAATCGTATCTAAATTGTTGTCCAAAAAAGGAAAATTAACAATAGGTAACAAAAAATCGTCCCTTTTGTCGTAAATTTTAGTCTAGAGTTTCCTGTGTAAAACTGAAATATCTAAATCTATAAAAGGAGAGTTATTAGCATTTATATTTGATTTATTCAAAGCCAGTTCCTTTGGGTAAATTTCGGCAGTATATTTAGAAAATTCTTTATTATTTAACGAAAAAATATCATCAAGATAACAGTAAGTGTTGTTGAATTTATCAATTAAATACAATTTAGATGGGTCTTTACTGAGTTTGGTCATAAACTGTGATTCATAACAATAGAAAAACAAGTCTGCTATTAAAGGGGCGCAATTGGTGCCCACAGGAATACCTACAACCTGTCGATAAACTTTGTTGCGGAAACGTACATAAAAAAGGTTGACAATTAACAGCTTCAATCATCTCATCATACTTCCAGTAAGTATATCTAGCATATTCTCATTAGAGAAGAAGGCGTTAAATGAGTTGCAGCTAATATATTTGCATTCAGATTTACCAAAGGACCATTTAATTAAATAGGCATGTTCATTATGAAGTGAACTGAATAAAAAGTATGCAAAATTAGGAATTTTATCAAGAGTTCAAGGTTCAATGAACATTGAAATGTGATATGTGCCATGATCACATAGTATTACGTAAACATTATTGAACATTCAAGTTTGTTTATGTTAGTTTTACTACAGGAATTGATTTGAACAACTGAGAGATCATTTATTTGGCTCTGTGGAATTTTTAATTACCCCTGGTAAGAAAGGGGACATAAGATACAATGCCCTTGGGTTCCATAGGGACCAGTTTTCCAAGGCAAAATTTCTGCCCCTGGCAAACATAACTTCTTTCTTCAGTGAAATTTAAAATTAGTTTCAATAATTATTGACTATTTAAATTTTCCATTGAATTTAAGCCAGTCAGGTTGAAAATAGAACCAGGTAATACTTTCAGAAACAATCATATCAGTGTGAAATCTAGTGAAAAAGAACAAAAGAAAATTACCTCTTTTTTTATGATAGAGTCTAGAAAATCAATAATAAAACAATGCTGGTGACGACACTGATCAAAAGTTATTTCTAAGTAACAATTGTACATTTTAATGAAATTATTTGTTAAACTGTGTTATTAGAAATATACATGCAAATACACGATGTTTTATATTTAGATTTTTATTGAGATAATGGCATTAGAAGCTTGTGAAACTGAAATTAAAAAAAATGCCAATCTTTGCTGCATATTGATTAAAAAAATTGGAAAAAATTATGTACATACAAAATCTAAAGATCTTTCGGGTCACCAATTTTTGGAGTGTTCCACAAAGTCCTTAGCATGTTACAATTTCCCCAAATATACTTATTTTTCACATTCTAAGTTTTCCAGTACACTGGTCTGCTCTTGTCATTTGAAAATTCAATATAGAAATATTGTATTTTCATGAATATAACAATATAAAAGTCTGTCTGTGCAAGTTAAAAAATTAAAGATAAATATTCTTATAAAGTAGGCTTCTTTTTACTATTTTTTATACAATTTTAAGAAAAGGTTGTCTCAATTTTTGTACTTGTATTTGCGGTCTTCTCGATCTATTCACATTACATCGGGATAAGGTCCGTTTGAATTTTCTTAGTAACTTAATTTCAAAAGTGCCAATCTTTGCTGTATATCAATCGATTCCTATGGAATTTTTTCCCTGACTTTCTCTGATCTAGCTGCATATACATGTATATACGGATAATTAGCATGTTCCAGAGATATATACAGCGAGTAAAAAAATAATTGAAGGTGGTACTCCAGGAATTTATTTGCATAGCAACATTTTAAGCCAATTTTACACCAAGCACCTTTAGTCTACTGTACTCGTCGTTTCCTATTTAAGGAGAGAAATGATAACATTAAATGGAAGTTCTGTTTTTATTTCAACTTATTTCTATTTTTACTATTTACCAGAACGTTTTCCCGTGAATTTATAATTGATAGCGTCCTTGCTAAAATGGGACAAACATTGAAAAGATCTAGTTTTCAGTGATTACAGGGGAGGCAATATTTTGTCACTAGATTTCCCACTGATATGACTGCACTTTAATTCAGCAGCATCTGATTTTTACAGAATATTAAACATTCTTATGCTGAGTCAAGTCACAAAATAAGCAAAAATTGACCTCAAGACACAAATTCTTTCTAAAATGAAATATTTTATATGAACATGATGAATATTAATTTTATATGCTTTAAACATACTGTTAACTTTCATGTTTTTCTAGTTCCTGATTTTTAATATTTAAAAAAAAATCAAAAATGATTTTTATCTTATTATATCAGGAAATTAGTGTTAATAATGTCCTGGTGAAGAAAAATGTCCTATTTCACAGCAGTATGTTTTAAAATATTTATCACTTTTTGCAATGCAGGAAAAAAAAATTGAAGATTATAAGTCATGTTAGTTATAAATATCTATTATATAATAGTTTATCAAAAGTTATATTTCGTTATTTTTATTTACAGGAGGGATTGCTAATGTTGTGGTGGGACAATCACTAGACACAGTCAAGGTAAAAATGCAGACATTTCCAACTCTATATAAAAATGCTTTTGACTGCTTCTTTCAAACATTTCGAAAAGATGGAATTAGAGGTCTATATGCTGGGACTGTGCCAGCTCTTACAGCGAACATTGCAGAAAATTCAGTTTTATTTTGTTTCTATGGAGTTTGCCAAAAACTTGTTATGTTAGGTGTTGGAAAGAATGAAATCAAACATTTAAATCCACTTGAAAATGCATTGGCAGGAAGTGGAGCAGCATTTTTTTGCTCATTTACATTGTGTCCTACAGAACTTATAAAGTGTCGTCTGCAGGCGATGAGGGAAATGGCCACACAAGGAAAATTGGAAGGTGGATTAGAGAGACTAAAAATGTATGTAACAATTTTTTGTGAACCATATTTTGATTATTCTGTTATGATAAATCATGGCTGTATTTTCATATTGATAAATTTCATCACCATACATGGAAAAATGTAAACTTCTCTGACCTATTTCTGTGAGTTTTTTTTTTCTCACAACTAGTAATAATGAATCCACAGTAATCATGGTAATCAAAACGATTTAATTTTTTCAATAACATACAAAAACTAGAAATTTTTGAGGGAAACTTTTATCCCCCCCTTAATATTCAATGAAGACCAACTACCCCCAACACACAAAAAGATGAGGGTTACCAGTGTCTGAAACATGTATATGGTTTTCACGATATTAGATAACATATGCATTCTTGTTATTTTAATCTAAATTTTGTAAGTCAGTTAATTATAAGGATATTTTCCTTTTTTGTTGTTCAATAGTGGGTCATATTAGCTCACCAATTTTGAGGTTATATAAGTTCTTTATCATATTGCTGCTATCAAATTGTAAATGGTTGACAAATAGAATTAAATATGTTTTTTTTCTTCATTTTGATAAGTGGCCCAGTTGGATTGACGAGGGAGATTCTGCATGCAGAGGGAATCAGAGGAATGTTTAAAGGCCTAACAAGTACCATGGCTAGAGAAATTCCAGGGTACTTTTTCTTCTTTGGAGGATATGAGGCTAGCAGACGCTATCTTACACCAAAAGGAAAAACGAAGGATGATATTGGTAAATCAATGTGTTTGTTGTAAATGTGGTATATAAGCTGCAGTGTATTAGTAACATGTTTAAACTGTCATAAATTTATTAATACAACCATGGTAACAATGTTTAATATGCAAAAAATCATAAAAACTATATTAGCTTAAATTTTATTGATTTCACAGGTCAATGTCTTAAAAACCAAACCAATAGACTACTTACGAGTTATGTCCTTCACCGAAAAAGTTCGTCAATTATGCGCGCCTTTATGACGTCATTTACCAGATAGATGGGACCGCCTGTATCTCTGCACTATTAAAGTTCATCAAGTGTCTTCGTGATCGTCATTCTGCAGTATAAACTAGAAATAATGTTTGTTCTGTAGGTACTTAATCACAATTCCTTAATGACAGCAGTGCTGATTATCAATTATAAGAATATAATTTGACGAATAATTTGTGCAATGTAGCATCATATTTTTTCAACCGCTCGCTCAACATGGGGAGGATTAGTGACGATGCCCCTAAACACACAAATGATGTCCCCTTAAACCAAATTATTTTATGGAAATGCAACAAACTGGAAAGTGGTCTATTGTACTGATGATCAATTCCATTTGATGTAACAAATAAGAATTCTTATGCAGACAAAAGAGTTTTGTGAATAACAATTTGTCTCCATTGAAAATGAAGTTTTAAGAGCATTTTATTGGAATTATTGATTATAAAGGTATTTTTTGGCAATTTATTGAAGTGTAAAACTCTGCATTTCTCTCTCAAACTAAGCATAAAGTCCTAAAGACTTTATTCAGTTGGTGAGTTAGTGAGCTTAGTTTACTCAACAATAAATACCTTAAAAGTTACCATTATTAGTCCCCTACCGACAAAGTCAAAGGGGACTTTAGGTTTGCATTCCGTCCATCCGTCTGTCTGTGTGTCTGTCCATCAGTCTGGCAAATCAGTTTTCCACACTTTTTTCTTCGTGCATGAAGATATTGATTTGATATTTGGTGTTTTGTTTTATCATGACAAGTTACAGATCAAGTTCAAATTTTGTTCCGGTCTGATGATCTTATGCAGAGTTATGGTCCTAGGACTTAGAAAAATTCACTCAGTAATCAGTTTTCCTCACTTTTTTTTCGTCATGCTTGAAGATATTGATTTGATAAATGGTATATAGTTTTATCATGACAAGTTACAGATCAAGTTCGAATTTTGTTCCAGTCTGATGATTTTGTGCAGCGTTATTGTCCTTGGACTTGGAAAAATTCACTTAAATAATTAGTTTTCCACACTTTTTTTTCGTCATGCTTGAAGATATTGACGTGATATTTGTTATATAGTTTACACGATGACAAGTTATAGATCAAGTTAGCATTTTGTTCCAGTACAATGAATTTTTAACCGGTAGGGACTATGTAATGACATGCAATACTCGCAGAATGCTTGTTACTATAATATTTTGGAAGTTGGAACTAGAAATATTATGTTAGTTTTAAAAATATTAAATGTTTTACCTACCTTTGGCTTTTTTTTTTTATTATTGTAAGTTACGGTACAAATTATAAATGCTTAATTTCCTGCATTATTGGACCTTATGTCTTTATAGGAACAAGTTTGGTCTGATGAACAGATTCTTATTCAATTTGATTTTATACTGAACATTAATGAAACAATGCTTCCTATTAATTATAATCGGTATTTATCTTCAGGTACATTGAAAACAATGTTAGCTGGTGGTATTGGGGGTGTAGCACTATGGACATCTATATTTCCAACAGATGTTGTAAAGTCTAGGATACAGGTAGAGAGTACTGTGGGAAAAGCTGCTCCATCATTTTACAAGACACTCCTGACGATTCATAGGGAAGAAGGTAATATAGGTTAATAAAGAAAAAAAGGATAATCGTCAATGAAACAGCAACCCAACAACTCAACTTAACTAAAGTTGTCATGCAGATTACCACAGCTAGGAGAATCATGAGGGCATGTACCTGAAACTCAAGATTGTTACATGAGTTGTTTAAAATTTAATACTGTGTGTTCATTTGTTTTTGTGGGTACCATTTTTCATAGATTCAGGTAAAATTGTATTTTCTTGAATACTTGAATTTTGTGATCTTGACAAATTCTGCATTTAAGCCTATAGGAAATTTGTAATTCATTGAACAAATATATTCATGGTTGAAACCTACACACATGAAATCCATCAAAATATGTACTGATACCTCAAGGATAATACTAAATCAGCAGTAGCTGTTGAAATAAAAATGAAACTCTGGGAAATTTGAGTTAAGCAACCAAATTAAAGTTAAATCTATTATGTTTTACATATTAATTTTGAATTCAATAACTTACAGCCTTAGATATCTTCTAATTGACTATCTTAAAGCTAACTTCCTAATGATTGTAGAGTAAGTTGGTTGGCTTGCTTGCTTTGTTTGTATACAAACGTATGCTAAAACATTGTAATTAAGATTGACGTCTGCAAACAATATAGATACCGTAGGCGGAGTTAAACTAGTATACATTATATTTAAATTTGATTGGACATTATCCGTACAAAGCAAGCAAGCCAACCAAAGTTTTACTCTACAAGGATTAGCTCTAATAGAAATATAACTTGCAGGATAATTGTCACAAGATGCATGTTTTTTTTTAATAACAAGCTTTATTTTTTGTAACAGGTATAAGAGCATTGTATAAAGGATTAGGACCATGTTTACTTAGGACTTTTCCATCATCAGGAGCTTTATTTTTGGCTGTTGAAGTAACAAAAGATGTGATGTACAATGTTTATGATAATGTTGGATGATGATAATAATTTTAGGTATGATTGATACTTAATTAAGAGTGTGTAAAATTGTTGTCAAATGTAAATTTCTTTGATAAGTCATTTCTGAAAGCCTGGATTTTTCTTTAAAATTGTTTTCATAAGAGTTACATCCCTTTCATTAGAGTATTAATATTTTGTTGCAAATTAAGCTATGAAGAGGAGTGATCTTTGCTCTGTAATTTGTGTGTGATACTATAACATTTATCTGCATACCCTTGCCATATTGAGTTCAGGGCTCATTTTATTGACAAATGGTAATTATGTGGTACATGTACTTCTCACATAGCTTTGAATTAAAATAAATCCGTATTAATCCCCTGAAAGTAAGTTGCTTGTATGAAATGTAAAAAAATAAATTCAGGATTGAGGTAATGTCAATACATAAAGTTACATTTTAGCATTTACCTATTAAAGAATGCTTGACAAATATGATGAGATTTCTATTGCTGTTTTCTTTAGCAGTTATGTTCATAACACTTATTTTCACTTTAAATTTCTGCTCATAAAAGTCTAAACTATATTACAAAATGGTATAATATGTTTCAAATATTATTCAAAATTTTTACATGTCATTAGTAGATTCTTTTTGGAAGTATGAACGGTATAGATTTATGACAGTCATAAACAATATTTTTCCATAGTTTTTTAATAAACATGTAAAATATACTATAGCGACATAAATATGTTGCAAAATGCTTCATTGTTACTGTATCTTCAAAGAGATTTGTATGTCCTTTTTTTGGCCTTTTTAACTTTTTTGATTCAAGCAAACATTAACAAAAATTTACCAAAGATATCCTATCTTACAGCAAGCTAAAGTAAAAACTGTCCTAGAATTAACTTATGTTGCACTCCTAATATGTTATTGTCATAAATTTAATAAACATGTATAGTATTGAATTTGTTACTAATGCTTTTTATATTTCTTTTTAGTTTGAATCAATTTGCCAAAGATCTGTGATAATATGAATAGTCTCATTGCTGAAGAGGATGTTAGATTGAGGATTTTAAACCTGGAATCTCAAGAAGAGGGGAAAATTGGAGGACTCATTTTGTTTTGAAGGATTGTTTTAGCAACAGGAATCATTCATATAGAAATTATATTAACGTTTTAATTTATTATTATTGTTAACAGCACCTAAGAAATCGAAAATTACATGTCAGACCTCAAAGCCAGACTTATTGTTCTGTAACATTAGTGATGAAGTGAGGTAAATGGGGTCCATGAAATAGATGGTAATTGATGACATGCCAAAAGAAGTTGTTTACATGGACACTAAATATTCCTCTTTAAGCCACTCTAGGCCAGCTTTATACTGATGATGAATTCATGGTGTTCGTGGCATGTTGTAAACCTTTACTGAACTGGTTCTACAGTAACAATTTTTCTATGAAATGATATGTGCACTTACCAATTCCATATAACAAATTCTAAAATGCCTCAAAAGTTTGTGAAACTATTAGCTATAAGAAAATGATGAACCATTCAAATTCCTGAAACATTTTAGGAAATGATTTATCATTAGATATGATCTGGAATCTATAATTGAATAAAAAAACTAGTCTTAAAAATCTTTCGAATAAGTTCTTTTAGATATTCTCGAAGACAGGAGTATGTCAAGTATCAGTAAATTTATTCAAAAATTGTGTCTTATGTAATTGCCATAGGTCTACAGGAACCACAATAGCCTCATTTTGAAATCATGTCAAAAGTAATAGATCACTTTCGAGATCGTTGCATTTCTGTCAAAAACTTTGGTTTTAGTGAACATCATTTGTTGTGTTAAGGGGCATCGTTACTTCCTCCCCATGTTGAGCTAGCGGTTGAAAAATATGACGCATTATTATACGAATTATTTGGCAAATTAAATTCTTATAATTGATTATCAGCACACTGTCAGTAGGGAATTGTGATTAAGTACTTACGGAACAAACATTATATCTAGTCTATCCTGCATAATGCAATCACGAAGACGCTGGATGAACTTTGATAGTGCAGGGATACATGTGGGCCCCTCTATCTGGTAAATGACATCATAAAGGCGTGCAAAATTGACCAACATTTCTGGTGAAAACAAGGAATTATTTGAATCTGGAATAATTTTGAATTCTGGAAAATTGATGAGAAAAATATGATGAAAACTAACCCAACTAAATAGGGTTAGCCATGCACGCATGGCTAAGGTGGGTTAGTTAGTTCATACTGAAATGATAGTGAAAGTAAAATTAACCTTAGCCATGCACGCATGGCTAACCCTATTTAGTTGGGTTAGTTTTCATCATACATTTCTAATCAATTTTCCAGAATTCAAAATTATTCCAGATTCAAATAATTCCTTGTTTGAAGGACATTACCTGAAAGTTTTCTATTAGATACAGACAATAGCCAGACCCCAAGAAGTTATTTTGCCACAGGATGTCTTCAACAAGGATATTAATGTGAGTGAAATGATCTTCAAGGTTAAGGCTTTTCATAAATTGATATATTTCAAGATACATGTATTGTTGTCTCCTGTACATGCACAAATATCCTTCTTTTTAAAGTATCAGGTAAAGTCAATGAGACACCAACTGTGCAACATAAATAATTACAAAAAAGAAAAAAAACAGTGAAAATATGAAACATTGGATTTATTTCTGAATGATATTGGCTCATCCAGACTTATTTTGTATCTTCATTTTATTCTAACAAGTATTGATTACCATTAAAGAACTTTCATTTTAAATCTTTTTCTTATAAAATTTGAAGTACTGGTAAGAGCTAAGGAGGTAACCTGGTAAATGAATGTTTCAGATTCTAAAGCCTTATCTTAAATTTTCATTGTTTGTGCACCAATATGAAAATAACATTATTCCATTAATAAATATCAATTGTACTGGACATTATTCACACTCACAATGTTTTGGTATGTATGTTTTGAGAATTTGGATGCTTTAGATTCTAAAATAGCAAAATACTGTATGATATGTCTATGAATATCAGAGATTTATAATTATTGCTATTTTCATTTGATCATTTTTCTAAAATATTTTTCCATTTCACACTACTTAAGTGATATGGGTTTTTCTCATCCGAGTAGAAAAAGAATGGTTGACATTATTAGCTTTGAAATTGACTAAAAAAATAGTGCTAAACAAATCACCAATGGTCTTTAAAACTTGAGGATGTTTCTCTGCTACATTTCATCTTGTCTATCAACTACGTTAAGATTGTAGCCGAGAAACTACTTCTCCTTTAAAGAATCTATAAGTACTAATGTCTATGATATGTGAATCTCATGTTTGTTTTTGTATAACCAAAGATAAAAACATATTATTTAAATGTGTGCAATTTTGAAATGTAACAGTGTACTTAGATACTTGACCACTTTGCTGGTCCTGAAAATAAAGAAAATATCGAATGAGTAAGTGTTTATGTATTGGGCCTCACTGTGAATTTGAGATGGAGAACAGCAATAACAGTTCTGTTACTTTGCTTTGAGTTTTATTGGGATATTGTATCATGCATAAATACACCATATCCCTTCGTTTCCTCTATGCATATTTTACAAAAGGGGTCTGTAAGCTTATATTTTGTATACATGTTTTTGTATGGTCAAATGTGTTTTTGCAGTAAAGTTGTGTACCTCTGTTAATTGATGTAATTTTGTGAAGTGATCCATTCCTTTTCTTTATGAATTATAATTCCAAGGGCAGCAGATGTGTTTTTGAAACTGTATTCATTGAAGCCGCCTGCAGAGGCATGTATAAGACTCTCCATATTTGAGAGGCGACATTGTTTTGAAATTTACATTACAGAAAAGAGGATGTAATGTGTGCAGTACAGGTCTACAAAGTACTGTATATGATACCTTGGTTGTCTCATTGTAGTGTGTATACCATGAGTTCTGAAAAGAAGTCCTGGTTCAATCACAAGTCTGATCAACCCAAAAAATTTGTCTACCCCTGTTCTCCTCTAAGCATGAAGAATTTTCTTATATACCTGTCCCAAGTCAGGAGCCTTTAAATCAGTGGTTGTCATTGGTTGCTGTTTGCCATTCAGCATAACAAAAAAGCCATTGGTTTCTCTTGTTAAATGTTTTTTTTTTCAGTTTGACATCCTTGAGCCTTTTATAACTTACTATCCTGTATGGGTTTTGCTCATTGTTGAAGGCCTTACAGTGACCTGTAGTTGTTAACTTCCTCGTCTTTTGATCTCTTGTGGATAGTTGTCTCATTGACAATCATACCACATCGGTCAATTTCTATATATAACTGATCACCTCAGTCAAAGTATTAAGTCCAGTTGAGATGACATAAATAAAAGATGTGGGATATACATCATTGAGACAGCAACCACACAACAAAAATAACCAAAAGACATTTAGAGGGTAACATGGTCTACACACTATATCAAACTATAAATCATCCATCTGCCATTCAAATTGTGAACAACTGAACAGAAGTAATAAAAGATCTGCCATTTACACCAAATCTCCATATGACAAGAAAAAAAAACATTCAGATTTGGCATAAACAACTACTCAAAAGGCTCCTGACTTAGAAAATGTGTTGCGAGTTAAACTAGCTTTTTGGAGACCTCATTTGTCCTCTGTATTGATCGGTAGATTTAACAAAATGTACATAAAAAAACATGTCTTTTTATGCGCTTTATTCAAACAAACTGATGTTAAATATCTGACTTGTCATCTTTGTGTAGTCCGAAGCAGGGATTTATATATATATCACATCATGATGTTCATCTGTGGAACATGGATGTAAGATTGCCCATTAGTTTAATGCATCCATCCATCCATGCATAGACATTGCATGTTGTAAGCTTAGATGTATAATTTATAATTCAGATGATATGTGTATGTGCATGTTTCATCATTATTATGCTCCAGACTATAGCACATGTTCAATGGTCATCATACAAAATTGGAAATCTATAAAATATTTCCAAATGTATATGCTAGGAGCAGGCTTATTCTCTAGGACACAAACCAAATCATGAAAACTGAACGTCAACTTTAGAAAACACTGAACCATGGAAATAGGGTCTTCGTCAACTGCCAAATGCAGGACACAAACAACTATAAACAATCTGTTTCAAAAATAAGAATTGTCTTACTAGTGTTCCTTTTAAAACATGTAATAAGCTTTTAAAATTAAGGAAATGCAGTGGCCAAATAAACACCTTGCATTTAGACAGTTCCAATATGCTGTTTTACCAGTCTCAGGTTACTAGGAGTGTTGTAATTATCTAGATTTCTCATTCAATAAAAATAAAATTGAGAATGGAAATGAGGAATATGTCAAAGAGACAACAACCCGACCAAAGAGCAGACAACAGCCGAAGGCCACCAATTGGTCTTCAATGCAGCGAAGAAAATCCCGCACCCGGAGGTGGTCCTCAGCTGGCCCCTAAATAAAATTGTGTGCTAGTTCAGTGAAGATGGACGTCACACTAAACTCCAAAACATATAAATGAACTAAAATTAAAAAACATACAAGACTAACAAAGGCCAGAGGCTCCTGACTTGGGACAGGCGCAAATATGCGGCAGTGTTAAACATGTTTTGTGAGATCTCAACCCTCTTATACCTCTAGTCAATGTAGAATAAAATGCTTCGCTGGGGCGCAGCTTGATATGACCGCAGAGGTCGAACCCTGAACAGTTGGGGCAAGTATGGACACAACATTCAAGCTTGATACAGCTCTGAATTTGGATTGTTATTAAATATTTGACACAGCATAGGTTTCTGACACAGAAAGAATGTGGTCTAAGAACTTGAATTTTTTTAATTTACCTATTATGGTCCAATGTCCAAAATCAAAATACATGGTTAGATTCAGCATATCAAAGAACACCATATATTCAATTTTTGTTAAAATCAAACAAAGTTTAATTTTGGACCCCAACTTGGACAAACTTGAAAACTGGGCCCATAATCAAAAATCTAAACACATGTTTAGATTCAGCATATCAAAGAACCCCAAGAATTCAATTTTTGCTAAAATCAAACTAAGTTTAATTTTGGACCCTTTGGACCTTAATGTAGACCAATTTAAAAAACGGGACTTAAAATTAAAAATCTAAATACACGGTTAGATTTGGAATATCAAAGAACCCCAATAATTCAATTTTTGATGAAATCAAACAAAGTTTAATTTTGGACCCTTTTGACCTCAATATGAACCAATTTGATAGCGGGGCCCACAAATAAAAATTCTAAATTCATGGTTAGATTCAGCATATCAAAGAACCCCATATATTCAATTTTTGTTGAAATCAAAAAAAGTTTAATTTTGGACCCCAACTTGGACCAACTTGAAAACTGGGCCCATAATCAAAAATCTAAATACATGTTTAGATTCAGCATATCAAAGAACCCCAAGAATTCAATTTTTGTTAAAATCAAACTAAGTTTAATTTTGGACCCTTTGGACCTCAATGAAGACCAATTTAAAAAACGGGACCCAAATTAAAAATCTAAAAACACGGTTAGATTTGGCATATCAAAGAACCCCAATAATTCAATTTTGGATGAAATCAAACAAAGTTTAAATTTGGACCCTTTTGACCTCAATATGAACCAATTTGATAGCGGGCCTACAAATAAAAAATCTAAATACATGGTTAGATTCAGCATATCAAAGAACATCATATATTCAATTTTTGTTGAAATCATACAAAGTTTAATTTTGGACCCCAATTTGGACCAACTTGAAAACTGGGCCCATAATCAAAAATCTAAATACATGTTTAGATTCAGCATATCAAAGAACCCCATATATTCAATTTTTGTTGAAATCAAACAAAGTTTAAATACTGGACCCTATCTTGGACCAACTTGAAAACTGGGCCCATAATCAAAAATCTAAACACATGTTTAGATTCAGCAAATCAAAGAACCCCAAGAATTCAATTTTTGTTAAAATCAAACTAAGTTTAATTTTGGACCCTTTGGACCTCAATGTAGACCAATTTAAAAAACAGGACCCAAAATTAAGAACCTAAATACACGGTTAGATTTGGAATATCAAAGAACCCCAATAATTCAATTTTAGATGAAATCAAACAAAGTTTAATTTTGGACCCTTTTGACCTCAATATGAACCAATTAGATAACGGGGTCCACAAATAAAAAATCTAAATACATGGTTAGATTCAGCATATCAAAGAACCCCATATATTCAATTTTTGTTGAAATCAAACAAAGTTTAATTTTGGACCCCAATTTGGACCAACTTGAAAACTGGGCCAAAAATCAAAAATCTAAATACATGTTTAGATTCAGCATATCAAAGAACCTCATATATTCAATTTTTGCTAAAATCAAACAAAGTTTAATTTTGGACCCTTTGGACATTAATGTAGACCAATTTGAAAACTGGACCCAAAATTAAAAATCTAAATACACTGTTAGATTCGGCATAACAAATAAATAAATGTGATCAAAGATTTTACAAATCTAATGCGCCATACTGTGCAATTAAAGATTACTTCTTGAAATTTTTCAATATTTGAAATTTGAAAAAAAAATAATATTTGAAGAATAATTCTTTTTAATTTCTGAAATCTGAAATGAGAAAAAATTGGCCCCCCACAATTTCTTTTTATCCCCCCCCCCTTTTTCCCCAAAAAAAATTCTTTCCCTCAAGATATGGTCATAATCTCAATTCAAATTTCCAATGGAGTTGGCAACCATAATTACCCATTTAAATTTACCATAGTGCTAACTTAATCTATTTTATAATAGAATTAATAAAAATATAGTGTCAAATCTTTCATATGGATTTTTTTGTAAAAAAAAAAGATGAAAACATTTGCAGATATTTTTACTGGTCTTCCTTTATAAATATGCATTTCTTTAAACATAATTTAAAAGCAGAGTAAGGGAAGTAACCAAAACGTTGTATTTGGACTACCTCCCTTACACTGTTTTAGATTATCTTTATTGTTCATTAACCATTACTTTATACATAATTTAAAAGCAGTGTAAGGGAGATAATTTCAATGATGTATTTGATTTATCTCCCTTACACTGCTTTAAATTATGTTTTGTACTAAAGTATTTGTCCATTAACCAGGACAACCTTGTTTTTCCCCCTTTTTTGCCCCTAATTCCTAAACGGTTTGAGCCATAACCCCCCAAAGCAAATCCTAACCATCCCTTTGTGGTATGGAAACTTGTAGTATAATTTCAGAGAGATCCATACACCGTTCCACAGTTATTGTCTGGAAACTAGAAAATGCTCATTTTTGGCCCCTTTTTGGCCCCTAATTCCTTAACTGTACCATAACCCCCAAAATCAATCCCAACCTTCCTTTTGTGGTATTTAACCTTATGGTCAAATTTCAAAAAGATCCATTCACTTAAACTAAAGTTAGAGTGCGAAAACCAATATGTATTCGGACGACGACGCCGGACGACCACGACGACGACAACGCCAACGTCATACCAATATACGACCACAAAATTTTTTTGCGGTCGTATAAAAAAGAAACACATAGCAATTCGCACAGTAAAACTCAGTTTAAAAGAAGTCCGATCTGATGTCAGAATAGGTAACAAAAGAAACTAAGCAAAATGACAATGATACATAAATGAATAAAGGACTACTAGCAGTTACTGACATGCCAGCTCCAGACCTCAATTAAACTGATTGAAAGATTATGTCTTCATCATATGAAAATCAAGTACAATCCCTTTAAAAGAGACAATCCAAATGTTGCTTGATAGGTGTTAAATCAATAGAAGGAGATGTTAACCTTGTCAATGCTAAGGGTTTAGTCAAGCAGTATGACATTTTAGCAGAAATAAACAAGACACACTAGCACCAAAAAACACAGCAAAATATTAAAATGCTAAAATGGGGTATAATGTTGGCTCTGAAATTTCCACTTGTAGTTTTAAATTTTTGGTTAAAATGTCCTCTCTCAACAACACATCAGACCTGGTTTCGCTCACCTTTTGAAGTTCATATAATTCAAAACATTTTTCACTGTCATGTGTATATGTTTGTTCCATCTTCGATCCTTGCCTTTACATATTTACAGTACCATACCATATGAAATATGAATAAAATTACAAAAAATAGTTTTACAATTATATTTTAATAATTTAAATCTGTTGCATATTTACAATTTTTGTGTATCACAATATAAAACGGCAAGATTCAATCAAATAATGATAATAAACTTATCTAAATCTACACTAACAAAATAGCAAACAACATTTAAAATATTTATTGAAATTCCATCTCTCGGGACTAGTTCAATGCACCTTTTACTTAAGTTAAAAAATTAATATATTATATGATGGAAAAGAAAGTTATAGTGCATGTCAATTTCTTTTTTAACTATACTTGTTAAAAAAAGGAAGACAAAACAAAGATGTTGTTAACCTTGACTTGTCACCTTGAATTTATATGTCTCTATTTTATTATACTCAAATAAATATTTATGTCTATCATCCTTGGATAATTATATTACAGTGACTCTGGCTTGGTCATCTAGCTCCAACAATCATAATTGGACTTTATTTCACAAAGTTTTAAAATTAATTAATTGTCATGCCCAAACGTTTTATAGTTCACATCAATTACAAATAAAAATTTTTTGTTAACATATAAAGTTAAAGTTAAATATATTTGATTTAATCCTTATTTGTCATGAAGGCACCTCCATTAAGACCAACTAAAAACAATATTCTTGCAATACTTTTTTATTAACATAACTTTCAAAAAGATGTGAATACTTTAAACTACTTGATTTAAAATGCTCAGTTTCTAAAACTAGGAGTGGATTTCAATTCAATTACTAATTGCATTTAACTGAATCACAAATTAAATTTAATAAATACAAAGGTACAAAACAGCATAAAAATTTGAAAAAAGGTAACTGAATATTTTATTCTTATTAACAACCTATTTTAGTAAAAAAGTAATATAACCCATTTGATTCATACAGCATATACCACACACACACATAAAACAGGAAACATCTGTTAAACTATTATCAAATTCATCTCAATACAAATATAATTACAAATGTTAACTTATGGTATCTGAATTTGTTTCATGCAAATACACTTATAAAATTTGTCTATGTTTTTATGAAAAGGTATTTATATAAAATAAGGAGATGTGATGTCCAATGAGACAACTAGCCAACAGAGTCAAAATCGGGCCAAAAATAAAATTTAGATTGTTTAATGTTGCCTACCTACCCACCTAAAAAGCAGCCTACCTGAAAAATTGTATGACACAAATCGGTTCAAATTTTTTTTTTAAACTTTTTTGCCTGCTTTTTTAACATCATTTTCTTGTCTAAAACATGTAAGTTATGTTGTTGGCCCAAAAAAAAAATAAATGGGGAATGTCTCCATGGGACACAGATGATGCCCCCGCTTGCATATCTAATAAAGTTATAAAGGGATATAACTGAAGAACGGTAAAAGTGACGCTACCCTAATTTTTACTTGATCTGAGTTTTGTGGTAATAAGTATTGTGTATAAGTTTCATAACATTTGATTGAGGCAAACTAAAATAAGAGATTGGAAACGAAAAATTCAGCAATTTTTATGTTTATAAAGGGGCATAACTTAAGAACGGTAAAAGTGACGCCACCCAATTTCAAACTTTATCTGTATTAGGTGGTAATCAGCATTGTGTATAAGTTTCATAACATTTGGTTGAGGCAAACTAAAGTTAGAGAACGGAAACCAGTTTTGGGACGTACGAACGTACAGACGGACGAACGGACGGACAAGGGTAAAATTATATGCCCCCTCTGCTGCGGCGGGGACATAAAAATCCCTTCTTTCCTACCCAACCTGGCAAGGCATGGAAGGAAACATCAAACAAACATTTTTTTAAGGATGGCCTTTAGTGGATTTAATGGATGTAATGGCAAGGGAAAATTCAAGCTCTTATCCTATCATATAAGAAATATGTGGTTGTTTCTATAGTTGTGTTGAATAGAGCCTAAAGACCACTATCACGTAATAAATCTAATTTCATGTACTTTCAATACACTTCCTGTATAGACATGACTACATAGGTATTTTGATCTGTAAAGTGTACACAACTTGATGAACTTTAACTTGAATAGTCTATTGGCCAATTACCCATTTAGTTCTGTCATGTCTGTTGTTACACACTTTAAACACAAATCATTTCAATTTGCCAACTGTAGCTTTATAGTTCTCAACTAGACAAAATGGGTTGTTCATGCAATTGTTTTTTTTTTATTAAGTTGAAAGTGATTGTAGATGTTTTAACAAATTTTAATGAAATAATTATTGATATCAATTTTTGTTTAGCTTAACAATTAAAAGATTAGAAATAAAAATTAAAGATTACACACATTATGCACAGATACATTTGTTGTTTTTGCTATCTCTTCATAGATAATAAATATTTATGTTCCTCCTAGGGGAAACAACTCATACAAATGGATCTTTAATTACAGGATCAATTACGGAATTGGCAAAAAGGCTATTCTACGCAGAATAAATTTGAAAATTTAATTATCGTATAAACTTAAATGATTTCAAGGTAGATAAATGAAACCTCAACATTGACAGAAAATAATATAAGGATTAATTGATTTTGTCTGCTTACAAACATCAGTGGCATGATTTAAGGAAGATGAAAAATGGCAACAATAGTAGCTCTTTTTGAGATGCATACTTCTTAAAATCCATTATCCTTAAACCTTGCCTTGAAAATTATTCAGCAAATGTTTTTTTTTCAGTCCCCATAATACAGGGTCCTGTTTCTTTTCTTACACTTATTCAACCTTGCCTATCAATTCTGCTACTCACAATAAAAGTATCATCACAGGTTAAAAAAACATATAAATTCCTAATGGACAAATAAAAAATCTAGTAAAGCAATGATAAATCATATTCTTAAATCTGTATAGGAAGTTTTTCATAAAATGACTAGCTATGTCCCAACTACTCAATGATTCGCAATGGTTATCTCAATTCTTGTTGTAAAACCTCTCTTAGTACAAGTTATAAATAATTTTATCAATTTGTAATTGATGTTACAAATAACAAAGAACAAAACAAATAATAACTTAAGGATGTTCGCTACTCTGTTTCAAAATAATAAGCTTTTTAAAAGACTGTTATAAATTGATAGTATATAGATAAAGGAACTGAAAAAGCAGATAAAAATGAAGGGTCTGTGTGCTTATTTTCGAGATATAAGCCATTGAAAATTTGGCGGGAAATGATTCTCTCTAGATTTTTCATACATTTAACATTGGCACCTTTTTCTGTCCAAAAGTATGAAAAAATAACAAGGATTTAATAAGATTTTCAAAGATGGTATTTTAAACTATATTTATTCAAATTATGAAAAGAAAAGTAGGGGTTAGTGGGCAAAAATTTGTAATGGCACTACATGGATAAAACCAGAGGATTCCGAATATCTGGCAAAAATTCAAAAACAAGAGGAGCGAACATCCTTAAGAATAAACAAGTAGACAGTTGGCACAGCCAACATATTCTCCTTGAACCATACATTGATGGATGGAAAATGACATAGGAAGAAATTTAGATGGACGGTCATACAAAGCATTGACTATATCATCTTGAAATTTTTTTCCTGCTAACATACATTAAGAATACAATTTGGATGACCACCATATGCATTTCAATCACTTCTACCACCAAATATTGGTTATGATCTTCATTTATTACTTATTTTAACAAATTGAGAAAGATTAATAAACATGATAATGTACAATGTATTCTATATTCTTTTTAATAAAGTATAAATCGTAACTTATTCTAACCGCAGAAACCTTTTGAAACATGCACTTTTTATTTGTATAACAAATGCCCAATGAGTTTTTATTCATTTCAGCTGATATGAGAAATCTATACAATGCATCACCAGCTACTATTAGTAGGGTATACAAGTACTCCTACAAGGAGTCAACTGATGATTTCAGCTATTTGACTTATTTGTAGATCAAGTCTTGCTGATCATTTTTGCTTAATTATGTTTCTTTCTATCTTTTATATTTTTTTCAGATATTAGGCAAAAACGTAAAAAATTGGTAAAAATCATAGTCCAACAAGGGGTGGTCAGACGATTTCAAAATTGTTAACTTATTTGTAGATCTTGTCTTTCTGGTTACTTTTGCTTATTGAAATTTCTATCTATCTACATGTATAATAGTTTTTCAGATATTAGGCAAAAACGCAAAAAAATGAAAAAAATCGTTGTTAAAGGTCAATAATTCCAATAAGGAGTCATCTGATGATTTTGACCATTGGACTTTATAGTTGATAATTTTTCATCATAAAGTTTCTCCCAATCTATAATAGTTTTTCAGATAAAAGGCTAACATGAAAAAAATCGGTAAAATTTGTCATTTAAGGCTAATAACTTGTATAGGAAATCGTCTGACAGTTTTGAAGTAAAAAAAACAATGAGTAGATCTCATCATTCTGAACATTTTTGCCCCATAAGATTTTCTCTATTTATTACAGTTTTCAAGATAATAGACAAGACTTGCATTTTACCCCTATGTTCTATTTTTAGCCATGTCAGCCATGTTGTTTGGCAGGCGGGGTCATCAGACACATTTTTTTTAACTTAATACCCTAATCATGTTGTGGACAAGTTGGGTTAAATTTGGTCCAGGAGTTTCAGAGGATAAGATTTAGTAAAAGTTAACAATGAAGACAACGGACGTCAAATGATGAGAAAAACTCACTTTGCCTTTTATGCCAGGTGAGCTAAAAATGGATCAAGGTACTGAGTTTAGATTTCTTACATGCTCTGCATCTTGTTATACTTTAATTTACAAAGAGACATGTTAAACAAAATTTAAAGATTGTTATGTGTTTGTCATTAATTTTCATTAGTCAGACTTTGTTATCATTGATAAAACATTGGTAATTTGGTATTGGTTTCAATCTGGCTTAATATGATACACTTTATAAGATATTGGTCTAGCAGTCAAAATAAAGCTGAAGAAATGACTTTAAAATTATACTTGCTATGGTTCCATAAGAAAGTTTTTTTTTATCATTTAGTTCTATAATTCCTGACACTCACAATGAATCGTAAACAAAAAGTGACCCGACTATAATTGCCTCAAAATTTAAAAAAAAACTGTTACTTCATCTGTGGATAAGCATTTTTTTTTTAAATATATGTATAATGATATGCTAGTTGATTTTCTTTTTAATTTAATGGGTAGCAGAATGGGTTGGCAAAATGCTAAACTAAATGAGTATCATTTTTTTTAAAAGCTTTACAACTTATAACAGTAGAATGAGTTTGGTGATACATATATGTGGTACCATTCCTTTTAATTGGAGGAGTGGTCCAACTTGGAAGTGAATATTTTTCTGTGCAGTCCCGTTACCATAAATGACTTTAGGTAAATCTAAATATAGCTTCCTTTTTTGTGTATAAAATACAAATAATATTTTATGCAAAGAATAAATAATCTTACTTTGGATATTCTAAGTCAAGCAAAATTCCAAAAATTTTCAAATCTGATCTTGAATAAATTTTGGAAAAATTAAATGTGAAAATTTGATAGTAAATACTTTTCTAAATATATTGAGAGTATATATGTCATTAAGACTGCAAGCAAAAAACTCAAAATAACCAAAGGACATTTAGAGGTCTATAACATACAGTCTACAACAACAGACAATGTGTAAAGCCCTAAATTATCCTCAGTCTAAAATAAATAATAAATTAAACAGTAGCTATAATAATATTAGAATACCTGCCCAAAATGGGGGACAATTCAAACAAATCTTATGCCAAACAACAAAAAATTTTCAATAAATTTTCCATGTTTTTTCTTTTATTAAATATATATCTCTTTACACTGCAACTGTTTGATAAAGAAAGTTTCCATTAATCATAACTTTAAAGACTGTAATAATACCGATAATAAAGCAAGAACTACACTGTTTATAAACATTTCTGATTTAGTTATAAACATACAAAGTTGTAAAAATCCAGTGATTTGTAGTACACAAAAAATGTACATGATGATCAATAAAATAAATAATAAGTTACAAATAGACAACATTACATGTATAAAAGCACAAAATCTAGCAGATTCTTTTTTCTGCAAAAACAGAAATTTAGTACAAATTATTATTAATTCTATAAATTCAGAAAATTTGAATACTATACCTGCAATTTCAGAAGAACAGCATAGCATATTTCTGAAAATCCAGAAATAATGCACAATTTATTTCTCAAATAACAACATATCATAGTAAAACTTCATTTTTAGCAAAACTATGTCTAAAAGTTCTTATTTTAAGCACAAACCATTACTGAAATTCTGAAATATCAGGCTCATGGTAGAACCTTCAGTTTTAACAAAATTATGTCTGAAAATTCCTATTAAAAGCACAAATTATTACTGAAATTCAGAAAAATCAACACATTGTAGTAACTTCGTTTTTAACACCGTGAGTCTTCCATAGATGTCTACATCTACTGTCAGAGCGAGTAAACACTTTCAAACATATATGGCATCTGTACTGTCCTTCACCTCCACCGCCACAAATTGTCTTTTCATGTCGTGACCTTGTACATTTCAGAGTGAACCCCTTCCCACAATGCTTGCAAAAATATTTCTTCTCCTTGTCTGTATTTAGAGCTATACTATAGGACAAAAGTGGTGATTTCTTTTCTGAGGCAGTTGAGGTTGATTGGAGATCAATCATACTTTGTCTATCTCTAAACGATGATTCATGTGCACTAAGTTGATCTTTTTTACACTTGTTCATTAGTAGATTATCTACACTTTTCGTCCCTTTATTCAACAGTGCTCTAGTCTCTAATAAGCTTCTAGTAAATGGAGGGAAACAGCTAACATTTTCAAGATTTGAGAAGCTTGACGAATCTCTGAACTGTGTATCTTTTCCACGATAACTAAAAGAATCTAGATGTTTGTCTTCAGGACTTGTACCACAGTAGCCAGATGTTTTTGATAAATCAATTTGTCCAACTGAGGGTCTGACTTGATATCCATCAGTGTCTGGAAAATGGATATCTTTGTTATTTGAGTTTCTGTTTGGGCTTTCGTGTGCTGAATTATCTGTGAGATGACCTTCGATTGTAATAAGAGATTCTCTACCTTTGGAGTAAGATGATTCATTTTCATCCTGTGATGGCAATTGAATCCATTTTCTAGATGGTAGACTATCACTGCCTAGTTCTTCATGTTTATTATTTTTGTCCGAGCAAATGCCACCATGTTTTGAATCGTCAATGCCTTCATCGTCAAAATTTTCAACCTTGACAATGACATATCCGTCTTTTACAGATTCACAAAAGTTTGTTTTCTTTCCATTTGGAGACTGATTTTGCCCTATAGTATCATTTGCAGAATGACGTGGACTGGATTTGGAGGACTCCTGATCTTTTGACACATTCATATCTTCATCTGAAGAGTCAGACACAACATCAGGTTCTTCAATAGTGTTTCTTTTTCGTTGAACTACTTTAAACATTTTCCTTTTTGACTTAGAACTATGCACGTCCCCTTCAAATTGTTTATTATTCAGTGATGAGACAGATTCCATCTTTGGAAAGACTGAACTTCCAGGGCTAAGAGACAGTGAATTTTCATTCCTAACATCTAAGTATGAGCTTTGCATACTATCTCTATCTTCTACGACTTCATCTGACTCATTATTGCGTACAACATACATATGTTGTCCATTATTACAGTTATTAGGTGACCTATGAACTTTTGTTACTGCAGCGTCACTACATGAAAGACCTGTGCGAAAATCGTTCAGCTGAATTTTCTCATGAATCTTTACAACATGCTGGTCAGGACTGTCAGGAAATGATATGCAAATAATTCCATCTACTTCAAGGTTTGGGGCACATGTAGCATAATTTTTTTGGCACAGATTTAAAACAGCTTTCTGTAGTAATGTTCTTACATGTTTTTGTCGTGAAATCCTTTCATAATATGCCTGGTCCATTTTGTGTCTGGAAAAGAAAATAATAAAATATAATATAGGACTTAACTCATACTTATTGTATAACTAATAACCATATTTGAATCTAAAAAATAAGACCATGTGTGACCAATAATGCATTGATTGAATTTAATACATAGCGGCCCAGAGGCAGAATTAGGGGGGGGGGGAATTAAGTTATACTTCTTGTCCCCCATGAATTAATGTCTGCCAAACATTTTTTTTACACTAAATACTGTCCAAGGACAGTATTTACTTCATATAATGTGTCCTGGACACAATTTTACCTATGAAGAAATGTCCTAAGCTGTGAAAAAGTGACCATGTTATCACTGGACATTTTTTCATAGTAAATACTGTCCATGAACAATATTTACTTATTCAAATGTGTCCCAGACACAATTTACCTATGAAAAAATGTCCTGAGCTGTGAAAATGTGTCAATTATATATCACTGGACACTTTTTACAATTAAATTTGAGTCTTGAACAATCTTTGGAAAGTAATATTTTGATGCAATTTTGGAAACTGTCTTATTTACACCAAGATGACAGCCACTTTCATCATGACACATAAACAATACAGTGTCCAGCTTATCACTATGATCCACAAGCTTGCCTATACTTTCTTTGGCCTTCATGTCCTTATAAATATAATATAACTCCTCCAATTTTAATTTTTTTGATTTTGACATTTTCTTCGAAATGTTCCCCTTACATTTTCATTAAACTTTTCTGAGTACTTTTTTGAACTAAAAAAGAATCAAATTTGTCGGTCTTTACTGCCATCCATTTTTTGTGATTTCTACTTCTACTTCTACCATTTTGCGGCCACCATCAATAAACTGATTATTTTGCCACTCTTTGGATGCGCATGTAAATGTTTTAGATAAAAATTCGTAAGGGTTCCGCGGAACCCAGTGTCTCGCCTACTTTTTGCTGTTAATCACAGGCTCAACAAAAATGAGGAAAAAAATTAATAAAAATATTCCTCTCTATACTATCTTTTGATTGTAAGTAGCTTCTGTCCAAGTTTGGTAAAAATCCAGGATAGTTTATGAATCTAATAAATGTTTTAAAAACTTAAACTGCAGACTGTATGTAATGTTAACTGGAAGAAAAACTAAGTCCATTTATAAGTAAAATACGGAAAAAATGGAACAAAATTTCCTTCTAGATACTAGCTTATAATCATAAACAAGCTTCTGTCCAAGTTTGGTACAAATCCAGGATAGTTTAAGAAAGTTGTTAAAATTTTAAAAACTTTAACCACAGAGTGAATGTAATGTTAACTGGCAGAAAAACTAAGTCCATTTATAAGTAAAATACGGAAAAAATGGAATTTTTTTTTAACAAAATTTACTTTTGAATATTATCTTATGATCATAAACAAGCTTCTGTACAAGTTTGGTAGAAATCCAGGATAGTTTAAGAAAGTTATTAAAATTTCAAAAACTTTAACCACAGAGTGAATGTAATGTTTCCTGGCAGAAAAACTAAGTCCATTTATAAGTAAAATACGGAAAAAATGGATTTTTTTTTTTGCAAAATTTACTTTTGAATATTATCTTATGATCATAAACAAGCTTCTGTCCAAGTTTGGTAGAAATCCAGGATAGTTTAAGAAAGTTATTAAAATTTCAAAAACTTTAACCACAGAGTGAATATTTGTGGACGCCGCCGACGACGACGACGACGCCGACGGAATGTAGGATCGCTATGTCTCGCTTTTTCGACAAAAGTCGAAGGCTCGACAAAAATATGTGATTAAATTCATCTATTTCTAATACACCTTTCTTAATCAATTACTATTCAAGCATAATAAAACATTATGATGACCTTTGTATTTACTTCCCTTGGAGCTCATAATTTAATAACAACTGCTATGAAATATTTTCCTGTGGGAGGACACTATAACTGTTAGTGTAAAATTCTGTCAACTTGAGACAAAATTTCATGGCAATGGACATATTTTAATACTTTAATTCTGTGAAAAACTGTCCAGGTGGACTCTTTTTCACAAGATACTATTATGTCTTACAATCATTCATATTAATCATGATTAATAAAACAAAATTAATAGAGTGGGGTACTCACTTTCGCCATAATTTTGCATGTTTTCTGCAGTTTATGTTCAGACCTTTAAGTTTTTGAAGTATACTGATATTTCTATATGAAGATAACATCAAAAGCAAAATATTCTTAGCTTGAAAACGTGTTTCTCTGAAAAAATTCATCTGAAAAGTTAGATTAAAGGCTATTTGAAATTTCCTGATGTTTTGTCATAGGGGACACATATTCGCCGTTTTTATACATCTATTTAAAACCAAATAACTGCAGCTTCAAACAATATTTATAAAATCAATTTCACTATAGATGAATAGCAGACATTTCAAAGGTGTAAAGAATTGAAATTTAGGGCAATCAGTCAAAGAATAACTAAGAAATACTTCTTTGAAACCTTTTTTTTCATTCAGGAAATTGGCCGAAAATAGTTGTCCGTTTTTCCGTCCTTTGCGGTAAGTGCCGAAATTTTTTTTAAGTTTAAACAATAATCATATTTGTTATAAAAATATAATTTACCGGCATATTTCTTCCATTTCAGCAATCCTTTGAAGTTTCTACACCTCAAAATCATAAAACGGCAAAATTGTGTCCCCGGCGAATATGTGCGCCCCACTCTACATTATACAACAAAAATTAACAATGATAAGTTAGAATGAAATGACAAATAATGACAAAAAGAACCAAATATAAACATGTAGGACTTGCACAATATAAAATTAACCACATAATATAATAAAAATGTTAACAGTTATTCGCCTATCAGGAATCATACTAGAGGGGGTGTAGGACCTTTATCGGGACTCCGGGATCGGGTGTTTTTAAGCTCGGGATTTCAGGAATGATCCTTTTGGATCCTGAATTCTTTTTTCGAATTTCGGGATTTAAATTTTTTTTAATTCGGGACCTCAGGATTCCATGTTTTTAAGCCCGGAATTTCAGGATCAGGACCCCTCCTACTAGTCCAAATAATTATGGCATCATGAAAGGTTATTTTGAGGTGTAGCTGTAACAACACCCTGCTAAAAATAAAAATCCTTCTCAAGACGTCATAATTATTTGGACTAGCGTGACTCCTGATAGACAAATAACATTGTTATTACACAAATTTAGATGTGGTATGATTGTCAAATTATGAGGCAGCCATTAATATTAGACCAAAAGACAACTATCAAATGTATGTGTATATAATGTTATTCTTATCATGATATTGTTTCCGATATTTTTTATCTACATAGAATTTGTATTTGTGTATCTAAAAAAGGCAGAGAGATGATGAACAGTATAAGAAATATTATACATGTTTTCAGTCAAAATAAAAATTTCGGCTGTGTTTCATCTTGAGGGAGATAATCACGAGTGTTGGTCATACCTTTATATACAGATATGATTTCTTAATTCATTATTTCTGAGTTAGTCTTAAAGAACCATAAAAGGCAATGATCTGTGTGGTCTAACTTTCTTCTTTAGATGGAAGTTATTGACGATGATGGCGACATCTTTCGACATTTTTTTTTTAAGAAAACCAAAATCGGGGAAGACCCGAAAACATTTCGGAATTGATTTATCAGTAACTGGAATATAGTCAACCATTTGGTGTCATATAGTTAAAGCTGTTGACAGGGCTAATGCTTTACATTCTATTTGAAGCAATTTTAGTATGTCTAATAAGAAACAGAAATAGGTATTCCTGGTTTGGATGTGTAAACAAAATTTTTAGTCCCCACTTGGAAATTTCTATCTAAAAATCCACAAAATTTAAAAATCAGTTATTAGTAAATATATAATATATATATATATATAATTAAAGTAAAAAATAAAAATCTACATTCTAAACTTGTAAACATATTATATCATGTATATATAGTCGAAATCCGAATATGGTGTACAAAAACCTTTGTACCTTTTGTTTGCGGTATACCATCTTTTCCGCAAGTTTATTGTTTTCTGTTCTGTATTAAATTTATAATTAAGATCCATTTATTACATCGGAGATCCGTTTATTTGGCAATCGTTGTTTTCAATTTAGACTTGTTTATATATATATATATGCCGACTTTGAATAAAGTTTACTTAAGATTACAACAGCCTCAGATTTGACTTTAAAATAAAATGAGAAGCAAAATCATGATTAGAAACAATTTCAAGTAAATATTAGATGCATTCATTTGCATTAAGGTAGATTAACTGTGTACCACCATCTTGGATTGTAAAATAGCAGTAAACAATCGGTCTAGTTCTTTGTTTAAATCAGCAAATATTGAGACAGAATGGCAAATTTATGTGTTATAAAATAGAGAATGGAAATGGGGAATGTGTCAAAGAGACAACAACCCGACCAAAGAGTAAAAAACAGCCAAAGGCCACCAATGGGTCTTCAACTCAGCAAAGAAAATCCCGCACCCGGAGGCGGACTTCAGCTGGCCCCTAAACAAAAATGTGTACTAGTTCAGTGAAAATGGATGTCATACTAAACACCTTTACATATAAATGAACCAAAATAAAAAAAAAACACACAAGACTAACAAAGGCCAGAGGCTCCTGCGACTTTTGACAGGCGCAAAAATGCGGCGGGGTTAAACACGTTTAGTGAGATCTCAACCCTCCGCCTATACCTCTAGCCAATGTAGATTAAACAAACACACAGCAATATGCACAGTAAAACTCAGTTTAAAAGTAGTCAGAGTCCGATGTCAGAATAGGAAACAAAAGAAACTAAGCAAAATGACAATGATACATAAATTAACAAAAGACTACTAGCAGTTACTGACATGCCAGCTCCAGACCTCAATTAAACTGATTGAAAAATTATGTCTTCATCATATGAAAATCAAGCACAATCCCTCCCGTTAGGGGTTTAGTATAATACCATCATAAAATATATGAGAACATAACCCGTATCATGCCAACAACTGGTTTTAGAATAAATGTGTTTATTTCCGATGCAAAGACCCTATCAATATTAATACCAAAATATGACCTGACACTGAGACTACTATAACACATATTTTAGTAGTCTCAGCCTGACAACAGTATCGTAACTATATTCCTTCTGAATAAGTCTGTTTAAGATTATTTATTTAAATGAAGAAAAATAAGAAATTTATTGCATTATTAAGACTGTTTTTACAAATACCAAACATTTTTTTCTGTTCGATTCAACTTTTCGACTTAGTCATATAAGGGGGGGGGGTTGAGTACTAACTCTATAATAGTAATATTATTGTATAGGAATGTAGTAAGAAAACAAGATTGGTGACACCATTTCTTATTTTTATTTTCTAAAAGCATATTATAAGACATGTCATCTCAAATTCGATTTCACAGATTTCTTTCTATTCACAAAAAAGTTTTTTTTTCATGAATTATCTATGGATAAGTGGCCAATCGTTTGTACAACTTGTAGCTTGTAAAATAGCACGGTGACCCATATACTTTTATTATATTTTTAAAAAAGCGTGGTAAAATTTTGGCAAAGTTTTAGAAAATATATAGTGATGATCCACCTTTAATATATACTCATATGTAGTTGTTCACATTATTGTCTTTTTGTCTTTGGTGTATAGTTGTTTTATTGACAAACATACCACACTCTTCTACTCTTTTTTTAAAATCAAATATCAGGAATATTGCTATGATCATAGCAAAATTTTCCCTGAAAGAGGCCTCATTACCACAAGCCATATATAAAGAAATTTGATAAAATGCTAATTTTCGGACCCTTAAGTAATTTTTTCGTGTGAAGACTGCAACATTGACATCTAACATCTGTACCGTGCAAGCTAATAGAACATATTATCTGTAGACATATATATGTATATGCTTAAATACCTAGAGAAGCACAGAGTACTTGCATCACTAAACCATGGATTCAGGTCGGGCTATTCCTGTGAAACCCAACTTATACAGTTACACTACATGCATGACTTCATGAAATCCTTTGACACAGGAAAACAAACCGATGTAGCTTTCCTGGACTTCTCCAAAGCATTCGACACATTGCCACATAACAAACTACTCCATAAAATAGACGAATATGGTGTGAGAGGACCACTCAACAAATGGTTAGAAATGTTCCTAACCCAAAGGAAAATAAAAAGACGTTGTAGATGGTGAGGAATCAGAAGAAACTTCAGTTGACTCCGGTGTTCCACAAGGAACTGTACTAGGACCGCCTCTCTTCCTCTGCCATTAACGACCTGCAAGATACAGTAAAACATAAGTCAGACTTTTTGAAGATGACTGCCTTCTTTACAGGACCATTAATACACAACATGACAACACACTCCTACAACAAGACCTCTAAAACCTTGAAATATGAGCCAAAGACTGGGGCGTGCGCTTCAATGCAAAGAAGTGCTATATTCTGAGCATCAGGAACAAAAGTCAGAACACGTACAGCCTTGACGAACAGGTACTGCATCAGGTCCAACATAATCCATACATAGGCTTGCAAATATCTGAAAACCTGAAATAGACTACACATATATCAAATGTAGCAAAGAAATCCAATTCCACGCTTGATTTTCTCAGAAGAAATGTAAGAGTTTGCCCCAGAGGTTGCAAAAAGACCGCATATATATCGTTAGTGAGATCGACTATGGAATATGGGGCCATAATATGGGATCCATATACACAGCACGATTTAAACCATGCAACTAGAAAGGATCCAACTTAGGGCAGCCAGATTTATTACAGGCGATTACAGATCTAGAGAAGCCTGAGGGGTCGGTCACTGAAAATGCTAGCCGAGTTAGAACTGGACAATCTACAGTCAAGAAGAACAAGTCAACGGCTGGTATTTCTGTACAAAGTGGTTGAGCTAGGGTTTGGTCCCAACGATTAATCCTAACGATTTTCTGGTTAAAAATAAACCTAAAAGAAAAACTATGCCGGAAAAAAATGATAAATATACACAGCACGATTTAAACCAACTAGAAAGGATCCAACTTAGGGCAGCCAGATTTATTACAGGCGATTACAGATCTAGAGAAGCCTGAGGGGTCGGTCACTGAAAATGTTAGCCGAGTTAGAACTGGACAATCTACAGTCAAGAAGAACAAGTCAACGGCTGGTATTTCTGTACAAAGTGGTTGAGCTAGGGTTTGGTCCCAACGATTAATCCTAACGATTTTCTGGTTAAAAATAAACCTAAAAGAAAAACTATGCCGGAAAAAAATGATAACTTTGAAAGTGCCAATATAGTGTTAAATTCAGTAAAGAACAATACGAAGGCACTAGACACTATTCCATATAACACGGATATTTATATAAGAACTCTTTCTTTGTCAAGAGAATCAATAATACAGTTGAACTAACTGGAAGACAGTATTGTATGCGCAAATACAGTTGAGAGCTTCAAGGTAGCTTTCCCACATCGTCAATAGGTTTCTCGCTCAGAATTGGTATCTTCAACTTATATATACAGATAAAGATACAGGATCATACAGATAATCTGTTTATTTAAATAGTTACCATATTTTTAATCTAAATTTTAAACTTCAATGTAGGTAAAAAATGTTTTAATTAAACATATTTATTCTAAAACCAGTTGTTGGCATGACATGGGTTATGTTCTTCTCATATGTTTTATGATAGTATAATACTAAACCCCTAACAGGAGAGATTGTGCCTGATATTCATATGATGAAGACATAATCGTTCAATCAGTTTAATTGAGGTCTGGAGCTGGCATGTCAGTAACTGCTAGTAGTCTGTTGTTATTTATGTATCATTGTCATTTTGTTTATTTTCTTTTGTTTCCTATTCTGGCATCGGACTCTAACTTCTCTTAAACTGATTTTTACTGTGCGTACTGTTGTACGTTTGTTTAATCCACATTGGCTAGAGGTATAGGGGGAGGGTTGAGATCTCAAAAAACATGTTTAACCCCGCCGCATTTTTGCGCCTGTCCCTAGTCAGGAGCCTCTGGCCTTTGTTAGTCTTGTATCATTTTTAATTTCAGTTTCTTGTGTATAATTTGGAGTTTAGTATGACGTCCATTATCACTGAACTAGTATACATATTTGTTTAGGGGCCAGCTGAAGGACGCCTCCGGGTGCGGGAGTTTCTCGCTGCATTGAAGACACATTGCCGGGTGGCCTTCGGCTGTTGTCTGCTCAGTCTATGGTCGGGTTGTTGTCTCTTTGACACATTCCCCATTTCCATTCTCAATTTTATTTACTTCATTATAAATTTGTTGCTAAATTTTTATTGCATGCTAAATATTTAAAATGTATATAAACTTATGCCGAATCAAAATATTTTTTTCTTATCGTATCTTATCCAGCCAGCACGGTATATGGAATCCGGATTTTATGCACTATTCCGTCTGTCATTTTATTTTTACACCCACCGGAAGTTGCATGTGAAGAAATTTCTCTCAAAATGTTCAAAAAGTTGGTATTTTCCAGATTCTTTATAATTATTGATGAGCAGATATACATATATACAAACTGATACGCTATCTTGATTTAATAATTAATGTCTGTCCTTAAAAAAATAAGAAAATCAACGTAACAAAAGTTAGATAAACACATTTTAACATCAGCTGCTAGTTGATGAAACATTGTTCTTTGACTTTGTAGTGGGTTTATAGTTGATACAAGCATATAGAAGGAAAATATGATCTCCATATTTGCTCATCAATACTGTAATTGGAAGTATAGGCTTGGATCACTTTGGTATTTCAAGAGTATTCCTCAACAATTTCACGAGGCCTCAGGTTTGTCAACTTGGGGAAGATCCTCATGTACTATCCCTATTTATGGAAATTATACCCAAAATCAGGTACTGGTCCAGTACCAGTTACCTTCAGAAAATCAAATTTTTTCTCAAAAAGCTTTAAAGAGTAAATACTTTTCAATATATTCAGTGATTTTCCTGTCTTTATTTTAGGTCCGAATTTTGGCCCTGTTCCCAATTAGAAAAACCCTATTTTTTCCCCAAATAAACACGGAAAATTCCCAATTCAATCAAGTTGTAACGGAAAGGTAATTGATTATTTTATCGTTCGTATGATTTGGTTCAAAAATATAGGTTGTCGTACTGTTCCTTGAGAAAAACAAGTAGATAGACAGATGTTAATATTTCAGGAACCAGTTTAACTTAGTTCTGCATGGTTAATCTGAAAACCTGGAAAACGTGAATAACCATGATCTAAATTTTCAAAGGAACCAACTTTAATTCTATGAAAGTTTGCAAGTACAGTCAATTTTTTTCTTTAAATAATATTGTTGAAAGATTGATGATTACTATCACATGTAATTTCGATTAAAAAAACATAGAGCATTTTTTTAAATTTCATTTTTGTCTCCATAAATGCGCTTAACTGTCTTTGTTAATTTTTTGGTCTATTTATAAATTTTGTAAACATGCCAAAGTGTGGGGCGAAATGGTTTTTTCAACGGTCAATGCGTTATTTTCTTCTGTTAGTTGTGATGATAATATCAATAAAACCGGCAATCAAGCCAAAGAAATGCATGAAACAGCATTCATTAAATACCATGGAAAGTATGACAGTCCAATTACACTTGGGAATTCACGGGAATAGAAACAAATCTTAATTTATCTCCTACTATTAAAAGTGGTTAAATCAGTTGTAATAATTTGAATGTGAATTGTTCTACTAGTCACGTATCAAGATTTGATTCTTGTTTTTTTATGCCCCCGCCGTAGCGGTGGGGGCATTAAGTTTTACCCTTGTCTGTACGTACGTAAGTCCCAAAATTGGTTTCCGTTCTCTAGAGTTTGCCTCAACCAAATGTTATGAAACTTATACACAATGCTTATTACCACAAAACACAGATCAAGTTTGAATTTTGGCGGCGTCACTTTAACCGTTCTAGAGTTATGCCCCTTTATTAATGGAAAAATTGCAAAATTTTTAGTTTCCGTTTCTCTAACTTAAGTTTGCCTCAACCAAATGTTATGAAACTTATACACAATGCTTATTACTACATTATACAGATTAAATACGAAATTTGGTGGCGACACTTTTACCATTCTTGAGTTATGTCCCTTTATAAACATAAAAGTTGCTGAATTTTTCTTTTCCGTTCTCTTAACTTTAGTTTGTCTCAACGAAATGTTATAAAACTTATACACAACTGTTCTAGAGTTATGTGTGTTTACAAATAGAAAAATTGCTGAATATTTAGTTTCTGTTCTCGACTTAAGTTAGCCTCAACCAAATGTTATTAGACTTACACACAATGCTTATTACCACAAAACTCAGAACAAGTTCTAATTAGGGTAGCGTCACTTTTACTGTTCTTCAGTTATGTCCTTTTATAACTATATGATATGCAAGCGGGGGCATCATCTGTGTCCATATGTGGACACTATCCACATTTATTTTGTCATCATAAACAGAATTGGATAGTACTTTCCTGTTTTAGTATATACTTTTAACTTTAAAAATGGTCCATTAAAATTTATATGAGGGAGCCCTTTGCCCATAGAGACAAAATCTTTCCAGATCACTGCATACATACTCTTTAATGGAGATAACTCGTTAAAATTAAAAATAAATAGTTGTGTCTCTAAATTCTATTAGCAAACCACAAACATCATGCAAAACATCTGGAAATGCCCCAGATCACATGATTTAGCTTCATGAACTTTAAAATTGGAGGGGGGGATGCCATCAGACACATGTAGCATTGGTCGTGCCTATGGAATTTGACGGGCTAGCAGAGTAGGAAGACTTTAAAAAAAAATTAAATTAAATAGCTCTCTGGGCTAGTAAAGGAATTTAGTTAGTGTCAAACCCTGATGATATATATTAACATGCATCAAGAAAAAAAAATTATATGTTCAAATTTGAACATGATGGAAAATTGGAATTCTAATAAATAACCTCATTAAACTATGATGAAAACAATAATTTATTTTTTCCCAATTCACACGTTATATATATATATATATACACGACACATTTTTCCCAATTGCCTAGGGCCCAGGCCCCATTTGAAAAAAAGGCAGGAAAATCACTGATATTCTTTAAACATATACATTTAACCATGTAGTCTGGGTTACCTGAATAGTGAGGTCTATGAACATAGACTCAGACTTTAATTCCTCTTTTATACAGCAAAAAAGCTGGCTCCTATTGTATTTATTTTTGCTTGAAATTTTATTGGTACGTGGACCAGTTACTGTCATTACTGTCATCTATGGATATAGTTTATATCAGAATCTAATTATAGAAATTTTCTATTAATTAGAAAATTATTGTCATATTTTGCTGTTTTGAGGCAAACAGAGATAGAGAACCAATGTTTGAAACAATAAGGAATGCACAACCTTTCACATTAATATTAAAAAAAAAATATATTTGAAGCCAAATGATGCTACATTTTTGTACCTCCCATTGGTATGAGACCTCATTGTTAAGTTGAGGATGTTGATCACACTGTAATAAGTGCTGCTATTATCTCTTGAACTTGAATATACATATGTAAAATAATTACTAAGGTCAGTCATTACATTTGATTGTTAACAGTAGTTTTAACCCAGCATTTACATAGTCAGAGATAATACATACAGTAAGTAATAATACTCCATGTACAAAAATGAATATGTGGACATCAATACATATCATACCATATCTTATTTATATATATATGATTTGTGTTCCATTTAAACCAAGATTCTTTAACTAATTATTTGTAGATTTGATGAGAGAGAAATGGTATCTGGGGTTAACAATCCCAAATCATCAGTACAGAAAGGTATCAGAAATTCAATATTAGAAAACTATCCAGCAATAGAAACATATCTAGATACCATTATACCAAAGAAGGGAGATTTAAAAATTGTTAAATGGTAAGATATTATTCTAGTTCAGGGGTTTAAAAATTGAGGTCTGTAGGTTTTAAGAATGCTGTCAGGCTGTACTACATGTATATTAACCTTATTGTAAGTCAGTGTAAGAAGAAAATCATGAAATTTGTTAAGAATATTGGTTAGACAATGTGGTCCTAGTCATCTTGGGTTTCAGAAGACTTAACAAGTTTGACTGGATATGGGCATAGCCATAGTATGATTTAAAAATGAATCAATAATGACTAGGTCTGTAATTATTTATTCATTCAAATGTATCATAATGATAAATGATGAAATGTGGTATGATTGCCAATGAGACATCTATCCATAAACACAGTAGGACAATGATGTGAAGTTAATGTATCAAGAAATTTGACTAATTAATAAGATATGCTCAATGCAAGAACTTATCAACATAATATATTTATTTTTTTCTTAGAATTCTGACAAGTTGACACAGGAGTTTGACTTCCTTTTTGAAAATATATACATTGTACCTAATGAATACTACTGTATCATTTTGTGGGTACATGTACTGATTTTGGTGGATTGAAGCAAAAAATGTATTTTCATAAATTTTCAATTTCATGTTTCACTTCAATTTCAGTAAGGTATTCATACATTTAGTAACTGTTACTAAATGGTCAAAATGCAGTTTTTATGCCCCGCCGTAGTGGAGTGGCATCAAGTTATACCCTTGTCCGTCTGTACGTACGTACGTACATTTGTACCTCCCAAAATTGGTTTCCGTTCTCTAACTTGAGTTTGCCTAAACCAAATATTATGAAACTCATACACAATGCTTATTACCACAAAATACAGATCAAGTTTGAATTTTGGTGGAGTCACTTTAACCATTCTAGAGTTATGCCCCTTTATTTATTCCAAAAATTCCAAAATTTTTAGTTTCTGTTCTCTAACTTAAGTTTGCCTCTACCAAATATTATGAAACTTATACACAATGCTTATTACTACAAAACACAGATCAAGTCTGAATTTTGGTGTGGTCACTTTAACAATTCTTGAGTTATGCCCCTTTATAAATGGAAAAAATAATGCAAAATTTTTAGTTTCCGTTCTCTAACTTAAGTTGCCTCAACCAAATGTTATGAAACTTATACACAATGCTTATTACCACAAAACACAGATCAAGTTGAATGTTGGTGGCGTCACTTTAACCATTATCGAGTTATGCCTCTTTATAAATCGAAAAATTGCAAAATTTTTAGTTTCCGTTCTGTAACTTAAGTTTGCCCCAACCAAACATAATGAAACCTATACACAATACTTATTACCACAAAACTCAGATCTAGTACAAATTTGGGTAGCGTCACTTTTATTGTTTTTGAGTTATGTCCCTTTATAATTTTGTAAGCGGGGGCATCATCTGTGTCCATGGGGACACATTTTCCATTTATTTCATATTGCTGTCAGTAAGTTAAATATTTTGTATTCCTTTGTAGTCATGAACATATAGAAATATTAGCGAACTCAAAGGGAGAGCCTGTATTCTTCAGACAGAGAGATGGCCCATATATGCCTACACTCAGGTTATTACATAAATGTAAGTTGTGCAGGGAAGAGACCAGATAAGTTTACCAAAAATTTTGATGATTATCATTTCTTTGACAAGGTTTCTGTCTTGAATATATACAAAAATGTTGGGTTAATATCAATAAGACCGTTACCCAACAACACCTAAGTTATCCATAAACTTGAGGAAAAAATAGTTACAAAGCCTTGCTTTAGTTGCAGAGTATTTCTTTAGACATCTACTAAAATTGCTAATGACAGTAATGAAAAAAAAACTTGAATAAACTGAGAAGTGCGTAAAAATTGATAAGATAATTACTTAACAACACAGTAAAACAAAACAAAAACCAAATCTTTCAACAGCATGTTTGGCATAATATGACAGATTAAGGTTTACCAATTACCAAGGGTTCAATCATCATGATCATGCAGATTTGTATCATCTATTCAGTGTACAATTTACTACAACTACATGTTGATAATGCAATCTTTATAGTAAAAGTTTGATTCAATATATATGTGTGCACATTTTTATACGACCGCGGTCATATATTGGCATGACGTCGGCATGGTCAGCATCGTCCGAAGACACATTGGTTTTCGCACAATAACTTTAGTTTAAGTGAAAAGATCTCTATGAAATTTAAATATAAGGTTTATAACCACAAAAGAAAGGTTGGGAGTGATTTTGGGGGTTATGGTCCCAACAGTTTAGGGATCAGGGGCCAAAAAGGGGCCCAAATAAGCATGTTTCTAGTTTCATGACAATAACTTGTGGAACAGTGTATGGATCTCTCTGAAACTATACCACAAGTTTCCATACCACAAAGGGATGGTTAGGATTGGCTTTGGTGGTTATGGCTCAAACTGTTTAGGAATTAGGGGCAAAAAAGTGATAAAAACAAAGGTGTCCTGGTTAATGGACAATTACTTAAGTACAAATTACAGTGTAAGGGAGGTAATTCAAAAACTACTTTGAATTGTTTTAAATTATGTATAAAGAATTTTTATACGACCGCAAAAAAATTTGTGCAAGATTATATTTTACTTTGGTTTATTTACTGTCAGTTTTGTGAAAACCAACTTAACTTTCTATTTCAGACCCATTCATTTTACCACACATGCAGGTAGACAAAGGTGCAATACGTTTTGTATTAAGTGGAGCTAATATTATGTGTCCGGGATTGACATCGCCTGGTGCCAAGATGTCTAATTTAGAAGCTGGAAAAGTAGCAACGATTGTGGCAGAAGGCAAAGAACATGCATTAGCTGTAGGAAAATTAGTTATGTCAACAGAAGAAATGTAAGATTTCTCAATTTTTATAGCTGTAAATTTCTTAAAGGACAAAAATCATTCAAGTACGATTGAAGTCAGCTTCTAATGAAGTTGATGACTTGGATAAAGGCATATAAACATGTAATTGATTGATTGTTGGTGTTTAACACCACTTTTAGAGCTATTGGCTATATCATGGCAGCTATATTTGTTAGTGGCAGAAGCTTGAGTCTCTGGAGAAAATTGGAAATGATTATGTAAACAAGGCCAAAAGTCTGTTTTAATAAGAAACACCAATCAATTCAATGAATGAATTTCCAAAAAAATGTTGTTATTCAGATTTTGTAATATACATTTGTTACTTGGCGAAAATGCAGTTTTTTAGCTCACCTGGTCCAAAGGTGTTTACTTTTACAAACATCACCTCCTCTGAAACTACTGGGCTAAATTTAACCAAACTTGGCAACAATCATCATTTGGGTATTTAGTTTAAAATATGTGTCCAATAACCCAGCCTGCTAACCAAGATGGCCGACATGGCTACAAATAGAACATAGGGGGGAAATGCATCATTAGTCGACTCCTTATTGATGTTATCAGTGATCCAGCTTGATCTTTTTCCCACTTTCCAGACTGCCGCCCTCTGCCCTTTTTCACAAGTCCATGAGTTTATTGTCTTAATATGTTGTTGAAAATACTATAATTCTACCTGTCTTCATGTTTCTGACAAGTTTATAACCCTCAGCTAATTAACATTGACAGCAGGTGTTATAAGTTGTGATTACAGGTAATCAGCTTATGAACATTTCGATTACGATACCAATTTGTCATTTGTATTTTTATACGACCGCAAAAATTGAAAATTTTTTGGTCGTATATTGGTATGACGTTGGCGTCATCGTCGTCGTCCGGCGTCGTCCGAAGACACATTGGTTTTCGCACTCTAACTTTAGTTTAAGTGAATGGATCTCCATGAAATTTTACCATAAGGTTCAATACCACGAAAGGAAGGTTGGGATTGATTTTGGGGGTTATGGTACCAACAGTTAAGGAATTAGGGGCCAAAAATAAGCATTTTTGTAACTTCCAGACAATAACTTGTGTGTAAGTGTATGGATCTCTCTGACATTGTACCACAAGGTTCCATATCACAAAGGGAGGCTGTAATTGATTTTGGGGGTAATTGCCTCAAAATTTTAGGAATTAGGGGCCAAAAAAGGGGCAAAAAACAAGCATTTTTCTAGTTTCATGACAATAACTTGTGTGTAAGTGTTTGGATATTTCTGAAATTGTACTACAAGGTTCCATATCACAAAGGGAAAGCTGGAATTGAGTTTGTGGGTAATTGCCCGAAACGTTTAGGAATAGGGGGCCAAAAAGGGGCCAAAAGCATTTTTCTAGTTTCCAGACAATAACTTGTGTTCAAGTGTATGGATCTCTCTGAAATTGTACTGCAAGGTACCATACCACAAAGGGAAGGCTGGGATTGAGTTTGGGGGTGATGAATCATAAGGGGGTTCAAAAAATTTGGGGGGGGGGATTTTTTTTTTTTCTTTTTTTCCTTTTTTTTTCTTTTAAAATTTTCCATTTTAAGTTGGTTATTTCTGATTAATATTTAAAAGCAAATAATAATGATATGGTAGGAGATACACACCAAACAGGATGTGTAAATTATTATATAATAAGTATTGTGCAATAGCAAGAAATTTTCAATTGCACAGTATTGCACAATTGCAAGAAATCTTCAATTGCACAGTATTGCGCAATAGCAAGAAATCTTCAATTGCACAGTATTGCGCAATAGCAAGAAATATCCAATAGCACAATATTGCGCAATAGCAAGAAATTGTCAATTGTACAGTATTGCACAATAGCAAGAAATATTCAATTGCACAGTATTGTGCAAAAGAAGATACTTCTTATAAATTGCTTATTTCTTGATCAATTTCAATGGGGTTTTATTCTTGAATTCTTGGGGTTCTTTAATATGCTGAATCTAACCGTGTATTAAGTTTTTGGATTTTGGGCCCCGTTTTTAAATTGGTCCACACTAAGGTCCAAAGGGTCCAAAATTTAACTTTGTTTGATTTCATCAAAAATTGAATTATTGGGGTTCTTTGATATGCCGAATCTAACCGTGTATTTAGATTCTTAATTTTTGGTTCCGTTTTCAAATTGGTCTACATTAAGGTCAAAAGGGTCCAAAATTAAACTTAGTTTGATTTTAACAAAAATTGAATTTTTAGGGTTCTTTGATATGCTGAATCTAAACATGTATTTAGATTTTTGATTATGGGCCCGGTTTTCAAGTTGGTCCAAATCGGGGTCCAAAATTGAACTTTGTTTGATTTCAACAAAAATTGAATATATGGGGTTCTTTGATATGCTGAATCTAACCATGTATTTAGATTTTTGATTTTTGGGCCCCGTTATCAACTTTGTCCACATTGAGGTCAAAAGGGTCCAAAATTAAACTTTGTTTGATTTCATCAAAAATTGAATTCTTGGGGTTTTTTGATATGCTGAATCTAACCATGTATTTAGATTTTTTATTTGTGGACCCGCTATCAAATTGGTTCATATTGAGGTCAAAAGGGTCCAAAATTTAACTTTGTTTGATTTCATCAAAAATTGAATTATTGGGGTTCTTTGATATGCCAAATCTAACCTTGTATTTAGATTTTTAATTTTGGGTCCCGTTTTTAAATTGGTCTACATTAAGGTCCAAAGGGTCCAAAATTAAACTTAGTTTGATTTTAACAAAAATTGAATTCTTGGTGTTCTTTGATATGCTGAATCTAAACATGTGTTTTATTTTTGATTATGGGCCCAGTTTTCAAGTTGGTCCAAGTTGGGGTCCAAAATTAAACTTTTTTTGATTTCAACAAAAATTGAATATATGGGGTTCTTTGATATGCTGAATCTAACCATGTATTTAGATTTTAGATTTTTGGCCCAGTTTTCAAGTTGGTCCAAATTGGGGTCCAAAATTAAACTTTGTTTGATTTCAACAAAAATTGAATATATGGGGTTCTTTGATATGCTGAATCTTACCATGTATTTAGATTTTTTATTTTGTGGGCCCGCTATCAAATTGGTTCATATTGAGGTCAAAAGGGTCCAAAATTAAACTTTGTTTGATTTCATCAAAAATTGAATTATTGGGGTTCTTTGATATGCCAAATCTAACCATGTTTTTAGATTTTTAATTTTGGGTCCCGTTTTTTAAATTGATCTACATTAAGGTCCAAAGGGTCCAAAATTAAACTTAGTTTGATTTTAACAAAAATTGAATTCTTGGGGTACTTTGATATGCTGAATCTAAACATGTGTTTAGATTTTTGATTATGGGACCAGTTTTCAAGTTTGTCCAAGTTGGGGTCCAAAATTAAACTTTGTTTGATTTCAACAAAAATTGAATATATGGGGTTCTTTGATATGCTGAATCTAACCATGTATTTTGATTTTGGACATTGGACCATAATAGGTAAATTAAAAAAATTGAAGTTCTTAGACCACACTCTTTCTGTGTCAGAAACCTATGCTGTGTCAAATATTTAATCACAATCCAAATTCAGAGCTGTATCAAGCTTAAATGTTGTGTCCATACTTGCCCCAACTGTTCAGGGTTCGACCTCTGCGGTCGTATCAAGCTGTGCCCAGCGAAGCATTTTATTTATAATATTATTTTATATCATGATTTATTTGTACAGCAGACAATTCTTTAAGGTTATAAATTCAAAAATTTAAAAATAAATCTTACTCCAATCTATTTATCATAATTATTCTTTATTTTTAAATATATCTTTGACGAAAAAAGAAATAAACTAGGTATTATACATAAACAGTGTACCAAATATGTTATGTTTAAAAAAAAAATACAGGTAAATCTTAGGTGAAATTCTAATTAACCTTGATTGTTATAAAAACAAATTATTTATCAAAACATCTATTGTTATTTGCATGTGGGAATAGAAGGAATAGTATTTTTAAAAAGTGGGAATAGGAGGAAGACACCATTTTATCAGATGAAGTAACTAGAAATGATTTAACATGTATCAAACTAAGGGATGATATATATCAAATTTTAAACACCTCTAAGAAGGAGGAGAGTTTACTGGTATACATCTGTCAATTCATTCTTCCCAATATATTTCTGTTAGTTTTTACTAACGAACTATAAATGGGAGTTCATTAAATTTTGTACCAAGCTTCATGTAAGCGTGCTATTTATTGTGTGGTGCATTTTCAGATTCATTGTTCATCAATTTCCTGTTTGCAGAATATTTAATATTCTTACACATAGTGGTGATAATGAAATTTTTGTCACATTTTGCTCAGGAACTACTTGTACAAATCAAGTCTCTCTGAAATTTGGAATCAAGCTTCATATATATGAGGATGCTATACTGTGATATATGTTTTCACATCCATCACTGTCTATTGAATACTGTACTTATAGCATTAGTGAGCAATAGTTCACAGTTCAACTTGTATCATATTTTGCTGATTAATCATTTATAATATTCTTCATACTATGTATACTTATTTTTTTTTTCATTTCAGATTAGACAAGAATAAAGGCATAGGTGTTGAAAATATACATTACTTAAATGATGGATTATGGAACATGAAAAATGTTAAATAGAAGTTTTTTGCATTAAGATCTGAACTATATTTATAACAAATTGTTGTATCTGTGATAAATTATAATATAATGATGCACAGTTTAATTTGTACATGAATGTTACTGGCATCTTGAACCTCATACATTTTCTTCTCTGATCCTAATCAAAACTTGGTTAACTTTACTATAATAGTAAACACAAAATTACAATTGCTATAAGGAATTTCTGTCATAATGACGTTAAATTGTTTACATTAAAATGACATTGAACATATGAAATGAATTTCTGTTTTACTTTCATCAAGTTATGAATTTAATTTTAGATTTGTTTAAGTTTGTTTAGTTAATTCAACTCCCTGAATATCAATGTAGATTGCATTTTTAAGTTGACAAAATTTGTTTTGCTCATTGGCAACAACATTTGAAATCACAACAGATTTAACCTTAAAAACAGAAGATAAACAAGTTTTGAAGGATATAAGTACAACATGTCAAATAAATTTTACTTTAATATGATAAATATGAAATTTCAAGATAAAATAAAATATGAAAATATAAAATAATAGGGGTATGAAATTTTAGACCAAAAAAATAACAACTAAATGTGTCTCAAGTGAGATAATCATGTTTCCCCATTTCTTGTTTCTGTGGTTATCATTATTTTACTTTTGTTTTGATATTATTCTTGTTATAGCCAATTGTTTTGTTCATATACCTTTAAGTCTGGTAATAATGTTTGTCTGGTAAATATGTTAATTTTGTTATTTATAACGTAAAATGATGAGATTTTTCAGGACAAACAATATAACTGGCCAGCATTGTATGTCATATGATAGATATAAGAAGATGTGGTATGAGTGCCAATGAGACAACCCTCCATCCAAGTCAAAATTTATAAAAGTAAACCATTATAGGTCAAAGTACACTTCAACACAGAGCCTTGGCTCACACAGAACAGCAAGCTATAAAGGGCTCCAAAAATTACTAGTGTAAAACCATTCAAACGGAAAAACCAAAGGTCTAATCTATATAAAAAACGAGAAACGAGAAACACTTATGAACCACATCAACAAACGACAACTACTGAACATCAGATTCCTGACTTGATCCTTGTTTATAATTTGTTTTGGTACTATAAGAATTAATTAAAGTGATTCATATAAGTGCAGGAAAATTTTGCGAAAAAAAACAGCTTTCCTTAACTTTTTACAGTGAAATAAACTTGAACATGGTTCAGATAAAATATACATTTGGACAGAGTTTGCAATGTGCTGGATGGTTAACTAACCATTTAAGTTTAGTGAAAAATTATTATGAACTTGTCTGAAACAAAATTTCACTAGACAATCAATAATTATATAACTAAAAACTTCATAAACTACATTGGGACACACAATCCTTTCCCATTTACAAAGAACTACCTTGGGACACACAAGCCCTCCCAATTTTACAAAAAACTACCTTATGTCTGACAGGGACATGTTGAATTGCTCACTGTTGACAGAAGTCAATTTATCCAAATAAATGTCTTGAATCGTTATGGGCAAAAGATTAATAATTGCACAATCGTTATCCAGCTTGTGCTAATGAAGCTAATTTAAAAATATTTACTATTGAATGATCACCCTACATTTTCTGGGGTAAAGATTGCATTCCTGCAATCAAAACCCTAATGGGACTGGCTTGACAGTTTTATTTTCGAGACCTTATTATTACTTTTGATAGCACAAACACAGAGTGCAATGAGGTGAGCAATCTTATCTATGAAATATATACTCAGATATTCAAGTTATAATCTGATGTGTATGTTTATAACCAAGAAATCTATTTTATTTGAAATTACAGAAGTGAATCTGTCTTTATAAAAATAGCAATGAAAGGAAATATTTAAATAAGAGTTATCTTTGCTTTGTCCATTATTGTAGTCCAAAATATTGCTTTCTATTTTTGTCTCACCTTGACAGAGTCAAAAAGCGAGACAGGTATGCTGTTTCCGGCATCGAAGGCGGCGGCGTCAACAATGTATTAGTTTGTGATAAGGGCTAGTTTAGGGTGAACCACTTGTGGTTGGGCAATGATATTTGGTATGCAGTTGAATTAGCACTGGCAAATCTCAGTTCCATGGAGATTATTTGGCTCCGCCCCCTCAGTCATGGTCTATTGACTTTAAAACTTTTGCTTAGTTTACATGTATTAGTTTTTGATTAGGTCAGTTCAAGGGGAACCACTAGTGGTAAGTCAATGATATTTGGTATACAGTTGTATAAGCATTGGCATATCTCATTTCCATGGAGAATATTTGGTCCGCCCCCACAGTCATGGTCTATTGACTTTGAAACTTTTGCTTAGTTTACCTGTATTAGTTTGTGATTAGATCAGTTTAAGATGAACAGCTAATGTTAAGTCAGTGATATTTGGTATGCAAATTTATTGGCATTTACAAGTCTCATTTCCATGGAGATTATATAGCCCCACCCCCTCATTATGGTTCATTGACTTTGAAACTTTTACATAGTTTACAAGTCAATGTTTGTGTTTAGGTTTGTTGAAAGGGAATGACTTATGATAAGTCTATGGTATTTGGTATGCAGTTGTATTAGCATTGGCACATCTCATTTCCATGGAGATTGTTTTGCCATGTACCTTCAGTCATGGTTGTTTGACTTTGAATATTTGCATAACTTACACGTTAAAGTATTGCTATTTTAATTTCAACATTTGCATTGTCAAAAGTAAAAAAAGGCGAGACATATCTCTGTGTTAACAGTTTATTGATGCAATGCAATGTTTGATATTGAGTTCCCAATGCAAAATGAATGCAATCTTTACCCTTTAGTGTTCGCAAGCACTTTGATTTAATTAGCTCTTAATGAAATTGAAATAGAATTGACCACTAGTATCGGTTATCATATGTAATGTTAGGTTTTTGGTCATCAAAAGAAATACATTTTTTGTACAAATGAAATAAAATGTTTTGTGTTTGCATCAGAATCAAATGATTTTAGAAATTCATTTGTAATTATTTATTTCTTCTTTTTTATATGAGCCAGTAATAGAACTTAGAAATACATTATCACAATCTAAGAGTTGGTAGAAAACTAAGGCTTTTTGGTGCACTTAAAATTGGGTGATATTATTATAGAAACTTACTGTACTCAGTGCTATTACATAGTATTATAATAAGTGTGGAATCTTCAACTTCATTGTAATAAAAACAGAAAACGTGCCACTGCTTATTTTTTATGCCCCCGCCGTAGTGGAGGGGGCATTAAGTTTTACCCTTGTCTGTCTGTACGTACGTCCGTCCGTCCATACGTCCCAAAGTTGGTTTCCATTCTATAACTTTAGTTTGCCTCAATCAAATGTTATGAAACTTATACACAATGCTTACTACCACAAAACACAGATCAAGATTGAATTTTGGTGGCATCACTTTAACCGTTCTAGAGTAATGCCCCTTTACAAATGGAAAAATTGCTGAATTTTTCGTTTCCGTTCTCTACCTTAAGTTTGCCTCCATCAAATGTTATGAAACTTATACACAATGCTTACTACCACAAAACACAGATCAAGATTGAATTTTGGTGGCGTCACTTTAACCGTTCTAGAGTTATGCCCCTTTACAAAGGGAAAAATTGCTCAATTTTTCGTTTCCGTTCTCTATCTTAAGTTTGCCTCAACCAAATGCTATGAAACTCATACATAATGCTTATTACCACAAAATACAGATCAAGTGTGAATTTTGGTGGTGTCACTTTAACCGTTCTAGAGTTATGCCCCTTTACAAAGGGAAAAATTGCTCAATTTTTCGTTTCCGTTCTCTATCTTAAGTTTGCCTCAACCAAATGCTATGAAACGTATACATAATGCTTATTACCACAAAATACAGATCAAGTTTGAATTTTGGTGGTGTCACTTTAACTGTTCTAGAGTTATGCCCCTTAACAAGGAAAAATTGCTGAATTTTTCGTTTCCGTTCTCTAACTTTAGTTTGCCTCAACCAAATGCTATGAAACTTATACACAATGCTTATTACCACAAAATACAGATCAAGTTGAATTATGGTGGTGTCACTTTAACCGTTCTAGAGTTATGCCCTTTACAAATGGAAAAATTGCTGAATTTTTTGTTTCCGTTCTCTAACTTAAGTTTGCCTCAACTAAATTTTATGAAATTTATACACAATACTTATTACCACAAAACTCAGATCAAGATCAAGTTTGGGTAGGGTCACTTTTACAATTCTTCAGTTATGTCCGTTTATAATTTTATATGATATGCAAGCGGGGGCATCATCTGTGTCCCATGGACACATTCCACATTTATTGCTATTATAGGACTACTTTTAAATTGTGGTTATATTATAATATTGGTCTGCTGTCATTGTTGTTTAAACAAGGTGTATTGGATTCTTTTTGCTAAATTAGAGTTTTGATATCATTTTTGATCAGATGTTTAAATTATGCAACTCCGGTCCCACTAAACTTTGAAGAAAAAGACCAACAGGTGTCAATAATTATGAACCTCCTTGGTAGGCTTGTGGGTTTGAACCCTGGCCAGGTCAAACCAAAGACTTTAGAATTGGTATTTGCTGCTTCTCCGCTAAGCACGCAGCATTAAGGAGTAAGAGCAAAGACTGGTCGACTTTAGAGTCAGAATAATGTTTCTGGGTAAGTTGGCATGTCTTCCTGCTAACTGTTTGTTACCTTCGGAACTAGCACGTTTAAAATCCGGCTCATCATGTCGGTCTAGTACAAAACAGGTTTAATACTCATATTACATTAACATTGTTCTCGTCCTGAAAATGTGTATTACGCATATTATGGACTTAAAGCAGTCATTTGTCATCATCAATAATTATGTGTAAGCAAATTAGACCAAGATCATTGTGATTTATTATTTGTCCATCAAGCCTCCCAATGTCTAATATTTAAATTTGTTATAAATCCACTTGATTTAGAAGGGTTTATAAAGTGATCTTTTCTTGACAGCCTCTTCCTTCTTCGTCAGTTTGTATCTCTTAAGCTACTGACAATATTTATAATACTTTATGAAAATCTTGAATGCCTAATGGTATTGTGCACCTCTTGCAGTGGACATAGAAATACTGGAAACAATAATTATATGGAAAATTGCATTGTTGGCGCTGACCCATGTGTTCAATTCTTGCCAGATTTTTAGGAAACTTATATCATAGGTTTATATCAGCAATGTCTTGGACAAGTTCGAAAATCAGTGCTGATCAATTATTTTTATACGACTGCAAAAAATTTTGCGGTCGTATATTGGTATCACGTCGTCGTCAGCGTCGTCCAAAGACATTTGGTTTCCGGACAATAACTTGAGTAAATGTAAATAGAAATCTATGAAATTTAAACACAAAGGTTTATAACCACAAAAGGAAGGTTGGGATTGATTTGGGGGTTATAGTCCTAACAGTTTAGGAATAAGGGGCCAAAAAGGGGCCCAAATAAGCATTTTTCTAGTTTCCAGACAATAACTTGTGGAACGGTGTATGGATCTCTCTGAAATTATACCACAAGTTTCCATACCACAAAGGGATGTATAGGATTGGCTTTTGGGGTTTATGGCTCAAACTGTTTAGAAATTAGGGGCAAAAAAGGGGGAAAAACAAGGGTTTCCTGGTTAATGGACAATTAAAAAAAGTACAATGTTATGTTTGGATTACCTCCCTTACACTGCTTTTAAATTATGTATAAAGAAATGTTGTATTGTCTTGAGGTGATTAGCTGTCAATTTATTTTTAGAAGTTACTTGAGGGAAAGAATTTTTTTATTTGGAAAAAGGGGGGGGGTAGGTGAGAAAAAAAATTGGGGGGGGGGGGGGGGCAATTTTTTCTCATATCAGATTTCAGAAATTAAAAAGAAAATTACTTCAAATATTTATTTTTTTGCCAAAAAAAGGAGGGTCAATTCGCAACAGCATAGTGTATTGCACAAAAGCAAAAAAAATAAAGGAGGTAATTTTTTTTTTTTGGGGGGGGGGGGGTCAATTTGCAACAGCATAGTGTATTGCACAAAAGCAAAAAATTGAATATAAATTCAAATCATATAACCAATTCTAAGTTCTTTGACTACAGTTATTCTGTGTCAGAAACCTATTATGTGTCAAATATATTTAATTACAATCCAAATTCAGTCATGTATCGAGCGCGAATGTTGCATCCATTTTTGCCCCAACTGTTCAGGATTGGACCTCTGCTGTCGTATCCAGCTGCGCTCGGCGAAGCAATTTATTAAAAGAGTTATGTCCCTTGGAAATAGTGATTATACGGAAAATTGCATTGTTAGCACTCTGATAAGTTCAATTCTAGCCAGAATTTTATGAAACTTATATCATAGGTTTATAACAGCAATGTCTTTGACACTTTCAAAAATAAGTACTGATCAAATATTTTTAATGAGTTATGCCCCTTGTATATTTTATTTTTATCTAACAACCCACAGTAATTAAAAGCAGACTTTGCAATACCTATCCAAAATAATGTAGGAGTATTACTTTATGAACTCTACCAGTACATGGAAATTTTTTTCTAGTCTTTCATATAAAAACTCATATCTTTTGTTTAATATAAAAGTGTTCAGTCATTTTTACCTGTTCAGAGATATTCTTATGGTTGTGTATTCAACGAGAAAGATTCCTAACAAATTTGTTGTCAACATGTCTTAGGTCATGGGAGGGATTCTTAGAAACCATCAAAATAGTCCATTTTCTAATACATTGTACTGTCTTAGTTTCAAATTTAAGGAATTTTTGCAATGGATACAATACCTAGTTGGAGAAACTCTTCTTGCAAAACAAATTTTGGTGGTTTAAATGTATGCAAGTGACTAAGAATTTACATTGAGTAATCAGCTATTTTGCTATTCCATTTTTTGTCTCCCCTGCGATGAAAGAAGCAAAATTGGAGACATAGGGATTACAATCTGACAGCGCCAGGAGGCATAAACTATTTGTATAAAGCTTTATATTTTGTATGCAGATACATGTAACTTATGTGACAAAGTTTCTGTCTATGATAAGTCCAATGTCCTTGAACTCATTTTCATTGTTTAGTGACTGCTTGAAAAAAAAATTTGTGATGTAAAATAATCATTTATTGTTAGTAATAGGATTAATATATTTGATATATAGCTTCCTTTCAAAGTCTACATTTTATGAATCAGTGATCAAATTTAAGTTTGTGTGGTCAAGTCTGTATCCCAGATACTATAAGCAATAGGTCAACTATATTTTGTGTATGGAATGATTACAAGATTTACATGTCTGACTGGCAGGTTTCATCTGACATTGACCTCATTTTCATAGTTCATTGGTCAATGTTTAATTTTCATGGTTTTGTCAGTTCATCAGATACTATAAGTAATAGGTCAACTATATTTGGTGCATGGAATGATTAAAAGTTGTACATGTCTGTCTGACAGGGTTCATATGACCTTGGCCTCGTTTTCATGGTTCATTGGTCAATTTTAAGTTTATATGAGGTTTGGTCTATTTTCCAGAAGCTATAAGCAATAGGACCACCTTATTTAGTGTGTATGGAATGATTGTAAGGTATACATGTCTGTCTGGCTTTGACCACATTTCCATGGATCATTGATAATGTTAAGTTAATGTGATACTTGTAATAAAACCTTCATATTACAGACTTTCAACATAAATTCAATCATAAAGTAAAGCAGTCAAGACTTTTCAGCATGTGCACTCTTGTTTCCATAATTGTGTAATGTCCTTAAATAGTGAAAATAACTAAAGTCCCCAGACATTTCACTTAAGTTGTTCCTCTTTGACTTTAAAAAGCAGGGATACAGTTTACCTTCTTATGTGTTGCTTCCATTTGCCAAAAAATAGAAAATTGTATGAATATGATGAGGATGATGATGATGAAGGATGGCTGTTTTATGTTCAGTAGCAAATTAAATGCATGTCCAGGATGAGAACATGTTCATTCTATATGAATATGAACACTGCTTTGTTTTAGGAATCAAGCTTAGTGAGGTTTTTTTTATGTGGTAGTTCACAGGAAGAATTATCACCCTACCTAGCCACATTATTCTGATTCCAATCTGACCTGTCTGCTGTTACTCCTTTATGCTGCCTACTTTGTGGTACAGTAAATACCAATAACTTTGACATCTACTGTTGGCAATTTTGAATTTTCAATTCATACCAAAGTAATAACACTTGTCAAGGACTATTACAGCAACATATATGTTAAGTTTGGTTTCAGTTGGTTCAATCATTTTCTTCTGAAGAATTTTCTATCTTCAGCTAATAATAAATTTGAAAGGCCAAGGCAGCCATGTTGAATGAAGGAAAGGTTCACAAGTAACTGTACTTGAAACAGACCTTGTAGGGAACATCTCTGCCTAATTTGATTAAAATTAACATACCAAAATCAATAATTGCCTCTGTTTGTCATGGTTTTTTGTAAACAGAACTAAAAATACAAATGAGGGCTCATTTCAGGGCCAGTTTTTATACGACCGCAAAAATTTTTGTGGTCGTATATTGGTATGACGTTGGCGTCGTCGTCATCTGAAGAATATTACATTACTTTAGTTTAAGTGAATGGATCTCTATGAAATTTTCAAAAGGAAGGTTGGGATTGATATTGAGGGTTATGGTACCAACAGTTAAGGAATTAGGGGCCAAAAATAAGCATTTTTGTAATTTCCAGACAATAACTTGTGTGTTAGTGTATGGATCTCTCTGACATTGTACCACACGGTTCCATATCACAAAGGGAATGCTGGGATTGATTTTGGGGGTAATTGCCTTAAAATTTTAGGAATTATGGGCCAAAAAAGGGGCAAAAAACAAGCATTTTTCTAGTTTCATGACAATAACTTGTGTGTTAGTGCATGGATCTTTCTGAAATTGTACTGCAAGGTTCCATATTACAAAGGGAAAGATGGAATTGAGTTTGGGGGTAATTGCCCAAAACGTTTAGGAATAAGGGGCCAAAAATAAGCTTTTTTCTAGTTTCCAAAAAATAACTTGTGTTCAAGTGTGTGGATCTCTCTGAAATTGTACTACAAGGTACCATACCTCAAAGGGAAGGCTGGGATTGATTTTGGGGGTAATAGCCTCAAAATTTTAGGAATTAGGGGCCAAAAAGGGGCAAAAAACAAGCATTTTTCTAGTTTCAGGACAATAACTTGTGTGTAAGTGTATGGATCTTTATGAAATTGTACTTCAAGGTTCCATATCACAAAGGGAAAGCTGGGTTTGAGTTTGGGTGTAATTGCCCTAAACGTTTAGGAATTTGGGGCCAAAAAACAAGCATTTTTCTAGTTTCCAGACAATAACTTGTGTTCAAGTGTATGGGTCTCTCTGAAATTGTACTACAAGGTACCATACCACAAAGGGAAGGCTGGGATTGAGTTTGGTGGTGATGAATCATAAGGGGGTTCAAAAAATTTGGGGGGGGATTTTTTTTTCCTTTTTTTTTTCTTAATAAACTTTCCATTTTAAGTTGGTTATTTCTGACTTATATATATATAAGCAAATAATAATGATATGGTTTGAATAGGTAAATTAAAAATTTTCAAGTTCTTAGACCACATTCATTCTGTGTCAGAAACCTATGCTGTGTCAAATATTTAATCACAATCCAAATTCAGAGCTGTATCAAGCTTGAATGTTGTGTCCATACTTGCCCCAACTGTTCAGGGTTCCACCTCTGCGGTCATATCAAGCTGCGCCCAGCGGAGCATTTTAAATCCATTGTTATGCCAAGTTTTGTTTAAATTTTCCAAAGCCTTTTCAATTGAAATGCCAAGTTTTGTTTAAATTTGCCATGTAGGTAGTCTCAGAGCATGTCAAGCGATCACATTAGCTCACTAGGCCTTTTGGTCATGTAGGATAATAATCTATTGTACTGATGTAGTCTGTTAAGAAGAAGCACTAAATCTACTAACAATTAATATTAACTTTTATTATGAACATTAGGAACACTTGTTTAACAAACATGAGTTAACATGTATTTACAACAATAAAAAAAGTATAATCTGAACATATAGAACAAACAAATAAACCATTATTGTAATATTTATATCTTTATAATTATTTACCAAAAAATTGAAACATAGGAAATGAAAATGTACAATTCAACAAAGAAATACTCAAAACCTGTCACATGAACTGGTCCTGAAAAGAAAAGTTTCATTTATATAATACTATGAATTTTTGGAGTCATTTTCTAAAATATGTTTCTTGCTTCATAAGTCAGTATAAGCATGATGATATATCTTTAAAATGACAAAAATTTACATCAGTGTCTTTGCTGGATGACTAAGCATAAAGGAACCCTTATTGCATTAATTTTGGCCCAAATCATTTAAAATGTGAAACTCTCCTATTACTCTTATTTTTGCTTACCCATCCTTTAAATTTAATTACCACCAACCCTTCTGTCAAATTCCCATCTTTCAAAAAGATTTTACATGTTCTATGGGAAATACTGAACTTGATACAGACAAACATTTCATCAAAAATTTATCATCATTTTCTCTTTATTCTTGTGATCAGATATTTAAAAAAAATCCCAACTCATTTTATTTTCTAATGCTGATCTCATATCCATACTGTGCATACTTGTAGAATTGAACAAAATAGTTAAAAATTAGGCAACAGAGACTGGAAGTACATATATTTAAAAAAAATTGTGAAATTGCCAGGGGAGATAACTTTGTAACAAATTCAATAAATTTAGGGGGAGATAATTTACTTAGATAATAATGTAAATTGACCAAGTTATGTTTTGTCATGTTGATGAAATAGCAAGAAAACTAAAAAGAGTTCATTTTATTTCCTGAAAGCATCTGATCTAAGTAATGCCAAAACCAAAGTTATCAATTTCCATTAGCAAGATTTTTTTTATTCCTAGAAAATAATTTTCCTCCATTTTAAATTGTTACAACTTTTGGACCCACATTTTTCCAAACTTCAAGTATCGTGACCTATATTTTTAAGCTGAATTTTGAATATATATATACATTTAAATCCCTGTCATAAAATTTATGGAAACTTTTTGTTAATTCCTGTGTCTTCATTTTAGTCTATCCTCTTGTTTACATACACAAAGGAGTAAGTTCGGTAAGGGCCAAATTTGGCCCCGAATATTAAGTTCAATGTTTCAGGATAAAATGTGTTTTAAGTAGATGAAAAGACATGTGAGAAAGTAATATAGAACTATTTTGCCAGAGTTTTATTTTTAAGCATTGATTTTGACATCCCAAATAGGTTAAAAATAGAGATTTTTGTGAAATTGGACAAAATCATCCGGATTTCAACCAAACTAAGACCTAGGAAGCATAAAGCGCATGTGTCGACAAACAAAATATTCAAGTCAGATATGTAAAATGTCATAACAAACATTAGGTTTAAATATCTTTGTTGTCAACGCATGCGCTATATGTTTCCTGTCCAAAAAATCAACGTAAATTTCCCTGTTTTCATCGAATTTTCACGGAAAATCAAAATGAGTGCTGTTTCTGAAGTCATGAATAGAACCCAAAAAATAGATCTTCAACAAAAAGACGTTTTTCCAATAAAGTCATCATATTACCTATGATTCCTTGTGACATTGGTCAATAAATCCTAATTTCAACTTTCAGCTAGAATGAGGGGCCATTTTAGGGCCTTATCAAACCTACTCCTTTAGTTTGTTTCCCAAACCATAAACTGTTTTTTTCTTAATCAAGTGCTAACATACATCATGTATTCACTCGAAAAAGTTTGTAATACAGTGAAACCTGTATATTAACAGAAATATTTTAAAATGGATGTACGCTTTAAAATGCTAAATATTTTTTCTCAAGAACAAAAAAAGCCTGTCTAATCAGAACAAAAACTTATGACTTTATATTAACGCCTCTGAAGTTTCTATCTATCTATTATAGTTTTTAGGATATTAGGCAAAAGAGCTAAAAATTTGTAATAAACTGTTAACACAGAGATATGTCTTGCCTTTTTGTAATTTTGATAATGCAAATCTTGAAATTAAAATAGCAATACTTTAACATGTAAGTTATGCAAATATTCAAAGTCAATGAACCATGACTGAAGGTACATGGCTAAACAATCTCCATGGAAATGAAATGTGCCAATGCTAATACAACTGCATGCATACCAAATACCATTGACTTATCATAAGTTGTTCCCTTTAAACAAACCCAAACACAAACATTAACTTGTAAACTATGTGAAAGTTTCAAAGTCAATGAACCATGATGAGGGGGTGGGGCTATATAATCTCCATGCTAACAAGACTTGCAAATGCCAACAAATTTGCATATGAAATACCATTGACTTAACATTAGCTGTTCATCTTAAACTGATCTAATCAAAACTAATACATGTCAACTAAGCAAAAGTTTCAAAGTCAATAGACCATGACTTAGGGGGTGGGGCCAAATATTCTCCATGGAAATTTGATGTGCTAATACTTATACAACGCAGCATACCAATTAACATTTGCCTACCATTAATGGTTCCCCTTGAACTGACCTAATCACAAACTAATACATGTAAACGCAGCAAAAGTTTCAAAGTCAATAGACCATAACTGAGGGGGTGCAGCAAAATAATCTTCATGGAAATGAGATATGCCAATACTTATACAACTGCATACCAAATATCATTGACCTACCACTAGTGATTCCCCATAAACTGACTTAATCACAAACTAATACATGTAAACTAAGCAAAAGTTTTAAAGTCAATAGACCATGACTGAGGGGGCAGGGCCAAATAATCTCCATGGAAATGAGATGTGCTAATGCTTATACAACTGCATACCAAATATCATTGACCTACCACTAGTGGTTCACCATAAACTAGACCTAATCACAAACTAATACATTGTTGACGCTACCGCCGACACCGGAAACAGCATACCTATGTCTCGCTTTTTGACTCCGCCAAGGCGAGACAAAAATTAATAAACATGATTGATGCAATTAAAGGCAAAGCTGAACTCAAATTATGTAATTAGAATTTAAAATTAGAGTTCTAAATTAATGCTATAGTAAATGAAATATCATCACATCATTAACTGTCTTTTACAATAATCATGATAATGCAAGCAAAACATCACAAATTTGTTTAATTCACAGTTTGCTTTTCCTTTGAATTCAGAATTCAAAATGAATATTAAAATAAAAGAAATATTGCAACAAAAGTTTTAACAAGGTCAACACATAAAAAAACATGTTCATAATAGGTGGTCTATATCATTAAAACATATCTTATGTATAAGTAGAAAGCGAAGGCGCATGATAGGGGAACTATCTGAAGGAAAAAATAATTCATGTTTTACAGACGGATTGGAAATTTGATCCAACCACTAATAGCAGGAATTTTACAGTGCCTTTCACTTTAGCCTTGCTGATTTTTCACATTGCTTTATGGAAATGATTACATTACCGGTGTATATATATAATATGTACATTATACATATACATAATATAGCTAGCTACTACCAGTACCATGACCCAAAATTAATAATCATTCAGTTTTCAACTGTTATAATTTGATTCATTTTATTGTTCATGTCGGTGGGGTTTTGGAAGGTTTTTCCATAGTCATTTGTAGAGTCAGTCTCAACTACCAGTACTTCAAAAGCTTTAAGTATTCAATTATTTTGATTTGTTTCAAATGTTACATATACCGGAGGAGTTTTTGAAGGTTTCTTCTCAATCATTTGCAAAGACACAGTTCCATCACCGTTGTCAATTTGATTGGCTATTTTATGTCTCCACCGAAGATGTTCATCTTTTGTTTTAGAGTCTGAGAACACACTTATACACAAGGGACATTTAATGAAGTTCTTTTCATTTTGAACACAATATGGTACAATAAATTTTGTTACTAAACCTGTAACCATGGGAGTATCTACAGATGAAGCCTCCATATCAAAGTGAGGCTGACTTATTGATGCAACGCTTTCAATGGTAAGCCCAGAGTTCTCATTCCTTTCGCAGTCCTTTAATGTTTCAAATTCATATGGATTTTGTGATATTGTTTTAAATTCATCCATTGCCCCTTCTCTCCTCTCTTGAATTTCCTCTTTTTGTTCATTCGGTAAAACAGAATGTATTTCAAATAAATGTTTGTTTCTTGATGAAGTATTGGCAAAATAACCTTTACAAACATCACAAATAATCAGTTCATTAATGCAATTTTCTTCTTCATGTTGGTCACGATCTTGTCGATCACTGAATCGTAACTGACAATGATAACAAGCATATCGATATTGACTCTGATCCACATCCATGTCTTGAACATCAGAAGGTTGTGTTACTGTTGACATTGTCTGATCTGTCATCTTAGCTGCCTTTGTTGTAGATTTGACAGCAACAGATCTTTTCTTTATCTTTCTCTTCGGTGGTTTCCTACGTAGTGACATTGTAAATTCTGTTTCATCTATATCTGCCATCAATTCCTTTCCAGAGGGAGTGTAAACATCATCCTCTTTGTCACTGTTTTCATCTAGAGAATCTAAGTCTTCCTCTGGGCTACTGAAATCTGCTGACTCATCATAAACTACAGTCTTTTTCTTTTTTCTTGGTGGTTGTCTTTTCCCTACAGCAGATGATTTTTCCTCTAACATTTTCCTCACTATAGTGTCAAATTGAACTCCTGATGATTTTGATTGTTTTGATTGACTTCTGCCTTCAGAAGACGACTGGCTGACATCAGAGTGTTGTGACATCTGCATATCTCCAGATGGACCACTTGGAAAAAGGTCCTGGAATGTCGCAAAAGGGAGACGATAAAGTAATGAACTATCTGGGTCATCATTCTTTTCAGTAGTTTGTTGAGGAGTTTTGGGTTCTGTTTTTGTCTTTGGTGCAGAGGTGACTGCTGCTTTGCGATTTTTTGTATATGTTTCTTCCTTTCCATTTAAAATCTTAGCTAATATAGAATTGGAACTTATTTGAGTTGCTTGATTCTGACTAGACATAATTTCATTCATGCTCTCTTTTTTATTTTTATCAGTACACCCTCCAAAATCAGTATTAGAGGTACCGGTAGTTCCCCCATAATCTGCTTCATTCCATACAGGCTCATTCTTAACATTGATAGTAGTGGATTTCTCATTTGCTTGTTCTTCAAAGTTATCTCCCATGTCATGACTAGTTGCTATTTGATCAGTCATTTCCTCATCTACTGGTTCCTCTTTTACTGACATCATTAGCTCACCAGTGTCATTTAAATTACTTTGTTCTACCTGTTCAATACTCTCTTGTTCAGACTGTTGTGCCTGTTTTTGTTTATGAGATGACAATATTTTTAAAAGACTAGATGCAGGCCTTTCACTATCTATAACTGGTGGACTGGGAGCCATGTTCCCATACAAACTCTCTTTATGCTGTGGAATTGGATTTACTGATGATAAAGTCGGGCTTGCACTTGAAGAATGATTTCTATGATTTTCTTGTAAAGTTTGTACTAAGAATGGAAATCTTGCTGAATTTTCAGGTGTTACACGAGATGGAACTTGTTTTCTACTACTACTAGACGATGAAGATGATGACTGTTGTTTTGAGGCACTCAGGCTATTACTTTGAGACCCTGAATTCGGAACAACTAACATGGGCTGAACCTGACTGTCAGTTTTATTACTGATTATGTCTGCTCTTGCTCTACGTTGTTTGGTACTCGTTTTAGGATTGGATAAAGTGTTAACACTTGTAAATAGCTGTCCTTTTTCAGTTAATAAATCATGAATCTTAACAACATGTTGTTCCTTTGAATTTAATACAGAAATACAGATAAGTCCATCCACTTCTATTGTACTATTGTAGTTTTCTTTACACAGACTCAATACTGAATCTCGCAGTGTAAAACAAATTCTCTCTTTATCCTCTTCACTCTGAAAAAAAAAATTTAAAGTGGCATAAGTTTATAAATAGAGATCATTTGAAGTATATGAAAGAGTGAAGAAAAAAATCTCAATAAATAAGATGCTACAATGCTATATGGGATTATCCCATATAACTGCCTGGATGACATTAAAGACATGCTACTACAGAAACATGATGGCCTGTCGAGGACAAGTAAGTGAAAAGATTAAAATATCGATAAAACGTAATCTCATGATACAATAGCAAAAAATCCTGAACTCAATCTGCTAGGTTTGTAGATTTTTGAGTCTGCTCCTATAATCATGACAATAATATTAACATATTCTCTCTTTTATCAATCATTTTTGCAGTCAATAACTTTGCATCAGGTTTTCAATCAGTTCTTATATAATAAAATTCTTATAAGGCATCAATCAAAACAACAACTTAGCCATGTAACAATTAAAAAAGAACTGGATGTTGTGCAAAACACACTGTAAATTATTGAAAACACTTTTTATCTAGGAAAATTTCTTTAAGAGTATTTCAATAGGTTTTTCCCTGTTTGTCCTGCATGTACCCTTTAGAAGAAATTATCATCAGTGTCACATATATAAAGTTGAGAATGGAAACAGGAATTGTGTCAAAGAGCAGAAAACAGCCCAAGGCCTCCAATAGGTCTTCAACACAATGTACATTTTAGGAAAATATAAAATTGACTTGTAAAACACAGTAGGTACTTTAGAAACAGGAACATTTTTTTTTATTAAAACGAAATCGACATAATTTAAATATGGACCGCAATGAGGACTCCAAATTGAACTGTGATGTAAAAAGTAATTTGGGTGTAACCGTTCTCTTGCAACAGAAGCAGGATGAGCATAACAGGAGGCTTTTAATAATAAAAGTCTACTATACATATATATGGCTTCATTTAGTACATTTAAAACGATGAATTGCAGGATAAAAAGTTGTGTGAAGATACTGACGAGCATTTGCTTTCAATGTTTTATTATATGCGTTTTGATATGTATGTTTTGCTTTATTTGCTTTTGCTTTGTTGGATTTGAAAGTTATCCAGAGATTATGTTTGAACCTTGTCTTGTACATCATGTATATACCGACAATAAATAAAGCTTTATGTCTTATTTCATCTGTTTATGAAAGGAACATTTCAATTGAACATGTACTTTAAATTTCCAGAATAAAGTTTAACGACTTACATGACCTATGATCAGTATTTATTTTAGTTACATATATATTTAACAAGCACTTTCAATCCGGTCTAGAAACATTATAAGCCTCAGAGCCCTTCACATGGAAATGAAAGTGTCATGACTTCACACGATAAAATAAGCTGTGTAAGCTAAAGATCAAAACCCAAAATAGTACCCAAACCCGAAATCCATCATAGTTATTAGCATTTGACTTATGTTTATTCCATTGCTGAGGGTCTGGATGGGGGTCCTTCAGTTCTGTATTCTTTAATTTTTTAGCTAAGTTTTCTCTAATCTTCATATTTATTGCCATTATTCTCTATTCTTTATTTATTTTCCCTATTCCTTTTTTTTTGGGGACTTTTTTTCTGCACATATTACCTATTATTTTCTATTCTGTAAACCCTATTCACATCCTCATGGATGATACATTTTATATGCTACCTAATAAAATTGAGAATGGAAATGGGGAATGTGTCAAAGAGACAACAACCCGACCACAGAACAGACAACAGCAGAAGGCCACCAACAGGTCTTCAATGCAGCGAGAAATTCCCGCACCCCGAGGCGTCCTTCAGCTGGCCCCTAAACAAATATATATACTAGTTCAGTGATAATGAACGCCATACTAAACTCCAAATTGTACACAAGAAACTAAAATTAAAAATAATACAAGACTGACAAAGGCTAGAGGCTCCTGACTTGGGACAGGCGCAAAAATGCGGCGGGGTTAAACATGTTTATGAGATCTCAACCCTACCATTCTTGGGTCGGACATTTCTTCTTCTCTAGATACACCTATAGAGCCACTCTTGTAATAATGCAGATCATGGACTCTGGCCATGTGTTGCTGAAGCTGATTGGTCCGGCTCTGTGGGGCCGAATAGTTGCATTGTGGATGGACACAGTTTATCATTGGTCCATGAACTGTCTGGGTATGTCGTATTAATGTAGCTCGTCTGTTAAAAGTTTTATCACAAATTTCACAGCTGAGAAACTTTACTGTATCTGTATTTTCACCACTGTGTTCATGTGAAGTCATTTGCTGAAATAAGATACAATATATATATATTCATATACAATTGAAAAAAAATCATCTATCTATTAGTTTAAATAAAAGAACAGAGTTCCAATGTCCCCTGTGTTACACATATTTTATCTGTCCAAGGGCAATAACTATCAAAAATTGTTTTTTCTTGTTCTTTAAAACTTTTTAAAAATATCTTAACAGAGATATTGCTGATATAAACCTTTAATATAAATTTCATACTTATCTGGCAAGAATTGTACACGTGAGTGCACTCACAATGCCATTAACTATAAAATTAACATTTCAGAGGGACATACAACTGAACAAATAATTGATCAGCATTGATTTTTTTATTTGTTCCAGACACTGCTGATATAAACCATCAATATACATTTCATAATAATCCTTCAAGAAATGTAAGCTCAAAATTAAAGCACTTACAATGCAATTTTCCATATAATTATTATATCCAAGGGGCATAACTCTTTTTTCAAAACTTGATTGGCACTGATTTTCGTAACTGTCCGGAGACAATTTTTTTTCTTGATATAAATATAAAAGAAGAGAAGAAACATGCATTCTGAGAGTTTTGCATGGCAATACATAGTCCCCTACTGGTTAAAAATTCATTGTACTGGAACAAAATGCTAACTTCGTCTATAACTTGTATTGGTGTAAACTATATAACAAATATCAAGTCAATATCTTCAAGCATGATGAAAAAAAAGTGTAGAAAACTAATTATTTCAGTGAATTTTCTAAGTCCAAAGACCATAACTCTGCACAAAATCATCATACCAGAACAAAATTCCAACTTGATCTGTAACTTGTCATGATAAAACAATATACCAAATATCAAATCAATATCTTCAAGCACCAAGAAAAAAGTGGAAAACTGATTTGCAGGACTGACAGATGGACAGACAGACAGAGTGCAAACCTAAAATCTATAAAAAAATATTGATCACATCTACTAAAATGTTACTGAAAATGCTGTACTAAAAGAATGTCGTAGAGAAATGTCAAATATATAAATTACAATCTACTTTTTTATTCTTCAGAAAATTGACCTGTATAAACCAAAGTCCCTCAACCAAATAGCTAAGAGCTTAATACAATCATTTTGTTTTGCTGTTTAAAGAAATTACTTTGTATATATTGATTTATCAGAATCAAAAGTGGTCTCTAACTGATGTGGTTAATACAGTTAATATTAAGATCAACGAAGGTCATTCACATTTAGACCTAAATACCCTTTATTTATCCATTTTAACACTGTAAAAATAACTACAGTAACTAAAAACTTTAAAAAAAAGTTTCAATATAAAAATACTTCAACAATGACTGCACTGGCTCCAAAGAAGAGTGCCACTTCTTTTTACGATATTACCAGTGTGATAAACCAATCAGTGAATAAATACTTAATGCAAAACTTGTGGACACAGATGATACCCCCCTTGCATATAACGTTATAAAGGGCCATAACTCAAGAACTGTAAAAGTGACACTACCCAAATTTGAACTTGATCTGAGTTTTGTGGTAATAAGCATTGTTTATAAGTTTCATAATATTTAGTTGACGTAAACTTAAATTAGAGAACAGAAACGAAAAATTCAGCAATTTTTCCATTTTTAAAGGGCATAACTCTAGAACAGTAGAAGTGACGCCACCAAATTTCATTCTTTATCTGTGTTTTGTGGTAATTAGCATTGTGCATAAGTTTCATAACATTTGGTTGAGTCAAACTAAAATTAGAGAACAAAAACTAATATTTCAGCAATTTTTCCATTTGTAAAGGGGCATAACTTTAAAACGGTTAAAGTGACACCACCAAAATTCAAACTTGATCTGTGTTTTGTGGTAATAAACATTATGGATAAGTTTCATAACATTTGGTCGAGGCAAACTAAAGTTAGAGAACGGAAACGAAAAATTCAATTTTTCCATTTGTAAAGGGGCATAACTCTCGAATGGTAAAAGCGATGCCACCAAAATTCAAACTCGATCTGTGTTTTGTGGTAATAAGCAATGTGGATAAGTTTCATAATATTTGGTTGAGGCAAACTCAAGTTAGAGAACGGAAACCAATTTTGGGATGTACAGACGGACAAGGGTAAAACTTAATGCCCCCTCCGCTACGGCAGGGGCATAAAAATGTACTGCTATGTATTCTTAATCCTTAAACCTGTATACACATACTATCGAAGAGTATTCATCATGTTCATTTCATATGACATCAAACACTAACATGTATAAAATGAAGACATGACATTTTACATGTAAGGATGAAGGAGAGAGATGAAGCACAATGTTTTTTTTTCTTTTTAACATACATGTATATATTTGTATGCTATTTTCGTTATAAAGATGCAAATTCAAAATAAACGCCCCTAAACAAAACAAAATCTTGTACAACCTATTTCAGTTTGGTTACTTAGAAGTAGTAATTTTCTATAGCCACTGTATTGTTCTGACAATGAATCAAATCTTACAATGCCTCATTTCAAATCCCCAATAATTATTCCCCTGCATTCATCTCATCTGTATTTTTTCAAATTAGCAAATGAAAATAAATATTAAAAGAACAATTTACAGACCAAAATTAATTAGTAAAAATTTTGCTATGGTTTTCGATGTTTGGTCTCTATTGAACTTTAATCATTTTAATTTACCACTTATGTAGACTATCTATGGATAATTTAGACTGTGTTATATTGTTAGCATTTGTTCATTGTTGAAGGTCATATAATGACCTCTTGATTAACCTGAGTTGTAGAGTTGCTGTCACATTATTTACTTCACAACTCCTATTCATAGTTGTTTACCACTAAAGAGTTTTGTTGATGAAATTGTGCAGGCATGTCCATCATAGTTATGAGAAAAAAACATAAAATATCTATTATTTTTTTTTATTCTTTTCAGGGTGAAAAATTTAAATACATGTATCTGGCCTATAATTGTCCTTTTTTGCTGATACAAGTATTTCTGTCTTTTCTTTTTTATGAACAAAATGGTTGTTGGTACATGTACATATAGTTGTTCCACTATCCTGTCTTCTTTTCCTCTGTTGTTACATTATTGATGGAATTAATCACCAGATTTTCACTAGCCATGACCAACAAGACAAGTGCCGCTAGTGGAGCAAGAACTGTTTCCTAGAACCTCAGTTCAACACCGTTTTTGGTGGGGTTCATGTTGCTTGATGTTCATGATGTTATTAAAGTTTTCTATGAAATGTTAAAATGGACTTCCCTCTTTGTTGCAGTTTGTTATCATATGGTTTGGGATTTTTTTTGTCACTTCAAAAAATTGTTATCATAGACTTTAAAATCATTCACAGATCAAACTGACAAGACTGGTAAAAATACCAACTGAACTGTAAGAAGTTAATTACCCTCTTCTCCCATGAAAGTACTGTCCTCCAATTGGGGTGTTTTCATATTATTTATTAACATGCTTGTTGTAAGAGAAACATCCGTAATGGTTATATATGTGCAAATAATTTACACTGTGACTGTAGATAACTACTATGTATGTTGAAAAAATTAATTACTGTACCAGCCAGGATTCAATCCCAGTGTCATAACTGGGACCTCTGGCACTGTAAGCCACCACTCTACCAACTGAGAGAAAGGGGTACTCCACTAACACAGCTAATGGAGGGTGGTTAATGATTTTTTTAAAATTAATTATTTAGTTTGACTCAGCTGCATTGGATTTCCCTTTAAGCATCCACTCTTGGTGCTAATACGGCAGATTAGTCATTATATCCATTATTCAATATTATTTGCAGTATGTATATCTCATAGTAAAATGTGTGGGTGTTTTCTATGTTGTTTTTTTTAAAGAGATTTCTCCATAAGGCTCAAACTACTCAAGCCTTCTGTTTATTCAGTAGTCCAAATACACTTTTATACCTGGTGCACTTGAGTCAATGTCAACATAATATCAATAGAATTATTATATGTTGTTGTTATTTTGGTGCATGTTTTTCTTTTTGTTTTTTTGTTGTTTTTTATTACATGTCTATTGTCTAGATTGCATTGCATATGTTATATTGTTTATAATGATATTGTTTATGTGCAGTATGCCCTCTATATCATGGGGCTCTGATTTGGTGAATATAAAGCACACTTTCGCAGCTTATGGAGGGCCATTATATATTTACTTGGCAATGGGAAGCACCCCTATAGAGCAAAGGGTAGTAAAGATTGTCACAGTGACTGTCTATTGAAATATATATCATCCAGTGACTATTTACTGTTGAACTCATATCAAAAGGCTGGATTCAAACAATTTAATTTTAGAAAATACTGTATCAGTCACTCTGTCACGTCTGTAAATTTCCTCCCCCTTTTATTTTTCCTCAACTTTCATTTTCATGTAATATAAAAAATTTCACTATACTTAACAAGTAGCAATCATTATCATGTAATTCAGTTTAATACTTCATTGTCAAACTGAACATACTCAAATTACCTGATTCAATCCCAGACATACATGTTGTCAATCCCATTCTGTCATACGTGACATAATCAAAGCAACAACGTGTTTCTATGGAAACGTTTTTTTCTTTGTCAACCATTCATAATGTTAAAATTCAACCGTCTTACCTGTTAAAATGTTACATTAGAATATTACTTTGGTTCTCGTGACATGGAGAAATATGGCGATTCACCGCCGACTATTGAACCCTGGTGTAAACGACCTTGATCTTATTTCTTGGCTGTGACCTTTGGACGCATGACCCCCACATTTCAACCTTGATACGACCCGTGTCATCTTTGCAACCTATAAAGATAATGCACAAGACATGCTAATATAATAGAACATATATTTAAATGTTAAACTGATGCAAGACGTTGCAATTGGCAAAAAATACTTGCTTTATTTGCAGAAAAATATAAACAATGATAACCGGAAGTTAACATGCTCTAGTCAATACAAATTACAAAATCGGTCAAATGATATAAATGAAACGAAAGGTAACTGGTTTGGTTAGTAAGTTAATACTTTATTTTGAGAAGGTAGACAGTTAGCAATACAATATCTAATCTTTCCTGATGCACTAAAATTATAAAAAATCAAACAAAATCAAATTAAAATCATGTAAATGGGTCTGGATAGGGTTTACAAGAATACACCTTATCGCTATTCCCGCTTGACCCGAGAATCTGTCCCGCTCGAACTTTTGACGTCATACAACAATCACTTTTCCATTGTGGCGTCAGATATTTTCTATTATAACGTCAAAATTTTACGGGAACTTGTGTGATGTCCAGTAATGGCGGACAAATAGCGATAATTAAGGTGTATAGATATTACGGGCCAGAAAATGGGGCAAAAAACAGGAATATAGAAAAATAGACTAGAAAAACAATGAATATAGAAAAAAAGGCAAGAAAATAAAGAATAGAGAAAAATGGACAAGAATAAAGGAACAGAGTAAATTGACTTACAAATTAAAGAATACAGAAATAAAGGACTCTCATGTACAGTAAACTAATAGTCGTGCACCTAAATATTATATTCAATGATTTTCTTTTTTAATATGTACATTAAATATACTTTTCTATCAAGGTGTCATTATTTTCCCAGTTTTAGGAAGGATTTTTATAGTGATTTCTATATATATATGACCTGTATGATCTGAGATTACTTCAATGTATAACAAGTCTCAGATATAATTAAAAGTTTTCTTCGTAAAATTTTACTAGGGCTCGGAAAATATAAGTTTCCATTATTTGAGATATCAATGTCTATTCACAGTAAACTTTATTAGCATATACATTTTTAACTTTTTAATAATAGCAGAGACATATATACTAGTTATATAGACTGTCCGTTATAATCCCCCGTATATTGCAAAAGTAGTAATGAATGGTAAATATAACCGATCATAATAATATTACCGAACATCTGTTGTGAAAACACAGTGGCGGATCCAGGGGTTGGAACCCCCCTTTTTTTGGACGATCAATGCATTTGAATGGGGACATTTAGTTGGAACCCCCCTTTTATCCGGGGTTGGGAATCCCCCCCCCTTTTTTTTAAATGGCTGGATCCGCCCCTGAAACGGTTTCAGCCGACCTGGACGATATAGAGGATTTTTTCTTCAATGGACTTCAAACCGAACTCCGTTTGATAAATTGACTTAACGGGTTGTAATGGATCTTGTTGTTCAATTACTGTTTCTATAATAAAAAATAAAAGATAATTACCAAGTCGCAAATTTATAGTTCGAAGCAATACTCAAATGTTACTATGTTTTTTTTGTATCATATGTTTTGGGCATTGCAACCTTTAATGTTTTTGGCGTTGTGAATTACAGCGATCAATATTGGTTAGTGTACTAAGATCATGTTCATGATTTCTTAACATCATATATAGGAACTACAAGCTTGCTGTCCGTGAGTAACTTTTATGGTTTTTCTGTGTAATTTGTTTTGGGCATAGCACCCATTTAATGTTTTTGACGTTGTGAATAAAAGCTGGAAATGCCTATGGAGGTTACAAAACAAGATACCTTAATTCTGGTGCACATTTTGTGCCATATCTATTCTTTAATAAGGTATAATTTGTTATTTATCATGTATGAGATGTTTGTTATATATGATTCCCGTATTTTAGAGTTCAGTGCGTTTCCAGTACTGTTTATTTTTATTTTAATGTTCTTTTTTAAGTACATTTTGTTAATCTATTGATTAAGATCAAAAAAGTTGAGCCGGGTTAGGGGTGGGGGGAGGTTCTCGACATGTTTCCCAAAATAAATTAACTCTGACATATCTGCATGCCTGTCCAAAGATAACGAGGAACTTCGTCAGAAATAGAACTGCATATGTCATATCTTAATTGTTTTTGTTATTTGGAGAATTGAGTGTTGATGGCAGATCTTTGATTGTTTCTCTTAACTTTGTTCACAAGTTTTACATATGTGAATGCAACCTCTATCAAGACGAAAGGAAAAAGTTTTATGATGACATTGTTAATGTGTTTGTACTTTAGATATAATTTTGATAAGTTTAGATATTTAATGAACTGTACGGAGACTGATGTTCTCAACATATTTCTTTTATATATAGACAAATGTATCATGGTCAGAAATTCATCAGTAGGAATAACTGCATAATATTGACGTGGGTGTTTTGTCTAATGTTTGTAATACGTCACAAAATTGCTGTCTTTTTTTTGTTTTATTTTTTTACTATGATTTCATGTATTTCAGCGATGATCCTTTTGTACTGGATTTTATACTGAATAATATTAGTTAGTTAGTTAGTTACTCGAGAAGAATTATATATAGAGCTTGAAATAGATTGCCGTGTGGTCTTTGTAGACGTCTTTGGTTATATTTATCGTTGAGTTCCGTTTCATTAACATTTACCTAACACATCCTGCTATTCATTCATACCTTTCACTATAGATTAATTATTTCACTGCCATATAGAAAAAAAGTACTTCCCCAGTGACATAAACTTGCGAAGAAATTTTCTAAGTTAGGATAGTGACCCCCGAATGTTTCGCTATGTTTATAACATGTTTTCGGACCATTCTGATATAGGGTCTGCATGTCTGGCTTCTTTAACGCTGTCAGAGCAATATAATGTGACTCCAAGTTAATAGCAGCTTTCGGTCGAATTTTTCTCTCAGGTACTAGTACGTTAATCACAAGTATTATAGTAAGATTTTTTTGCACAATTTTTTTTTTACACATTTTGAAAAAGAAATGATGCGTTTTTTAGAAATCATACTATGATACGAAATCACTTCACACATTTGATAAATAAAAAAAAACACTTTTATTGCCATTCTTCATTTCAAAGTGTAGCCTTCAACAAGGAGCAAACGCTAACACATCTCACAATCACTGGTTTTGGGGAAATTCGTTGCTAAATGTCTGTCACGCTACATTTGTCAATTGAAGAACACAGCTGCGGGGTAATGATAATAAATTACGTAAACAAATGGAAAGTTGACACTGCCAACATATGCTCAACGAAGTTCAAGTTCAAGTTCAAGTTCAAAAGCTTTATTTATAGACGAGATCATTATACAGAAAACATAAGCTCTATTGAGCTTTTATATCGTCTTATTACAAACAAAACATCTAAAACGTGCACGTTTAAAACAAAGCAAGCATGCTACACACACAAAAGCTACACAAAGCAAAACATTACATTGAAGCATACATATACAGCATACATGACACGAAGAAGTTAAGTATGTAATACCATGCAGAAATATTAAAAGTACAATAAGCAACTCAATATTAAAAACATATAAAACACTTTAAAACACATAAGCAATTACAACACATTAAGCAGAAAAAAAGCACTAAAAATTAAAGCATTAATTATTTGCTGGCATTGCATTGGCATGAACTACCATTTCAGGTAACAATAAGTTTAGAAAATTGGTTAAAATTGTTTATTTAAAAGAGTAAACAAAATTGTTATAAATACTTTCTCCATAGCCCCACTATACAGAAACACACATTTGTTAATCATCTACAAATTAGCTGGGTATCCCTGACCCTGACTAACCTACTTGTGTTGTTAAAACAAGCAAAAAAGTAACATTTCGAGAAAACCAACTTTTTCCAAAAGTTACTGTTTACAGTTACAGTGACTTTGAACCTTTTGAGTACAAAATCGATAGCTATCATCCTCTTTCCAACATTTCCACCTGTATATGTTCCATTCCAATCAAGCAACTGCATGAAACTTAGTTTCTGAACAATAAATTTAAATATGTTTAAACTAATGCCCTAAATCTTTTATTGACACCAAAATCGATAGCTGTTAGTATTCTCTCCCTATGTCTTCAATTTCAATCCAGCAAGGGAAACTAAGCTACCATCTTGAATTACATTTTCCAAAAGCTTCTTTCTTAAGTAACAGTGACCCTGAACTTTGTCCTTATTTACCCCAAATTGATAGGCGGCTTCCAATTCCCTTTATCTTTCATTGACTCTAAAATTGATAGCTAGCATCCTCTTTCCCTATATCTTCCATTTAAATCAAGCAAGCGAAAATAAGTTACCATCTGGAAACTTATTTTTTTCTAAGTAACAGTGACGTTGAACTTTGTCCCATTGATTTCAAAATCCTCTTTTCTATATCGTCTATATGTTATTTCAAGGGAAACTCAAGTATTTAAAAAAAAAACTATATTTATAAACTGTGACCTTGAACTTTGACCTATTGACCACAAAATTGATAGGTGTCTTCCAATTCCATATTTCTTTCATTGACTTCAAAGTTGATAGCTATACACTTCCTTGTATCTTCCATCTTGATCAAGCAATGGAAAGTAGGTTATTTCTTTGAAACAATTTTTTTTCCAAAAGCTTCTGTCTTAAGTTTAACAGTGACCTTGAACTATCTCATGTTGACTCAAAAATCAGAATGTGTCTCCCCCTCCTTATACCTTCTATGTGTATAGATTTCATTTCAATAAGGTCAAGAAAACTCAAGTAACAATCCAGAAACCATATATAATAAAATGCTCGGCAGGGCGCAGCTTGATACGACCGCAGAGGTCGAACCCTGAACAGTTGGGGCAAGTATGGACACAACATTCAAGCTTGATACAGCACTGAATTTGGATTATGATTAAATATTTGACACAGCATAGGTTTCTGACACAGAATGAATGTGGTCTAAGAACTTAAATTTTTTTAATTTATCTATTCAAACCATATCATTATTATTTGCTTTTATATATTAATCAGTAATAACCAATTTAAAATGAAAAATTTTAAAGAAGAAAAATGGAAAAAAAAATCCCCCCCCCCAAATTTTTTGCACCCCCTTATGATTCATCACCCCCAAACTCAATCCCAGCCTTCCCTTTGTGGAATGGTACCTTGCAGTACAATTTCAGAGAGATCCATACACTTGAACATAAGTTATTGTCTGGAAACTAGAAAAATGCTTGTTTTTTGGCCCCTTTTTGGCCTCAAATTCCTAAACATTTTTGGGCAATTACCCCCAAACTCAAACCCAGCTTTCCCTTTGTGATATGGAACCTTGTAGTACAATTTCATAAAGATCCATACACTTACACACAAGTAATTGTCTGGAAACTAGAAAAATGCTTGTTTTTTGCCTTTTTGACCCCTAATTCCTAAAATTTTGAGGCAATTACCCCCAAAATCAATCCCAGCCTTCCCTTTGTGGTATGGTACCTTCCAGTACAATTTCAGAGAGATCCATACACTTGAACACAAGTTATTCTCTGGAAACTTGAAAAATGCTTATTTTGGGCCCCTTTTTGGCCTCAAATTCCTAAACATTTTTGGGCAATTACCCCCAAACTCAATTCCAGCTTTCCCTTTGTGATATGGAACCTTGTAGTACAATTTCAGAAAGATCCATACACTAACACACAAGTTATTGTCATGAAACCAGAAAAATGCTTGTTTTTTGCCCCTTTTTTTGCCCCTAATTCCTAAAATTTTGAGGCAATTACCCCAAAATCAATCCAAGCATTCCCTTTGTGATATGGAACCTTGTGGTACAATGTCAGAGAGATTCATACACTAACATACAAGTTATGTCTGGAAGTTACAAAAATGCTTATTTTTGGCCCCTTTTTGGCCTCTTAATTTCTTAACTGTTGGTACCATAACCCCCAAAATCAATCCCAACCTTCCTTTTGTGGTATTGAACATTATGGTAAAATTTCATAGAGATCCATTCACTTAAACTAAAGTTGGAGTGCGAAAATAAATGTGTCTTTGGACGACGACGACGCCAACGTCATACCAATATACGACTGCAAATTTTTTTTGCATGCGGTCTTAAACAACCTACAACATATTAAAGCTTTAGCTCAAAAACTGTAGAAGGAGATAGCTGGACAAACCATGTATATATATATGGATGGACGAATGGACGGATGAACGGACGGACAGGGGTAAATTAATATGCCCGCCGACATTTTGTCGCAGGGGCATAAAAAACTAGACAACTTGTATGAATCTAGTAAAATTTTGATGTGACATTTTTTGTGGAATAACAAGAAAACTATTGCTATCACTTTATTAAAATAATGGATGAACTGTACAATAACAATAACAATATTGTTCATGTTGTTTGTGACCATTTTCAAATATCCTTTATAGATAACATGAATAATACACATATCAAATATGAATATTGCACCAGAATTAATTATACAATAAAATGCCTCTTATGAATGGTGGGACTGTTTATAATGACTCCTTCACCAAAAATGTTGTATCATCAACAAAAAAAGATAGAATCAAACAGTGTTCCAAGGTGATGTCTTTATTTACTCTTACGTGTTAATGTACGAGGGCCTGGATAGGGTCTTCATTTATCATTTACTCTTACATGTTAATGTATGAGGGTCTGGATAGGGTCTTTATTTATCATTTACTCTAATGTATGAGGGTCTGGATAGGGTCTTTATTTATCATTTACTCTTACGTGTTAATGTATGAGGGTCTGGATAGGGTCTTTATTTATCATTTACTCTTACGTGTTAATGTATGAGGGTCTGAATAGGGTCTTTATTTATCATTTACTCTTACGTGTTAATGTATGAGGGCCTGGATAGGGTCTTTATTTATCATTTACTCTTACGTGTTAATGTATGAGGGCCTGGATAGGGTCTTTATTTATCATTTACTCTTACGTGTTAATGTATGAGGGCCTGGATAGGGTCTTTATTTATCACTTACTCTTACGTGTTAATGTATGAGGGCCTGGATAGGGTCTTTATTTATCATTTACTCTTACGTGTTAATGTATGAGGGCCTGGATAGGGTCTTTATTTATCATTTACTCTTACGTGTTAATGTATGAGGGCCTGGATAGGGTCTTTATTTATCATTTACTCTTATGTGTTAATGTATGAGGGCCTGGATAGGGTCTTTATTTATCATTTACCCCGGTACTCTTACGTGTTAATGTATGAGGGTCTGGATAGGGTCTTTATTTATCATTTACTCTTACGCGTTAATGTATGAGGGTCTGGATAGGGTCTTTATTTATCATTTACACTTAAGCGTTAATGTATGAGGGTCTGGATAGGGTCTTTATTTATCATTTACACTTAAGCGTTAATGTATGAGGGCCTGGATAGGGTCTTTATTTATCATTTACTCTTACATGTTAATGTATGAGGGCCTGGATAGGGTCTTTATTTATCATTTACTCTTACATGTTAATGTATGAGGGTCTGGATAGGGTCTTTATTTATCATTTACTCTTACATGTTAATGTATGAGGGCCTGGATATGGTCTTTATTTATCATTTACTCTTACATGTTAATGTATGAGGGTCTGGATAGGGTCTTTATTTAGCATTTACTCTTACATGTTAATGTATGAGGGTCTGGATAGGGTCTTTATTTATCATTTACTCTTACATGTTAATGTATGAGGGTCTGGATAGGGTCTTCCTTTCTGTATTCTTTAAATTTTTAGGCAATATTTCTCTATTCTTCATTTATATTGCCAAATTTTCTCTATTCTTTATTACTTTGGTCCTTTTTTTCCTTTTTTACCCCTTATTCTGTAAATTCCCTTCTGAACCCTCGTGTATGCATTCTTTCTTAATTGTTGTTGAAAAACTGTTTTTTTGTTATTTACTGAGAAATGTCAAATCACGGTCATGTTTGTTTCCTCCAGTTTAAATTTCATAATTTCACAGAACCAAGAAATCATACAAAAATATAACTACACAATAATTATAACTCAATATTGGTTTTACTTATTATGAACATTATCATTTGAACATAATGACACAGCCTAGATAAGGTATTTGAATAGCAGATATTTCATAGTCTAGGTATCCGCTATGGGTAATGCTTCTGTAATAAAATGGTTTCATACAAAACTATAAGTTAGTGCAAATGGCAGTGAATGTACAATGTTCTAAAATGACAAAACTTCTGAAAAAATTATTTTACAATTACTCCTGATTTTATTTTTTATGAGATTTACTTTAGGTAAGCATTTTTACAAATGCACTTAGAAATGAGGGGATGACACGGGGTTGTTCATTTCTCAAATCCTGCTTTTTTGTTATTTTTTCCCACTTCCCACTTTTTATCATTCTTTGTTCCCAAATCCCACTTTTTACTCCCCCTCAACATTCACTTTTTTAACCCCAAATATCCCACATCCGACCAGTGTGTCATCCCCCTCAGAAATGAGCACATTTCAGTGCTTACAAGAATATTCCATTCATCTGAAATGTTGTTCAGGAAAACTATAATAACAAGTTTCCCATGGGCATTCCTTTTCAAACAAACTAACATGTAATTAAGTAAAAAGCTACTACATGTACATGAATTTTCTATAACGCAACAAACATAGCACTCAATTGCTTTGCACCCATGATCCTTAAGGTTTGAAGGAACATAACTTCTTAAAAAGTAATTAGTAAAATGTAGCACTATTCTTTTAATGTCAATGTAGATGTATCTTTATTAATACTTGAACTTGGTGCTATAAAAATTTCCTTTTAAAGAAGGCAGCAAAGTCTTTTTTGGGCAATTTTTGAAACAAAGCAAAAAAAACTTTACATTAGGGAGCTACCATTTGATTTTTATGGGGGGGGGGGCTAGGATGAAAAATTGTGTCCTGCATTTTTTTGTAGTTGTAATCTCGGTCCTGCCTTTTTATTATTCACTTTATTCGGTCCTGCATTTTTTTTTATTAGTTTATCCTGACTTTTTTTACATAATTTGTCACTCTGCCTTTTTTTTTGCCAAGTTGCTCATCCTGACTTTTTTTTTACTCAAAACTCCTGTCCTGCCTTTTTTATTCAAATTTCATACTAGCACCCCCCTAAAAATCAAATGGTAGCTCCCTTATATCAAATGAATCTAATTAATCTTTTTAAACATGGCAGTGTGTATACAATTTGAATTAACATGACCATAACAATTACTTCTATGTTAAGGTGGGTTAAAGGTTTTTAATTTACTGATTCTTGTGTTTAATAAAGACAATCTGTTAAGCTTAAGTAAGGTATAAAATGTGGGACCTTTAAGCTCTCAAATTTACTAATTGCCACCAAGCATGCAAATAAAATACAGAAAAACTTCTAATATAAATAAAGTTGATACCAAAGAATACTTCTTAAGACAGCTGGCATTGTCATACTGATGTTAGATATTTTTAATTTTTATTAAGTTCTAATATGTCTGTTAGTCGTCTGTTCTTAGGTGAGAAAAAATGGAGATTGACATTGAATAAAAGGAAATTTGACTTTCCAATATGTGAAAAATGTCTATTAAAGATGGATAAATACCTCTGTTTCTGATTTTAACTTTTATAAACAATAAATAGAAAACAGTTTTCCTCTTCACCAATATTTTCCGACTTAAATTGACCATAAGTTAAACTAAACTGTTCATAGCTTATAAGTGACTTTTCCTTTAGATTTAATGTGAAAATGGCTAATGCCTCTTAAATATATGCATACAATAAGAAATAATCATACAAAATGTAAGGGATATCAGGAAAAAAAGCAAACTACACGTAAATAAACAACTTTCGAGTTCGATGCATTTCCGTCAAAAAACTTTGGTTTTAGTGAACATCATTAGTGCGTTTAGGGGCATCGTCACTTCCGTTCCCATGTTGAGCGAGTGGTTAGAAAAATATGATGCTATATTGCACGAATTATTCGGCAAATTAAATTCTAATAATAGACAATCAGCACTGCTATCATTAGGGAATTGTGATGAAGTACCTATGGAACAAATATTATTTCTAGTTTATCCTGCACAATGATGATCACTAAAAGAGGGACAAAAGATACCAGAGATACTAAGACGCTTGATGAATGTTAATAGTGCAGGGATACAGGCGATCCCCTCTATCTGGTAAATGACATCATAAAGACGATTTTTTCCGGTGAAGGACATAACCCGAAAGTTGTCTATTATATCAGATTTAAAATAATAACTAATAAGACCATAACAAAATATTCTTAAATTCTTACTTTTAAAAATTTTTTTTTTTTTTGTATTTCATGTTTTCCCATTTGAAAGAAAAAATGTTGAATGGCCAGTTGTCACTCTGTCCTTGTGTAATTTGGAAATTTTATTCCATGTTCAACAACCCTTGACAAAGACCATATAGGCTGAAATAATTTGGTCTGTAATTTTTTTTACCTTTTATTTTTTTTTACCTTTTATTTTTTTCGCCTTTGACCATTTCTTCATTTTTATATTACAAGTATATTCTTATAACAAATTCACAAAATTCATTTTGACATGGGGAAAAGTGTTCATACTCAATGAAGCAGCAACAGAAAACAATAAGAAAATAAAATATGCTCTCTTAAATTTTTTTTTTTAAAGTTTGAAAAAAATCTTCGAATAAACTGATAAATCAAAAGTTAATTAGCTTAACGTTAAAAAAGTTGTAAATGTGATTTCATAGAATCTAGAATTTTTTTTTACTATGGCCTAAGCATAAACATAGGGTGGATATGCAGATATCTTATTTGGTCAATAAAATAATGTAACAAATAAGGAAGTGAATACACTAATTATTTCATAATATGCTTCTTAAAGAGTCTGCAAAATTTAAAACAAAACAGTTAGCAAACATGATTCAGCGAAAAAAAATCTTTTAATATATCTTCAGAGTATTATTCTATTCAACCTTTACAGACTTTCAATTACGGAAGCAATGATTGTTTGTGTCTTTCTGTTTTGGCACATGGTATGCTAAATTATTATCTATCAAGATTTCTGCTGTTTAAGTTTAGTCGCCATTGAAGAATTTTCTTTCTTCATTTGTTGGTAATCAGACGTAATCTTTTCTAGATTAGTTAACACCTTACTCTTACTCTCATATTCAATCTGAAAAAGAAAATGGAGTAAACATTTTATAACCAAAACATTTATCACAAATATTCTAAAGTCACTGTAAATTTAGAAATTTTTGTGAAATGTTTATTGTGGATAAAATTGCAACAGGATAGGATGGATTGACTTTGCACTCAATCAGTACTAATATAGAATATGTATTTTTCTAACTATGGATTCATTTATTTTTGTTACCAATTTTTGTGGATTAAGGAAAAATTGTATTTTCGTGGATATATGATTTTGTGGTTTTTACAAAATTTTGCATACAAGGCTTAAGAAAATTCGTTGTACTTTTAAATTTAGGGTTCATATGTACCAATGAAATCCACAAAATTTTGTATCCCATGAATAATAATGAATCCACACTTACTTTTGTTAAAGTCATATTTAAATCATATTTATTAAGTTACTTTCACAGCTGCACAATCTAAATAAGATGTAATATTTTCAAAAGAACACTTAACATACTAAATGACAAAATAGGTTATTCGAGTGATGATGTGATATTTTTTACTATTCATTCACCAAAAGTCATTTACATTCTTAAGGAACAAATTACATGTTGTATTTAGTACAGTTTTGAATGGAAAAAAAATGAAATTTTCCCAAAACCCATGAGTCTTACCTGGTCCTCTAATTCTCTTATCTCCCTCATAATGGTACCAGTCTGTGTTACAGTTTGTATAAGCTGTTCAAAATTCTGCAAAAAAAGGTATATCTGTAACTGAACATGTTTGTTTGATAAGACATAACCTTTACTATATTCATATAAAAAAGTTTCCAAAGGAGTGGCCTTTGTGGTCAGTTGGTCTAAGTAGACGTACTACTGTATCACTAGCCTGTCAATACTGAGGTTGCAAGTTCGAATCGTGGATGTGGTAGGTGCCCTTGACTCCAATCTTAGTTGACTAGGATTGTCAGTTTTCCTACTGAATGTTGTGGTTCTCTCCTGTCACTCAAGCTTCCTCCATCAATAAAAACTGACCGCCATGAAATAGCACAACAGTGTTGAAAGTGTTGTTTAACACTAATCAATCAATTAATCAATCCAAAAGAAAATTTGTGAAAAGCTGAAAATATCACTCCCCAAAATCATTGAAATCCTATTGATAAATATTCTCTATTTCAAAGATATACCTCATGTAATGCTGCTAAATTTCTATATGCCTTCTTCACAGATTCATCCTTTTTAGCATCCTGTAAATATAAAATAAACAATCTATAAACTTTCCAAGCAGTAACATACTTTTAAATATATGAGACAGAGACTGACATATAGACATACCTTCAACCAAATGAACAAGAATCCCTTCACACCTTGTGCCAGTAGAACCCTTTCTTACATAAGAATCAGATATATCTTGCCTGTCCTTCAAAACTTTCTGAACATGTAACTGCTATAATATCTCACAATAACTGTTTATGCATAAAATGTATGTTGAGGTATCATAATTGTTGCATTGACCATCATTAATATTAAATATGTGTGAATTTTTGAGGTCTGTGGTTTTACCTGGTCTGGGTTCGAAACCCATGATCTCCCCTCAGGGGGTCCGCTTCAATACTTAATTGATAGGGAGTGCCGCTGGGGTTCTGTTACCCCACCCTTTTCATATAATTTAGATTTTAAAAATGTATACCTTTTCATATATTGCGTAGGAAAAATGTTACCTTTTCCCATATTTTTGGGGTTTCATGTGGTGTGTAATGTAAGAGTGGAATACCAACGTATCAAAAGAGAGAAAATTTGTTGATAAAAACACAGCCGGGAACACCAAGAAAGATGACAGACGAAGAAGTTATGGGAACTTTATTGACCTTATCATTTATTTCTGATAATTTTCCAGACCTATTCATATATTTTCAAGCTTGAAAAGGTGACCTATTCCATAAAAATCTTACCCTGAATATAAGTTCATCTGTTACAGTAAATGTTCGATCCAATTTACCAGATAACATGTTGATTTCTTTCTGTACTGATCTGGTATCTACTAATACCTGTAAATTAAGATAATTACAATGACAGTTTTCCTAAGACTTAAGGAGAGGTAGAAACATGAAAGAGAAAGCAAATCTCAATATCTAAAATTAAGTTATCATTTATATTATAACTTTTACCTTACTTTATGTTGAAAAACGTACAGAATTTTGTTGATACTAAGTGGTCTGTTCTGTGTTCTATAGCATAAAGAAATATATTGGTTATAAATCACCAATCTACAAATATGAAAGTCTAAAATATGGAACAATCAATGCATAGAAGTAGGTAATCGTAATCCAAATGTATATCTAACTGGTCTACCACCAGGGATCCTAAGAAAATTTTCATTCAAAAAGTAATCTAAGACAAGCAAACAAAAAATGTAGGTCAAGGTGATTCAATTATTAATCAAGGGTCCCACAGCATAAGATGGTTATTGGGAAGAATTATCAGTGAAAAATTGACCTAAACGTAATTCTGGTCAGTCTGGAAATATTCCATTGAAATAGATGAGGGTAAATCAACTTGTTTCAGCCACAAATAAGGCATAAAAACACCTATTATATTTTAAAAGCATTAAGATGCATATTTAATGAATAACATACTTTATACATTCATAATTATATCATTTACTAATTCATTTTAGTCTTTATACCTGGTTAATGCCGTCTTTTTGTTTTTTAATATTTGACACAATCTCCATGATTCTTTTTGTATATGCTGACCTGTTGACATCTTTTGTCATTCTCTCATATTCTGCTATCTATAAATACAACAATTAGATTCGATAGTTTACTTATAAAATATATATATTGTTTAGTCGCCACTTTTTTGTACACATTAATAATTTTCAGGTAATAGGATCTTTGATTTTAAACAATGACAGAAAAAGGCATGCTTTATGTACTTTTTTTTCTGAAACTCCTTAAAAATCTGATTTTGGCAATATGAAATTGAGATTATGGCTGACTTGTCAAGTTTGAAGATAGGTTCAGGAACATATTGCTTTGTTTTCATTCAAATTAGAGGTAATTTAATCAAAGACAGACAAAGCTTCAGATATTAGATACATCAATCACATTTATGCTTCTCTGATTTGCTTATATTTCTGGTACAAACCATTTAAAAATAAGTCAAAGGATATATTGGAACATTGATCATTTGTGCTAGCAATGGTGATTTTACATATTCAAAAATGTATGCCCTCCCTTTTTATCAGAAAATATATCTTGGTGGCATGAAATCATCATAACAAAAAGTTTGACTCACTAGGCTTGTTGCTACTTTTACTATTACAAACAATCAAAACCCCTTTTTGAAACCTGGATTTGCCCCTGATGAGGTACAATTACTGACCAATTGTTTTTGTAACTCCTCTTTCTGTCTGGCATCATCTGCTACTTCTTTCATTTTTGATCGGAATGCTTTTATCTCTTCTAACTTCTTCTCTGCTTCAGACTAAAAAAAGACATCAATAATTGCAATAACCTTCCCTTAGAAAATTTAAATTTTCATCATACAGAGCAAGTACTTTTAATTAAAAGAATTATGTCCTCTCAGGCAAACACATCTTATATGTTGCATATGAAACAATCAACAAATCAGATATTGTAGATTCATTTATTTTTCGTGGGTACCAGTTTTTGTGGAATTAGGGAAAATTGATTTTTTCATGGACACTTGATATTGTTGTTTTGACAAATTCTACATGCAAGTATTTAGAAAATTTGTATTTTATTGATCACTTGAATTCTTGGTTAACCTAAACCAATGAAATTGATGGAAAATTAGTACTCCACAATAACAATGAATCCACAGTACTTACTTACCACTCTTTAACTGATATTGATAGAAGTAGCTTTAAATGACAGGAATAGTATGTTCTAAGTGACAGATTACTGCTTAAAAATAACATTCATATATCTGTTGATCATTGAAATAAGAAATAGTTGTGGCATATAATTGTATCAATTTGGCAATCAAAAATGATTATAAATATTATATTCATGCACTTAAGTAAATGTTTATCAGTTTCATGGCAATGCTTCATGTCCTTTCCAATGAGCAAGGATATTACAATCTCTATTTACAATGATTTACCTCTTTCTTAGAATTAAGATCTTTAAGTTCCCTGTACTGTTCTATCAATGGTGCTCTGTGTTTCTCCCATTGATTAGCTAAGGTAACCAATCGTTGTGCACTACTATCTACAACTGACTGTTAAAAAAGTAAAATCTGGTTAAGGATGAAAGAGCTAGAAGTTTGTGAAACAATAACTGTAACTTGCTTAACGCAATTATTTTTCATTTCATTATTGTACATATTTGGAAACACTGTATAAATCAATTAAAAATATATGGTCAAAGTATTTTTACTCCTGTATTTAAACTTTTGTGCTTTGTTTTTGTGAATGTTGTTAAAATTCTTATTTCAGAGTATGTTTAAAGAAGAAGAATGCATCTCATTGTTATTTAAGTTCCCAGTAATGACCAGCCATGAAATCTACATATATCAGTAACATACAAATAATAGAACTTGCAAGGCACATCAGGCAGTTCCATGTTTTACTAAAACTTTCTATTGTGTTGGTGTAGAGAAATCTATATGATTTTAATATCAATGCTTTTAAGAAATTTCATATTTCAAATTTAAACTTCTCTCTCAAACAAATATGGTTGATTGCATATCATTTTCTACATATGTTTATGTCTTTGCATATTAATTTTCTACTGATTAAATTTTATATGTCTTTGGTTTTCTTTGAAAATACAAAATCCAAAAAATTCAGTTTCTAAACAATATACACACTAGAGTATATTCAATATTGTTTCCTAACAATTCCCATGTGCACATCTCACAAATAAGGCATTCCAACTACACATGTATCATGCATTATCTTTAACAACTCTTTCCTTTATTCCTATATTCAATTCAGCATAACTGGAAACAGGGAACCAGATTACTTTCTAATGACAATAATTCAATCAATCATTTCCTGAATAAAATTGGTATCAAGATGGAATGCCTAATTAAATTTGTGTAGATTTGGAATGCTCTTTCCAGTGGTGTGTCAGGTTGCAAAGTCAGCATTTCCCCACATTTATTAACATCAATTTTTCATCTTTTTACCTGTATTTTGGTAATATTATTTTCAGCATCAGGTAACAAGTCCAGTGTACGTTTCTTGACTTTATAAGACTCTTCTTTATCTTGGTTCTGTTGTAATAGCGATGACATTTGATCCTCCATTTGTTTCATTGAAGCTGTTAGTTTTTTAGATTCAAGTTCTAAATTGTCTATTTTTGATATTAAATTGTTATATTCTGTTTTTATATTTTCTATATCCTCTTCTCTCTGTTTTTGTAGTTCCTGAATGGAAGGTTAAAAAAAGTTAATTCAAAAAGTTAATTTAAAAAAAAATAATTTGTTGATTATGATGTGCCATAAAAGAAAAGTTTGGTAGAAATGTGCAGTCAAACACCAATTCAGCCATTCTGAAACTGCCAATCAATAAGTACATTTTAAATAATAAGGTTAATATCAATTACCCAAAGTATTCAACAGTATGACAAACCATTCCAACAACCCATTCAACTAAGAAACTTATACATGTATCAGAAGAAATGCTATTTAATGAAAACTAGTAATGACAAAGTAATTAACGGTAGGTCTTTTCCAATGTTGTCCTTTTTTAGATAGACCTTTTAATGATTAAAGGCCGAAGAGGGAGATGAACACTAGATACCTAGAGTACCTGACCACTGAGACATATTCTGTCTTTTTTTCCAGTTCACTACTCACCTCCTCAGTATGACCTTTATCTACATCAGGACTTTGTATCTGTGATAAAGTCTTCTCTTCATCCTGAAAATGTCAATTATATGTTAAAGCTGTAAGAATACAAAAACAAGCAATCAGATGTTTGATGAATGGGTTTAAGTTTTGAGTATAATAGCAGTCTGATTGGAATAAAAAATGATTCTACATTAGTATGAAACAAAGAGCTTGGCAACGAGCCCATGATACACCCGTCTCTTTTTCAAGGAATAAAGTTCCATAACTCCTCAATGTCATATCAGAGATTTATAACAAAACTAAGGGGAGCTTATTTTAAAGATATAAACCAGTCAACAAAGTTTCATGAAAACTGCTCAAAGCATTTTTGAGTTATGGTCCGAAAACTGGAAAATCCCCCCCCCCCCCCCCTTTTTTTAGCTCACCTGGCCCAAAGGGCCAAGTGAGCTTTTCTCATCACTTGGCGTCCGTTGTCCGGCGTCATCAGTCATCGTCCGGCGTCGTCCGTCGTTGTCCCCCGTCGTCCAGGTCAGCGTTAACTTTTTACATTTTGAACTTCTTCTAGAGAACCACTGAATGGAATGAAACCAAACATGGCATGAATGTTCCTTATGAGGTGCTGACCAAGTGTTGTTACTTTGTAGCGGATCCATCATCCAAGATGGCCGCCAGCGGGGGACTTAGTTTAACATAGGACCCTATGGGAAATACATACAAATGTCTTCTTTTAGAGAACCATTGAATGGAATGAAACCAAACATGGCAAGAATGTTCCTTAATGAGGTGCTGACCAAGTGGTGTTACTTTGAAGCTGATCCATCATCCAAGATGGCAGCCAGCGGGGGACTTAGTTTAACATAGGACTCTATGGGAAATACATACAAATGTCTTCTTCTAGAGAACCACTGAATGGATAAACCAAACATGGTATGAATGTTCCTTATGAGGTGCTGACTGAGTGTTGTTACTTTGAAGCCGATCCATAATCCAAGATGGCCGCCAGCGGGGGACTTAGTTTAACATGGGACCCTATGGGAAATACATACAAATGTCTTCTTTTAGAGAACCACTGAATGGAATGAAACCAAACATGGCATGAATGTTCCTTATGAGGTGCTGACCAAGTGTTGTTACTATGAAGCTGATCCATAATCCAAGATTGCTGCCAGCAGGGGACTTAGTTTAACATTGGACCCTATGGGAAATACATACAAATGTCTTCTTTTAGAGAACCACTGAATGGAATGAAACCAAACCTGGCATGAATGTTTCTTATGAGGTGCTGACCGAGTGTTGTTACTTTGAAGCTGATCCATCATCCAAGATGGCAGCCAGCGGGGGACTTAGTTTAACATAGGACTCTATGGGAAATACATACAAATGCCTTCTTTTAGAGAACCACTGAATGCAGTGAAACCAAACATGGCATGAATGTATCTTATGATGTGCTGACCAAGTGTTGTTACTATGAAGCCGATCCATAATCTAAGATGGCCGCCAGGGGAGGACTTAGTTTAACATAGGACCCTATGAGAAATACGTACAAATGTTTTCTTTTAGAGAACCATTGAATGGAATGAAACCAAACATGGCATGCATGTTCCTTTTGAGGTGCTCAGACCAAGTGTTGTTACTTTGAAGCTGATCTCTCGTCCATGATGGCTGCCAGATGGGGACAATGTTTAACAAAGGACCCAATGGACAATACATACAAATGTCTTCTTTTAGAGAACCACATACTGAATGGATTGAAACCAAACATGGCATGAATGTTCCTTATGAGGTGCTGACTAAGTTTTGTTACTTTGAAGCTGATCCTTCATCCATGATGGCCGCCAATGGGGGGACTTCCTTTAACATAAGACCCTATGGGAAATACATAAAATGCTTCTTCTAGAGGTGCACTGAATTGAATGAAACCAAAGCATGGCATAAATGTTTCTTATGAGGTGCTGATTAAGTGTTGCTACTTTGTTGCCGATTTACTGTTCAAGATGGCCACCAGGATTTTTTATTAAATTACAGGACCAATATTAAACCAAATTTGGCCTCACTCATTATTAGGGTATCTGTTATGATTTTAATCTATTTTTACATGATTTCCAAAACCAAAGTAGAATCAGGTGAGCGACACAGGCTCTTGAGAGCCTCTAGTTTAGGAATAAAATCCCATACTCGGAAACGTAAAATCTAAAATTTATAAAAATCAATAGGGAGCTTACGTAAATAGATATAAACAATTCACCAAAGTTTCATGAAAATTGGACTAAGCGTTTTTGAGTTATTGTCCTACATGTTGATCATTGATCACAGACGGACTAATAGACGGACAGACAGACAGACAGATGGTCACTGGTATACCATAATTCGTCCTGTAAATGGGCTTATATCAAAGATAGCAAATGTTTAGCTTACAACAAATTTTTCCATAGAATAACAATCATCATTGTTAAGAATATTGTCAAACAAATAAAAAAAAAGTTATATACATCAACTGTCACAACATACTTTCAACATTTTTTTTGTAAATTAAACTCATTCTTACTGAAGAAAAAAATATAGTTATGAGAAGGCAATGGGGTTTTTGAAAAAGAATTATTGATTTTAATTTATATATTTTTTCAACTTTAATATAATTTTTTTGATAGAAAATAATAAGAAACAAAATTTGAAGAATGGAAGTAACTCAATGTTTTTAAAACATATAAACTACATATTGTAGTGTCAATCATAAAAAGAAAGATCTGCTTAATTAAATGAAATAATTTTATCCTAATATCAGTTATACAGAATTGATTATGAAAAATTCTCTTATAAAAAGTAAAATTAATTTATCTTATAGTATAATAATTACATTACATGTTTGTTTCTTACTAGCATAGAAATGTAATTATAAGAAATGAATACTTCTTTTTGTAATTTTATTGGGGTGTAAAAGTGTTGATCGTGCACACATTTTTAGAATGAAGTGCTTCTGTGCTTCATAAAAAATGTGCTTCGGTCATCACTTTTACACCCCAATAAAATTACAAAAAGAAGCATTCAATTCGTAAGTATATATTTTTTTTAATGTTTAAATACCATACCTTTGCATAAATAAGTTGTTCAGTATGTGTGAACCTTGACCCTTTAGTTTTACCAGAACCAGATGATCTGTTACCCATGGCATCAATCATCTGCTGTAGGTCCATGGCAGATTGTGATGTAGCTAAATCACCACTCCTCTGGACATCTGACCGTAAATTGTCTTTCAATCTTTTCTGAATTCTTTGTCTTTTCCTGGCTCTGTATTCCTAAATAGAAAAGTTAAATGTCCTTGAAAACTAAAACATATTTAGAATTGTCTAATACATACATAATTCTTTCACATTTTGTCATATCTGGGCCTTTTGTAGCTGAAATACAGTATGGGTTTTACTTATTGTTGAAGGCCGTACAATGACCTATAATTATATCCACGTCATTTGGACTTGGTAGATAGTTGTCTCATCAGCAATCATACCACATCTATTTTTATATTCTATTCATACCAAAGTCACTAAAATAATAATTCTTCAGTTTTGTCATTTTATCAACTGGTTAAAAAAATACTAATAAATATATGTTTAGGCAATAACAAATCATTCTTAGATTCCCATCAAACCATTTTTAAATCAGAGAAAGTTAGCAATTTAGAAATTTCTTATTCTACTACAATTAAATCTCTTCTGATTAGGGCTTATATAAATTTGTTTGGTCTAGACAGGTATTTAGTTTATACAAGGTTCAAAATATATTGATACTGAATGGAATGACTTCTGAGCTATAAATGACCTCTTTCTTAAATGGCAAAAATGTTAAATGAAAATAATGTTGGTATATAAGCGTTGAGGCATGCAACAAAGTGAATCTACAAATATATTCATGATGGACGTAGTCTCTGGCAAGTATATATATCATTTTCTTACTTGTACAAATTTCAAGAGGGGTACAAGGTTATAATACAGTTGATTGTTTCACCTTGCTATATTGGACATAGGCTTTACACTTATTATCAATTGTCAGACAAGCAATTATGAATCTTTGCTTAACAAAATTTGATGCTCTCTGAAAATGGTAAATGATTGTGGTAATATGAGGCACCTGTTCTGAGAGTCTAGAAGGAAGACCAATTGTATTCCATTCATTATCCCATTCTTGTTGTGCTGTTAGTTCTGAGGCCAAGTCCTCCATGACAGATGGCGCTGTATCACAGTGATGTATGGTTTGATTGGTAATGTATGGAAGACTTTCAGAATAATAGGATTTAACTTCTGTAATCAAATGTTATAAAAATACTATGTAATACATGTAAATGTAGATATTTTCAGAATACATGAACATTATTCCGATTTTTGTGAGTAAAACTTTTAGTGGACTAAACCTATACATACTTTGACATGTGTTGTGTGAAATGTTATAAATTTTACATTTGCGTCATGTACATAATCTCAATATCCTCTTTTTTCAACATAAATACCATTGCAATTACATCCAATCTTGACCATATACAATGATATTGGATCTAACCTTTTGAATTTTGATTTTATTAGGTTTCGTTTACCATGATTTTGGATCTTACCTTTTGATATTTTCTTTGTTAGGTCACCCATACCATGTGGAGATCTTACATGACAGGAATGATATTTACAAGCAGATAATGCACCCTGAAAAAGAAATTTTGTACATAACAATATATACAAAAGACATGAAAATAAACTGCTTCGCTGAGCGCAGCTGGATACGAACGCAGAGGTCCAACCCCGAACAGTTGGGGCAAAAATGGACACAATATTCAAGCTTGATACAGGTCTGAATTTGGATTGTAATTAAATATTTGACATATTATAGGTTTCTGAATAATTGTAGTCAAAGAACTTGAAATTGGTTATATGAATTGAATTTATATTCAATTAAAGATTTCTTGTTGTTGTGCAATACACTGTGCTGTTGCACAATACTTAGTAAATCTGTTCTCAGACTATAAACAAATAAAGTTCAATTAATTCTCAATGTCATAATAGAAATTTATGAAAATCAAAGGGGAGCTTACATCAATAGATATAAACAATTCACCAAAGTTTCATGAGAATTGCTGACAGCATTTTTGAGTTATTGTCCTAAAACAGGAACCCCCCCCCCCTATTTAATGAATAAAACCCCATAACTCAGAAATGTAAAATGTAAAATTTATAAAATTCTAAAGGGAGCTTACATCAATAGATATAAACAATTCACCAAAGTTTCATAAGAACTGCTGAAAGTATTTTTGAGTTTTTGTCTGAAAACTGGAAAATCCCCCTTTTTTTATGAATAAAACCCTGTAACTTGGAAACGTAAAATCTAAAATTTATAAAAATCGAAAGGTAGCTCATGTCAATAGATATAAACAATTCACCATAATTTCTTGCAAGTTAGTGAAAGCATTCTTGAGTTATTGTCCTAAAACTGGAAAATCCCCCTTTTTTTAATGAATAAAACCCCATAACTCGGAAACGTAAAATCTAAAATTTATAAAATACGAAAGGGAGCTCACATCAATAGATATAAACAATTCACCAAAGTTTTATGCAAACTGGTTAAAGTGTTTTTGAGTTAATGTCCGACGTGTTGACGACGGACGGAAAGGTGGATGGACAGACAGACAGACGGACAACAGTATACCATAATACGTCCCATAAACGGGCGTATAAAAATACACATTTTAAAATCTTATTGCATGAGAAGATAATAATGTAAAACAAAAAGTTTGTAAGCATGAAAATGCTTAAATTAAGCTGCATACTAAATGCTAACTTTCCATCAAAAATCACATTTTAACACAATTGGAAAACATAGCATGAATTGGATTTTACTGAAGACTGTTTCATGAAATCACATGAGATACACATAGATGATCATAGATGGCACTTTTAAAATATGGACATTACAATTGTGGTTTCCAAACTAAGAGTGAAATGTTTATTCCAGCCAATTATAGATGCAATTCACCAGTTAGAGCTTCTTTTGAATATCATTCATGTCTTAAAGAACAAGCCTACTAATCCTTACCTCTTTTTGCCAGACTGGAGGTTTTCCTCTCCATGTTATATTTTTACTCTTTAAATATGGAGGCACCCATGGAGAGTCTAGATATCTTGCTACAGAGGCTGATATTGTTCTTTGCAATAATGCAGAAGCACCTAAACACAAGAAATGATAAAAATTAACATTCTTTATTTATAGGATAATTATAATAAGAGATCTGCAATTATTTTTTGATAAGCTAACAAAATGTTATATCGATAGTAATATAGGTTAAAAATTGGTTAAAATGTCTATATATCACTTTCAACATATCATATTTTTGTACAGGCAGCAGCCCATTTTCTGCTGTTGAGAACAGGTCTACAATTGGTAAGTGGCAAATAGACTATAAAGGGAGAGGGTTCATGCCCACAAAGATGTCTAATACATAAATCAGACCGTTAGTTTTCTCATATGAACTGTTTTACATTCGTCATTTCAAGGCCTTTTATAGCTTGCTATGTGGTATAGGTTTTGCTCATTGTTGAAAGCCGTACCATTACCAATAGTTGTTAACTTCTACGTCATTTATTATTGGTGGAGAGTTGCCTCCTTGGCAATCATACCACATCCTCTTATTTTTGCTTAAAAATTGTAAATCATTGTAAACTGATAATGTGATTAAAGATTTAGCAAAAATGTATTGGATGGTTCCCTGGACAGTCTGTCAAGTAGATAATTATCATTTACTAGAAACTCAATAACTAGTTCTCTGAAATTTTATTGGACTTCTGTTGGGTAAATAACTCATTTCACATGTTTCATAAAATCTGTTTAAATTACAATGGTTGATTTGTTTTAACTGAATGGATACAAAGTCAATAACGGGAAACTCTACACAAAAATTTTCCTATGGTTAATTTTCCTTTCTAACCTAATGGTTCCTCTTCTGTTTCCACTTTATCTTTAGGCAGTTTATCAATGAGAAACATAAACACTTTTCTAATTTCTGTTTCATTGGAATATAAAAATGTCTGGTAACCAATTTCTCCTTTGTATCCAAGTTCCTGGAAAGAAAAAAAAACATATTCCTCTAAAATATGCTGCACCAATACAAACAACTGTTAAAATTTTTAAAGAGAAATACAATTAACACTAAATGAAAATGCTTGAAAGTTATTTGACATTGATATCAAAACATGCAAAAATTTGATACTTTGATAAACATGGTAAAGAAGACCCATTAAAGTGCTTCAATATGATTTCATTTTGCTTCAATTTATCCTCTTACAATTATTAAAAATTTGACGACACAATTTATTATGTACTAAAAACATCAACAGTTCCAATTTTTATGCACCAGATGTGTATTTAGGTAATTAATGTCTCTTCAATAATGCTCGAGGCCGAAATATTTTAACTGTTTCAAACTCTGAATGCCTTCATCTAAGTAATTGTATTATGACAGAATGGAAACATAAATTTGTAAATATTCTATGTTCAAGTGATTGCATTCAGTTTTATCTTCCCTCTACATGTATATAGGTACAAATAAAAGGAGAAAAACAATCCAGGACACAATCAAACCAAAACAGACATCACATTTTCTTGTGTCAAATATGATACAAAGTTGTTTTTTTTTTCACTACCTGTAATACAAGCATGTATACCTGTATAATAGATGCCAAACTGGTTCCCGTTCTAAATCTAGCAGACATTCCACTTGGTAAGGAATTTGGCAGGTCGACCTCATTGTTGATCACTTTGAGACAACGTATAGCAGACGACACAATTAATTCTGTACTGAACTGTCTCAAACTCTGAATGTCTTCATCTAAATCACTGAAATAAGAAAAAAATTAATTTTTAATTATCAAAAAAAAAATTCCATATGAGCAAGATAAAATGTACCTGTACACCTATATTTAAAGCAGTCTTAAAACTGTTGCAAATTGAATTATATACATTTATCAATATTTTGCATATTTTTCCTTTGATCTTTTTTTTGTGATAATTTTTCATATCACGCTACTTGCTTGAGATAGAAAATTATCGTCACAAACAAAAGGCACACATGACGTTGTCAATGTAAACATCAACAATGTCATAGGCAAAATAGCGATAAACAGATTATCAATGGTCTTTCAAACTCCAGGATGTTTCTCGGTCACATCTCATCTCAAGGCTATCACCCTTCGATGAGAATGTAGCTGAGAAACACCCTAGTTTGAAAAACCATCGATAACCTGGTTATTTGTGTTCTCCTTAAGGCCTTTTTGCACCATGGTACCTTTATGATTTTAAAATAAACATTATATATTCAATCCCATAGTAAAATGGTGAGAACACTGTATATTTTTATTCATTGGATCAGGCAGTCACTTTTTTTTTACCAGTTACTGTTATCTAAGTGAATGGTCAATTCATTAAGTTATACATCATAAAAATTTCAATAATTGCCTGCAGTAAGCGGAGGAATCAATGTTTAAATCCCCAATTACAGTAAGAAAATCAATAAAATAAAAAAAATATATACTAATAACTCAAAATCGTTAACTTTTTTTTTCTAACTCTTTTATTTTCCCGCATTTGCACAGAAACCTCTTTCTTTTTTCCGGTCTCATTTGTCACGAGAATTTAAGTAAAATATAGGAAGGAACATCATATAATTTATTGTTTCCTGCAAATTTGTTGTTAAAAAATTTGATTACCGAATGAACATGATGAATATTGCCAATTAAACAATTAAAATAAATTCCTTACATTTTGAAATGAGTCTGGAGCTTATTCAACATACAATTTATAGCAAACAAAATATGTCTTTTGACATCACAATAGAAAATGTTTAACGCCACAAAGGAAAAGTGATTGTTGTTTGACGTCAATAGTTCAAGTGTCACAGATTCTCGGGTCAAGTGTCGCAGATTCCCAACTAGTGATAAGGTTTATTCACCTGAATCAAACGACAAAAGGCATAAAGGGATACACCTTATCGCTATTTTGAAATCTGTGCCGGTTGACCCGAGAATCTGTGTCGCTTGAACTATTGACGTCATACAACAATCACTTTTCTATTGTGGCGTCAGTTATTTTCTATTGTGACGTTGTGAAAATTTTACGGGAACCTTTGTGATGTCCAGTAATGTCGAACAAATATAGCGATAAGGTGTATTGGGCGGAAATGACCTGGTACTTGTCCTTTCACCTGCCTGAGAATAAGAGATTAGACCTTTAATGATAGTGTTTCACTTTTCATCAATCAAGTCAAATATTAACTTTAGTCTTTACACATCATGAATTCATGTACAAGGGTGCTGTACAAGAATATGTTGTATTTGTTGATTTAGATGCAAAACTGGATAAACTAGACAAAAGCTTTTGAACAGTTCAATATAATTTTAAATGAAGACCAAATGAAAACGGGATAGAGAGTGTTAAAAGCTGTCTTTACCATCCGATCACATTTAGAGAGTGAATAACAATTTTATCCACCTCCTCCATCTTGTAACGTCATGTGATCAATCTAAAAATAACACCCGGCAAATATTCACGTTTTTGCCTCTAATGATTCTTTTGCATAGCATTTTGATATTGATTCATCTTTATTTTTAAAATGTTAAAAGTTTCAGATCAAAAGATTATGTTTTAACATATTTTCACATTTTATTCACTTTATTTGCTGCGTACCTGTGTGTAAACAATAATGGTGGACAACGAGCACTAACATTCCTCACTACAAAAACATTTCCTGCAGGATACCTTGTTTCGAACTCTAAGAACTCAACTTTGATACAATATCCACAGGAGAGATTTGTTGTATTTAGAATCTATAGCTATGGACGATGAAGAAGTCGATTTCCTGAAAGATCAGGGTTGGTTTCAGGCGGGTCACAAGTTTAGACCTGTGTTACTGCATGCATTTTATTAAGCTTCACTATCTATTTATACAAGTCAATGAAGTGTGCTTTCTTTGATGAAATTTGAGGCTTGTTTAGCCGCAGTGCAACCATAAGCAATAAAATAAGTACAAAAATAGGAAGCAAGACAACTCGCCCCCAGACCAGCTCGCCCCATTTGACTTTCCACCATCTCACCCCATTAATGAAAAGAAGTTAAAACCTCCCAAATTTAGGCCTGCCGACTCATTCCACTAATGAAAAAAAAAATTAAATCCCAATGAATTTAGGCCTATCAACTTGTCCCACTTATAAAAAGTAGTTTAATCCCAATGAGTAAAGGTCTGCCAACTTGCTGGCTTATAAAAAGGAGTTTAATTCTGATGAATAAAGGCCTGCCAACTCGCCCCATTTAAGAAAAGGAGTTTAATCTACACAATCACCTAACTGTTATGCTACAATAACAATAAACGAAAAAAACACTTAAGAATAATTTTTATTTTTTCAATCGATTTGAAAAAAAACAACAGTTCTTGATGTAGCAATACAAAGCAAGCTTACTTATTTGCATAATAAAAGTAAAGAAACCAGTTAATTTTATCATAATGCCATATATTATCATATCAATTTAAGGATTCCAATTTAACAGCAATATTTGTTTTATTAGCAATTGAAGGATTGGTAACTTTTGTCTATTAATAGAAAATAATTAAACACTAACGAGCAATCAGTGGCAGACTTCACTAAAACCATCGGACCTGTCAGTCCTGACCACCAATATATCACCAGGTCTGCCTTTCTTTACGATTGAGCCGGTCTCATTGTCCGACAGAGAAAAAGGGTCATTGTGGTGCGTTCCATCACATTGCCGATTGGTTGTCTGATAAATCATTGGACACTTGTTTCCTGTTTTACCTTGCGTTAATGTACCTTTAGAACCAGTTAAAGTAATTTCAATGGCGAAGTTGCAGGTTACTTTCGTCTTAGGTTCACGAAAGTGAAAATGGCTGCAATACATTGAAGGACATGAACATTCATAAGGCGAATAACTACATGTATCGTGTGTTAATGATTCCTAACCGACCACATAGTAACGTGGATTTCTTCAAAAACCTTTTGGCAACAAATTTTTTTTGCAAACGCTAACTTATTTAGTCGAAATTCGTTGACAGACCATTTGACCAAAACCGTATTCATTTTGTTCAAATGTTGATAAAAAATAGTTCTTCTGAAGTCAAATGGATATTGTTATGAATAAAAACACCATTGAACAATGAAGTGTAGTCCTATTTATCATTTCAATATGTATGTTATTTATGAAACATAAAATGGTTTAAGGGTAATTTAAGATACAATGACAATAGAGTAAACAAATTTTATACTAAAACCATAGAGAACAAAGACGTAGAAAGGATTGAGGTAAAATACAATATTTGATAGCGTCAGGATTTCTCAGTGCCAGAATGCTGAAGGGAAAATAAAACATAATTCATGATATTCAGCTGTAATCATGGTAATTCTTAATAATCTAATCATCAGCAAAGTTTAAGATAGGCTTCCAAATATATAACAGATAAACAGAAGTTTCAATTTTGATAAAGTCAGAGGGAGATAATTTTTGATACATGTGCATTATATATAAACTAACCCCAAATAAGCTACAGTAGCATCCAACGAATTGGTAGCACCTAATGCATATTCACAGAATCTTTTAAGTAAATATTTGAATGTGATGAAAAAGTGGGTCAGTCTCATGAAGCCATTCTCTAATTAGAAGGGGTCAAGTTACATTTGCATTTTACATGTTACTTGTCCCATCATCATGACTTCATCTTAATTTAATGCAAAATGACTCAGGTCCCACCTTAAACAGTTTTGTCAATTGGCACAACATAGACGTATAATAACTGACATATTTTCATCCAGAAATTTGTCCAGCAACAAAGACAACTAGCCCAACATGTAATTACTGACAAATTACCAGTGTTGTGATCATTTTCCACATATTTACTGTAAGTTTACAAAAAAAAAATATACTGTTTATTTTATTTTGTTTTCAGTTAAAAGACTAAGTGAACAACTCAAGAAATATAGAAATGTAACTGCTGAAAGTGTTGGTGATGAGGTAAGGATTACTGCTAATTTGTATATAAATCTTTGTCTTCATATTTGAGGCAAAAGATGAGTGAGTCATATTAAATTTAAATAAAAAAAATTAAAAATTAAAAACCTGAAATTATAAACTGACATTAAGCTTTTAGACAAATTACTTGAGAATAAATTTAACAAGCTACGAAAGATCTGGTATCTCTATGAAAAAAAAAAGATATTTGATATGATTGTCAAACAAATATTCACTAGGGACCATAGGACGAGGATGTAAACAACTATAAGTCACAATATGGCCTTCAACAATGAGCAAAAATGCATAATCTATAGTAAGCGATACTTGATCTCAACATGACCAAATGTGAAAAAAATCAATAGCGAGAACCAAAGCCCTGATTTATGCTAAAAATTAAAAAAAAAACAAATATGGTAGACATCTACCAACAACAGCCACTGAATTATCACAACCAGATTCCCTAAAAACCAAAAATACTGAAATAGTGACAAGATGTCTGTTGACTTATAATGTCCTTTGGAATTATTTGTTGAATTTGTAATTACAGCAAGGAGGTTTGGATGAAGATGTACCTGTGGCACCTTGGCTTACTGACAAAAGGTACTGATAAAATTAAAGAATCAATGAATACATTATAGTGGTATTATAGGAATGTTGCAAGTTCAATTTGGTGTTCTTAAAACCTTTAAACAAACACTTATCAATAGGCATATGTCTCTAGCTACCATAACTTAAGTTTTTTTTTAAATGTATAAGTATGCATTAAACTGTATCCAACAAAAAAAAAAAATTATTGATCAGTATTTTAATATGTTGATACATTTGTTGTGAAGGTAATTGTAAAGTGTGATTTTTTTTAAAGGAATCTGTGTCAAAGATATCAGAGTCTTGAATGGTAATCATGTATTTGTATACAATTTGAAAGTTTTAGAAAATGCTTATGAATTTAATATAATTTTGTTTTTAGTGTTTAGTCCCCATTGATAGCTGAAAATAATATATTTATATTTTCCAGTGTTTTGTCACCATTGATAGCTGAATATGACCAACAGTTCCAAGCTCTGCTGGAAGAGAAAGAAATCCTGAGAGTAAGTTAATAAATCCATGCAGGAATTCTCTTGTCAAGTATTCAACTTTTTTTCAAACGTTGAGAGCCAATACTGTGGATTCATTATTATTTGTTGGGTACCAGTATAAGATGAACAACCAATCTAAATGTTCAATCAAAGTAATGATTTCTCATAGGATAATATGCAAAAATTGGCAAAACTACGAAATCAAGTGAATATATTATTTTTCTTCAATCCACGAATATTGGTACCCATGAAAAATAAATGAATCCACATTAAATGACATACTAGTGATCTACCTCAACCTTTTCCAAAATCCACAGCATCAATTTCTCCATTGGAAACTCAGAGAAACTCGTACAAGCTTTTATCTCAAGAACTTATTTTATCTACTGTGGATTCATTAATTTTGGTGGGTACCACTTTTCATGGATTGAGGAAAACTTGCCTTTTTGTGGATATTTGATTTCTTGGTTTAACTTAAGTCTGCATATATTCATATGGAAATGTTTTAATTGCTTGAACTTTTAAATTCATGGTTTCCCTTGTATCCACCAAATCAATGAAAATTGGTATCCAACGAATAATAATGAATCCACAGTATTTATGGTAAACCTTTTGTTTTACTTAGGTTTAACCTACTTGATATTTAATCATTACATTTCTATCATATGGCAAATCAGTTCCTAAACTTTTTGATGATCATGCTCTTCATTTTACACTTGGCCAGTTTATTTTTATACGACCGCAAAAAAAATTTGTGGTCGTATATTGGTATGACGTTGGCGTCGTCGTTGTTGTCCGGTGTCGTCGTTCGAAGACACATTGGTTTTCGCACTCTAACTTTAGTTTAAGTGAATGGATCTTTTTGAAATTTGACCATAAGGTTAAATACCACCAAAGGAAGGTTGGGATTGATTTTGGGGGTTATGGTACCAACAGTTAAGGAATTAGGGGCCAAAAAGGGGCCAAAAATAAGCATTTTCTAGTTTCCAGACAATAACTGTGGAACGGTGTATGGATCTCTCTGAAATTATACTACAAGTTTCCATACCACAAAGGGATGGTTAGGATTTGCTTTAAGGGGTTATGGCTCAAACTGTTTAGGAATTAGGGGCAAAAAAGGGGGAAAAACAAGGTTGTCCTGGTTAATGGACAAATACTTTAGTACAAAACATAATTTAAAGCAGTGTAAGGGAGATAAATCAAATACATCATTGAAATTATCTCCCTTACACTGCTTTTAAATTATGTATAAAGTAATGGTTAATGAACAATCAAGATAATTTAAAACAGTGTAAGGGAGGTAATCCAAATACAACGTTTTGGTTACTTCCCTTACACTGCTTTTAAATTATGTTTAAAGAAATGCATATTTATAAAGGAAGACCAGTAAAAATATCTGCAAATGTTGCAAGTTTTTTTTTTACAAAAAAATCCATATGAAAGATTTGACACTATATTTTTAATTCTATTATAAAATAGATTAAGTTAGCACTATGGTAAATTTAAATGGGTAATTATGGTTGCCAACTCCATTGGAAATTTAAATTGAGATAATGACCATATCTTGAGGGAAAGAATTTTTTGGGGGAAAAAAAGGGGGGGGGGGGGTTAAAAAGAAATTGTGGGGGGTCATTTTTTTCTCATTTCAGATTTCAGAAATTAAAAAGAATTATTCTTCAAATATTATTTTTTTTTCAAATTTCAAATATTGAAAAAATTCAAGAAGTAATCTTTAATTGCACAGTATGGTGCATTAGATTTGTAAAATCTTTGATCACATTTATTTATTTCTTATGCAGAATCTAACAGTGTATTTAGATTTTTAATTTTGGGTCCAGTTTTCAAATTGGTCTACATTAATGTCCAAAGGGTCCAAAATTAAACTTTGTTTGATTTTAGCAAAAATTGAATATATGAGGTTCTTTGATATGCTGAATCTAAACATGTATTTAGATTTTTGATTTTTGGCCCAGTTTTCAAGTTGGTCCAAATTGGGGTCCAAAATTAAACGTTGTTTGATTTAAAAAAAAATTGAATATATGGGTTTCTTTGATATGCTGAATCTAAACATGTATTTAGATTTTTTATTTGTGGACCCCGTTATTAAATTGGTTCATATTGAGGTCAAAAGGGTCCAAAATTAAACTTTGTTTGATTTCATCTAAAATTGAATTATTGGGTTTCTTTGATATTCCAAATCTAACCGTGTATTAAGATTTTTAATTTTGGGTCCTGTTTTTTAAATTGGTCTACATTAAGGTCCAAAGGGTCCAAAATGAAACTTAGTTTGATTTTAACAAAAAATGAATTCTTGAGGTTCTTTGATATGCTGAATCTAAACATGTGTTTAGATTTTTGATTATGGGCCCAGTTTTCAAGTTGGTCCAAGATAGGGTCCATTATTTAAACTTTGTTTGATTTCAACAAAAATTGAATATATGGGGTTCTTTGATATGCTGAATCTAAACATGTATTTAGATTTTTGATTATGGGCTCAGTTTTCAAGTTGGTCCAAATTGGGGTCCAAAATTAAACTTTGTTTGATTTCAACAAAAAATGAATATATGAGGTTCTTTGATATGCTGAATCTAACCATGTATTTAGATTTTTTATTTGTGGGCCCCGCTATCAAATTGGTTCATATTGAGGTCAAAAGGGTCCAAAATTAAACTTTGTTTGATTTCATCAAAAATTGAATTATTGGAGTTCTTTGATATGCCAAATCTAACCGTGTTTTTAGATTTTTAATTTGGGTCCCGTTTTTTAAATTGGTCTTCATTGAGGTCCAAAGGGTCCAAAATTAAACTTAGTATTTAGATTTTTTATTTGTGGGCCCCGCTATCAAATTGGTTCATATTGAGGTCAAAAGGGTCCAAAATTGAACTTTTGTTTGATTTCATCAAAAATTGAATTATTGGGGTTCTTTGATATGCCAAATCTAACCGTGTTTTTAGATTTTTGATTTGGGTCCCGTTTTTTAAATTGGTCTTCATTGAGGTCCAAAGGGTCCAAAATTAAACTTAGTTTGATTTTAACAAAAAATGAATTCTTGGGGTTCTTTGATATGCTGAATCTTAACATGTGTTTAGATTTTTGATTATGGGCCCAGTTTTCAAGTTGGTCCAAGTTGGGGTCCAAAATTAAACTTTTTTTGATTTCAACAAAAATTGAATATATGGGGTTCTTTGATATGCTGAATCTAACCATGAATTTAGATTTTTTATTTGTGGGCCCCGCTATCAAATTGGTTCATATTGAGGTCAAAAGGGTCCAAAATTAAACTTTGTTTGATTTCATCAAAAATTGAATTATTGGGGTTCTTTGATATATTCCAAATCTAACGGTGTATTTAGATTTTTAATTTTAAGTCCTGTTTTTTAAATTGGTCTACATTAAGGTCCAAAGGGTCCAAAATTAAACTTAGTTTGATTTTAGCAAAAATTGAATTCTTGGGGTTCTTTGATATGCTGAATGTAAACATGTGTTTAGATTTTTTTTTATGGGCCCAGTTTTCAAGTTTGTCCAAGTTGGGGTCCAAAATTAAACTTTGTTTGATTTTAACAAAAATTGAATATATGGGGTTCTTTGATATGCTGAATCTAACCATGTATTTTGATTTTGGACATTGGACCATAATAGGTAAATTTAAAAAATTCAAGTTCTTAGACCACATTCTTTCTGTGTCAGAAACCTATGCTGTGTCAAATATTTAATAACAATCCAAATTCAGAGCTGTATCAAGCTTGAATGTTGTGTCCATACTTGCCCCAACTGTTCAGGGTTCGACCTCTGCGGTCGTATCAAGCTGCGCCCCAGCGAAGCATTTTATTAAGTTTAGGAAGTATCTTTTTCACATTGTTTTAAGGTATGTAATTCATGTCTGACAAACTCATTATCATTAGTAAATACTGTAAATGTTGAAATAGTCATTAAGGGGTTATTTTTCGCTTCTTGTGCAATCAGGTAAAAAAAAACGTGCTTTAATATTCCTTGTGCAATACTTTGTACAAATTAACAAAATTGTTGCAAAAAATTCCAATTTGCAAATTTCACCGTAATGCGAAAAAGTAAATAAATAAAAAATATCCACTGTTACAGTACTTGTTGCAGTTTTGCCTTTTTTAAACATGTTTTTGAAATTAAAATAATATATTTTACAGGGTGAATTAGACAAACTCCGTCCAGAATTGCGAAGATTGATGGATGAAAACAAAAAACTGGTAGGGGATATGAAAGAAAGATTAGAGAACCAGATAGATGTTGATGATGATGAAGGAGGTTTCCAACCTGTTACAGACGAGGAACAAGTCATGAGTAATCTTAACATGCAGGTGGAAACAGCTTTACAGGTAGAATATATTTCTAATTATAATGGTAATATTTAAAGATATGTTATATCATTGATATTGATTTCCTCAATTTTTTTATTTCATGAAATTTTGTTGAAAAAAAATCTCAAAAGGGAGCACGGTACCACTAGACCACCAAGGCTGTGTGAAGAATTTTATAACAGTTAAATTGCCTGTCATATTTAAATATCTCAAACACCTAGAAATTGATTGAAAGATGGATAATTGCAGTCATGCTAGTGCAGTACTGCTTAAGTTTTAGTTTTGCAAAAACAACCTAGATTTTTGGACAGGTTATTTGATATATCATTCAGAAGCTTTTGGTTGATTTCAGGATTTTTTTTTACAGATTAAAGGAGTTAATGAGATTTTCTTTCAATGGTTTTACCTTGAATCATAGTCACAGTGAATTTCTTCTTTAAAAATGCAGATGTTATTATCGGTAATTTCATTCCATAGACAGCAGCTAAACAAAACTATAGCATGAAAATCAAAAACTATTGAACACAAAACTGCCTAATTTTTTTTTTTTTTTAGTATTACAAAATTGGTAAATCATATAATTTATTTCAGGAAAAAGATGCTGCTATGGAGAGATGGAGAGAAGCTGAAATGGAAATAGACAGGTTACAGAAAGAATTACAGGTTAAATTTTTCTTGAGTTCATGAATATCATGTATACTATTTAACACCATATATTGAAAAGCTACTCAATATTTTTTCTTTTATTTATTAAAGTGTTATGTAATTATTTTCATTTTTTTATTACTTATTTTTTGGCAGTCTTAATGTCATATCACTTTGATAGATGCGTTTCTATATTTTAGCATCTCATTTATACACAAAGTTTTAGCAATTTTCTGTTAATTCAGCATTATTTACTTGGATACAAATAATTTTATTGTACAATGAAATATAAGAGATCACTTTATTTTCTGCATTTTATGAAACTACAGAATTAAATGCTATAATAATTTTTTGTATATCTAAAAAAACCTTGAAAGTTAGGAATCATAAGTATTTTAGTAACATTGATTTGTATTTGTATGTGTTTAAAAAAAGGTAACCACCAATTAGATTGCAACACAATCACAAATAATGACCAAAAGCAAACATCTAGAGAACTGTACATTTTCTTACAAATGACAAAAAGTCAACACTATTTTAACTAGTTCTAAATCCTACTTTTCAACAAGAAATTTTTAATTTATTCAACCGAGTTTGAAAGTGGCAATCAAACAGGAAGAGACAGAAAGTTCTTTATTTAGAAAACCACCTTAAATATTTTTCTATTAATTTATTTTAGAATGAAAAGGATAGTCATCAGTGGAGAGTTGTGGAAGATCAAGCTACTAGAGTATGTATAGAAATTTACTTGTCTGTTTTATTGTGTTTAATGTGATGTTCTGTGCGGTCATACAGTTTAATGTTCGTCACTTTTATAAAAGTACTTCAAAGCATTAAGAGAAAAAATACTGACCTTCAGTGAGTAACTAAAAATTTCACACTGAAGTAGATCAAGTACACCTGACTGTACTGTGAACCAACTTATTTTCTTGAGTAGAAAAATAACGTGAATATGATTAGATGTGTAATGTGAAACTTAAATCTGCTATATTGATAAATCAACAAAAAACAAAATGTCAAAAGTAATTTGCCTTGAAATTGGTTGTTATAGGCTAATTATGGAAAAAAGTATTAGCAAAAATAAGATGGTTTACAGTATTTGCAAACTAATAGAATGGGCCTGGGTGACTATAAAAAAACTACGAAAACAAAATGAGTTATTTTAAGTCAGAGTTTGTGGCAATGTATTCAGAGTTAAAGTCATTCTAAAATTGATAAAAATAAAACCAGCCAAAATATAATGTAAAGAAAGTTAAATCTAATAATACCTAAGGAAACAATCAATGATGTTTTATGTCTTAAATATAAATAATATTTCCAGTGTCAGTTTCACTCCTTGACATCAAGTCAATATAAATATATAAATAACTATATACAGAGATGTAACCCATGATATTTATCTTCCCATAGATGCAGTCAGAGTATCAAGAGTCAGTAGCAGTATTAAACAGAGAAATTGAAGAGCTCCAATTAGACAGCAGGTAAGGTTTGATAGAATATTTTAACTGTACATTAATATGATTATTTATTTTAAACTTTTAAACAAATGTTCCAACAAGGCCTTATAGCAACATGGTACCATTGGAGATTTTACCTACATGTCTGGAGACTTGCTTTTTAAAGGAAGAATTTTGATTAGAAAAATATTAGGAGACCCCTGTATATCAAGTAAGGCATGTTAATGTGATTTTAAGCAGAAAATTATTACCCGGTAATGTATTTTACATATTCATTTTTTTCAGGGAAGCCAAACATGAACTGGAAAAAGCCATTTCTGAATTAAAAGAATTAAAAAAAGAAAATAAAGATTTTGAGCAGAAGTTACAATGGAAGGTATAGTTTTCATTGAATTTATTTACTATCATAACAGTAGCTAAACTGATGAACGATAACTATAGAAAATTACCTCTTCTTATGATATAGTCGAAAAAATCAATAGTAAAACAATGCTGGTGACGATTCTGATCAAAAGTTATTTCTAAAAAACAATCGTACATTTTAAAGAAACTATTTGTTAAACTGTGTTATTAGAAATATATATGCAAAGACACAATGTTTGATGTTCATTATTTACAGAGGTAATTGCTTTAGAAGCTTGTGAAACTGAAATTTAAAAAATGTTAATCTTTGCTGCATATTGATAAATGAAATTAGAAAAAATCATGTACAAACAAAATCTAAAGATCTTTCAGGTCAAAAAATTTCGGAGTGTTCCACATATTCCTTAGCATGTAACAATTTCCCAAAATATACATACTTGTCACATTTTAAGTTTTCGAGTACACCGTTCTGCTGTTATGTGAACTTTCAATATAGAAATATTGCCTTTTTGTGAATATAAGGATTCAAAAGTCATGTTTGTGCAGGTTAAAAAAATAAAGATAACTATTTTTATAAAGTAGGTTATCTGTTAAAAGATTTTTAATATTTTTTTTTAAAAATTAAGAAAAGGTCGTCTTGATTTCTGTACATGTATTTGTGGTTTTCTCAATCTATTCATATTTAATGTTTACATCGGGATAAGGTCCTAATTTGAATTTGCTTAGAAACTTAATTTCAAAAGTGTTAATCTTTGCTGCATATCAATTGATTCCATTGGAATTTTCACCCTGAACTTCCCTTATCTAGCTGCATACAAGTATGGGTAATTGGCATGTTCCAGAGAGGTATACAGCCAGTAGAAAAAGATATTGAAGTTGGTACTCCAGGAATTTATTCGCATAGCAACATTTTAAACCAGTTTTTCACAAAGCTCCTGTAGGATGCTGTACTCATCGTTTGCTATTTTAGGAGGGAAATGATAACATTATATGGACATTTTGTTTTTATATCAATATAATTTTATTGTTACTATTTACCAGAACGTATTCTTGTGAATTTATAACTAATAGCGTCCTTGCTAAAATGAGACAAACATTGAAAAGATCAAGATTTCTGTGTTTACAGGGGAGGTAATATTTTGTCACCAGATTTCCCACTGATAATCGGCGTCATCAACATTTAGGTTCAATCTGTGGTTAAAGTTTTTTTGGACATCATTAACCTCGTCAAACCTACATGGAATTTTATGAAATTTGGACAGAAGCTTGTTTATGACCAAAATGCACAATTTTTAAAATATTTATTTTCATTTTTCCATATTTTACTTATAAGTGGATTTTTTTTTTACAGTTAACAATCAGATTTAGTCTGAGGTTAAAGTTTTTTTAGACATCAATAATTTTGTCAAACCTCCATGAAATTTTATGAAATTTGGACAAAGGTTTGTTTATGAACAAAAGACAGTATCCAGAGCAAAATTTCAAAAAATATTTATTTTCATTTTTCCGTATTTTATTGATAAATGGACTTAAGTTTTTTTACAGTTAACATGTAGATACAGTCTGGGGTTAAAGTTTGTTACACATCAATTACTTTGTAAAACCTTCATAGAGTTTTATGAAACTTTGGCTTTTAAAAGCTTTTTAAAAGTGAAGAGATTATGTCTGAAGCAAACCTTTGAAAAAATATTTTTTTAATTTTTAGTATTTTTCTTATGGAATGACATTATTTTTTACAGTTAACATTTGCAGACAGTCTGGGATTAAATTTTTTTGACATGATAAATTTGTAAACCGTCATGGATTGTTATGAAACTTCGACAGAAAATTTCTTCAAGACCAAGAAATAGCATCTAAAGAAAAATTTGAAATTTTTTTTCAATTCTGTATTTTACTGATAAATGGACTCACTTTTTAAGTCAACATTACACTTTTACACTATCAGTAGCAATCACAGACAAGACACAGGGTTCCGTGGAACCCCTTACAAATATTTAGTAAAGATTTCCCTTTTGTCTGTGTTACTTGGCTAAAAAAATGTTCTCCAGGAATCATGGCCTCAGATTCATAGAAAAACAGTGTCAAGTTTTTTATGTGAAAATTTGTAGAGCTTGGTTTTCTGATTGCTTTGTGAATCTAGCTTGTGGTTGAACACAATACAAGTATAAACCAAGGGCCCGGAAACGGTCATATTTGCAAGTCATGTCCTCAACTGAAAGCTATTTGTCATAAACAGCAGATTGGGATTTAGGACAAATTAATTTTTTGACAGAACAATTTCGGTCATTTCATTAAGATCAGGTTTCTTTATCGCCATTTTGCACTTGTTTTTGTTTTGTAATCTCTTTCCTGTAATAAAACTGCCACTCCAGTATAGTATGATAATAAGAGACGTTAGCGATGTCTGAGAAATTTACTATTTTGAGTCATTAGAGGTATCACTCTAATAGATTGAAATTCTACTTTGGACCAAATTTGGGGGACATTTGTGACATTTTCACCCCCTTTTTGTAATATTTTGTATCAAATGAATGCAGATTGTTGCCATGGTTATACCAAAAAGAGATTATATTTCACCATTTTAATTATTGGAAATCAAATCTATGGAAGATGCTGTTTCCATACATATGCACATACATAACACATACGTTAAGTCTTATTTGTTGGAAAGCAAGGGAAAGAGGGTGGTTAAAAATTATGAATGTCAATTTTTAATTTTTTTTCCTAACTGTGTATTGCTACCTTATGGCATTTGAGAAAGCACAGAATTGCTTATTTTAAAACAAAAAATCATACCACAAATCTATTGATGTTTAGATTATGTATCCAATTCTGAGGGAGAAAAATGTTTTAGGATAACAATCTGTGTTAATTTTGTTGTTTATTGGCCTTAGCAACCAATATAGACATTTTGACACAAAGACTTGGTTTCGGTCATAAATTCATACTCTATTGGCTACCCCTTGTAACAGAGAGAATGCCCTTTATGTAACAACCTCAACATGGAACGCTTTATATTTTTTCATATGAATAAATCACATTTTTATTTTTAGCAAGGTATATTGTTACATTTTGGCATGAATTAAGTCTAAGGTTGTCCCCGCGCTTAGAAATTGATTGAGTAATTGCCAAATTTTAACCAAGGCTTTGGTATGCTATACACAACAAAATTGAAATTCTAGAGCTTAAAATTAGGTTTAACTTGTACAAATTGTCTACTTTAAAGGTTACTTTAAGTTTTTAAACATGAAAAGACAGCAACAAGAGGAATAGTTTAAGAAATTTTACCAAAAAATGAGATTTTTCAGTAACATGGCATGTTTCTTCAAAACACTTTTTTGTTACATTTCAATAATATCTGCTAACCTTCATAATATATTTATTTCTGAAAGATTTAAAAAAACTAGTAAACCAATTTACTCGTTTTAGCTAGCAGAACACAGAAAACCATTAAAAGTGGAAATTGAAAAAAAAATGTTTAACCTTAATGAAGCAATATGCAGTAAGAAGTTTGGTTTCACATTTTGGCCATGGTGAATTTTTTATTTGTTAGAAAGCAAGGGAAAGAGGTTGGTTAAAAATTATGAGTGTCAACTTTAAATTATTTTCCAAACTGTGTATTGCTACCATATAAAGATAGTTAACAAACACTGAAGTACATAGAATGAGGTTCATGTGGGGTTACAGAAAGGTTAACAGGAAGTGACGTCACAGTTATTGGTATGACAACGTTAAAAAGAAAGTGAAAGTAAAAGTTAGTAATAGATTGGTTAGTATCATTTCCAGAATGGACAACACCTCACTGGACAATTCGTACCATTTCAACAATACTAGTCTGTATGGACAACATATATTGTATAAAATATTCATCTATTCTTACATGGACTTTTGAAACACACTTATTTCAGAACTTCCTTATTTGTTCCATTTTATGCATGAGAATATTGATTACAGGATCAAGATATTGCAGACATCATAATGAAGGAAGGGATGTCAGATAGTCATATACGGGAAATGAAAAGATTACTGGATGATAGCAATCACAAGTATGTTATAATATAATGTTTTTATTTTTATATGATCATATATTGATCTTGATATACGACAGTAGTGTTGTTATGTAATCTTTTCTTACTATTTGATTTATAGAGTGATAAGTATCATTACTTACTCTATTACTTTCCATTTCCATGGAAAATATTTATTCTGGCAGAAAGCTGTAATGTTTTGTCTATTCCAGAAAAAAAATGTAAGGGGGGGAGGGGGAGGGGTTCGAACAACACTGTTATCTACTCCACCAACCATAATTTTTATTTTCAGTATTCGCTTTCATCCTTTATAACCGACAAGAACAAATATCATGTGGTGTCCAACCTTTTCATACATTTTTTCCTGGAAAAGCCCTTACAATATGTGTTGTAAAAGACTTCTGTTTTAAGGTGTAAACTCCCAAATGATATTAATGTGTGCAAAATGTAAGCTGTAATCTATGTATTAGTATTCTGGCAAAAAAATATTACTGGTAATGGCTTAACTTTGGCAACATTGAAATCATATTTGCCCATAAGAGAAGGGAAAGGAACAAACTATACCCATCCGGTATAGCTGAGAAAAGGTGGTTTTATATTTAGGCCTTTCATTATTTCAATTCAATTTACTTTACAGATTGTCTCAAGTCACAAGAGAATTGGATGAAACTAAAACAGATAAAGCTGGACTGGAAGCCAGGATAAAAGAGGCACAGAAAAGATAGTAAGTCAAGAGAACTTAAGGCGTGTAACAAATATTTATAATGTAAAAGTCTATTGTCCCAAAAATTTCAGTTTAATAAAATTATTGAAAACAGATGTAAATATACCAGATAGATACAAAATAATTTAAGTTTTGTACTATTATAGTTGGTGATAATGTCACTGTGATGTCATAATTGTTCACTTTGATGATGAACATTTTAATTTTGACTAATGTTAAAAACATATACCACAAGCATGCTCCAACACAATTTTTTTTCAAGTCTAAAATATTTTACCCATCTGCAAAATCGGTGATTAAAAAATCCTTGTATTTGATCTGCCAAAAATACAACAGGACTAAGCACATGCATATTCGATTCAGGTCTGTTCCAGAATAAAATGTATAAAGGGGAATGAGCTTCTATTAAAATTTGGTGGGTAGTTATTTAAGAAAGATAGCCTGGACAAATATAAGAAATAAACAATTAAAATTTTATATATGTGGAGGTAAAATAAAAAATGCCTTCCGGCCTCTTCATAGATTTATTTCTGGAACAGCTCTTGCATAAATTCAATTGAGTTTTCATGTAAAATGATTTAATTTGTAAATAGAAAAAAAAAGTCTTTAACATTTGAAAGTCCTGGAAAAGTACATTTTAGAATTTTATTAGGTAGATTTTAGAATAAAAAAAATATGGATGAAACTTTAAAACAATTTCACATAATTAAAAGATAAAATAAAAAACTTCAACTTGTCATTCTTATAACATTTAATAATAGTATTAGACATATATATATTTGTTTTGACCTTTTTAGAATTTTAAGAATATTGTCTTGAATGGCATATCCTTCTCAAAGAATTTATGAATTACTGAAACTATCAATGTATATGCTAAACGGGTAAAAATAGTGAGGTATTTGCACTTATCAGGTTACGTTCAGTAAGTAGAACTAGATACTGAAGTACAGGTAGAATCCTGATAGATCATGTGACTTTATTTAAGCCAATCATTTTTTTTTTGCAGTGGTGATATGGAACAGAGAGAATTAGATGCTGTGGCTCAAGTCAGGGATGCTGTACAAATGGTAGAGAAAGCTATGATGGAAAAAGAACAGGTGGGTATATCTTCCTGAATTGATTTAATATTTCAATTTTAAGTCTGCCATCTTTAAAAAGAAAATTGTCATCCATGGATCAATGATAGCATTCCCATTTATGGTTACCTGACAAAGTCTTTTTTCAGTACATGTATTGTTGGGATGCTGTCTCAGTAGTATTTCTCTTTATTAACCTTGTACTTAAATATCTGTTTTATTTAAACTTAAGAATCTTGTTTCTTGTTTATTCTATAGGCAGAGATAGATCTGAAGCAAAGAGAAGAGGAGGCCGACTCATTACAGGAAGCTATTAGCAAATTAATCAATGAAGCAGGACTGAAAACCAGACAAGAGGTCAGTATTTTATTTAAAAAAAAGTATAATCAATGTTTCCATACAATATATATGTTAAAGGTAGTTAGATTTTTTATACCCCCTCTTTAAAAAAGTGGGGGTTATAATGTTTTACCTCTGTCTGTCCATACGTCCCATGAATATTTTTTGTCGCATCTTTCTCAGGAACTACAATACAAGGATTTCTGAAATTTGTTTTCCGGGTTTATATGAGTCAGCTATACTGTGTGGTGTGTTTTCAGTTTCATCATTCAAAAACTTCCTGTTTACCTTATACTTTTAGTGGGGGTATCATTAGTGAGCAGTAGCTCATAGATTCACTTGTTGTATTTGCATCTTTCTTTTAAAAAATGGAAAGGGAGTGAGGATTTATCTCATTAATATTATATGATTTTCACAAAAAAAGATTAGGAATTGAAAGAAGTTATTTGAATATAAATAAGAAGATGTGGAATGAGTGCCAATGAGACAACTCTCCATCCAAGTCACAATGTATAAAAAGTTAACAATTATAGGTCAAAGTATGGCCTTCAACACAGAGCCTTGGGTCATACCGAACAGCAAGCCATAAAAGGCCCCAAAATTACTAGTGTAAAATAATTCACACAGGAAAATCAACGGTCTAATCTTTATAAAAAACGAGAAACGAGAAACACCAACAAACGACAACCACTGAACAACAGGCTCCTGACTTAGGACAGGTGCATAAAAATGCAGCAGATATAAACATTTTAACAGGCTCCACATTTATAAAATTTTAAAAAATCACACAGAGGGAGGGGATTAGAATTTTAAAATTAATTGTATTCAGTCCAATGGACTTCACTGGTTAAAGGGTGATAAAGAGATAAGTTTTGTACAATTATAAAGTTTGTTTATTGGCCATAATCTGATAGTGGTTTAAATTTGATTCACTATTCTGTTTACTTAACGGGTATTGTACCAGGCCTCCATTAAAATTGATGAGTTTAGGGTTAACAGAAAAACATTTATTGTTAGGATTTATCTACCTTTGAGTAGAAAAGAGTTAGATAAAAATCCTTTCAGAAAAGAATAACTTTTTAAATTGCATACATTAAGGGTAATTAATTTTAGTATATAATGCTACCAGCATAATCAATACATTGCTTTCTTATCTAGTTTTGATTTGATATTTTCAAGGTTGATCTTGTAAGGAACCAGTGCAATGAAAGAATTACAAAACTTACTCAGGAATTAAATAACTTGGAAATGGTAAGTATTGCAGTCAAAATTAAATACAATTTTCAAATATTTATCTTAATAATTTACTGACTATTTATTGTAAACTTCATATTCATGACATATTCTATATTGTACACAGGCAAATTTTGCTCATGTGAATTTCACATGAATCTCACAGGAAAATTCACCTCAAACGAGCTTATACATGAAGCTCACCTGAAAATTTCACATGAATTGAGACATGTAACTCACAGGAAATTTTATCGTGAATTTTCATGTGAACTTAACATAAGAACAAAAAAAATTGTAATTTTCATGATTTTAATTAAATTTGAAAATTTTGATGTTATTTGAATGACTTTATTTTGAAAAGTTAATTGAATTTCATGTAAAAAAAAAATCATGCGATTTTCACATGAAATTTATGTGAGTTTCACATGAGATTCATGAGTGAAATTTCCCTGTGTACCCCTGCCTTGGAGAGGGTGCTATATTACAACTACCTGGTCCATTTGTCCGGTTGTCCAACAAATTTTTATGTCTCACTTTTCTCAGATACTACTGATCAGAATTTCTCATATTTGTTCAGCAGCTTTACAATTTAAAATACAACATACCTATTTAGAGAACATTAAAGTGAAATTTGCTTGTCTTCTAGTTAGATCATGAAATCAATATAACCTAATTCTTCTTTTTAAAATGAAAGAGGGTATGTAACAGTTGCTTTAATAAGACAATCCAATTAAGAAACTGGTAACAAAAAGGTGACAGAAAACTTTGGTATTTATATGATATTTACAATAGCTCATAAAGTATTCATGGTTTGCCTTGCAAAAGAGATAACTCAGATTGTATGGTTTGAGATCATCCTCATTCAATTTAGTTGTACATGTATTAATATTTTTCATGATAATGATAATTGCATTGATCTATCTTTCAGGAAGGTGCTGACTTAAAAGAACAAGTAACGAGAGCCATCAGGGATAAAAGAAATGTGGAAGCTGAGTTGGAAAAGGTATGGTTACTTTGTGTTATCATAGATATTGGTTGGCAGTTGTTACTTAACATTAAGATACAAATACTTTTGTAAATCCAATGGAGGGCCTGTTACCAAGCATACATATATGTATACATTCAATTTTGATTGAAAAGATCTTTTAAAGATAAATTAAAAGGGTACGTGGGGTATATGTAGATTTGATGGCTTCATAACAAATCAACAAAAAAAAATATCCATAGGTCAGCAGTCTCTTACACAAATAATGTTTGTAATTGAAACAATGATTCAATGCAAAAACAAAAGAAAAAATATGTCTTAGAGTTTGTACATACACATGCACATTCACACTTTAACATTTCTGGATTTTCTGCTGTTTGAAACATTACCAGAATTAAAAGCATGAGGGGCATGGGGGCACTTTTTTTTAGACCTAAAACAACCCATAATATGAAATGTATATTTTACTTATAATTCTTACAAATTCTAAGGAAAATGCAACTACTCACAATGTTTTAATTTTAGTATCTCCTACAGGGCTTAATGTTTATTTGTTCTTGTTTAAAACACTTTAAAATTAATGGGAAACATTTCTATCCTTATCTTGACAGTTCCATCATGACCAGAAAGTTTCTGGAGCTAAAGATAAAGCATCATTTGAAGACATGAACAGAAGAGCTATTGCTGCTGAAAGGGCAAGAGATGATCTCGAGGTCAAAGTTGAAAATCTACATAGTGCACTTAAAAAGGCTGAAATGAAGTTAGTAAAGATATAAATTGTTTTAAAAGTGATAATTAAAAAGCGTAAGAGTAAGCATAAAAAATACATAGATCATTAATAGAAAAAGAGTGCAAAAACAACATAGACATTTTCTAGGTAAAATATGCTAATGAATTAAAGTAACAAAATAAAGAGGAACTAGTAAAGTCATCATTTTCATATGAAAAGCCAAGGAAATTAAATAAAATCTCACCATATTTTATGAAAGTTATATTTTATTTCTTATCTTGAATTATCAGTGATTAATATGATATTCAATCCTATTGAAGATTAGATATGTCAAACATGACTCAACGAGTACCTCTGCAAATCACTGCATATATAAAGAATACTGCAATGATATACACCCCAGAAATATAGCTTGTCAAACTTTGGATTAGAAATTAAAATTTACCTTTTGCATTCAATTTTTTTAATTTTGAAATTATCATCTACAAATTTTTCATACCTTAGATTCAGTGACAATCATTTTTAAAACTTCAATTGAGTATTAAATTTAGATTGTAATTTATAAAAAATTATATTGAAGCAATTTAGGACTGTTGATATTATACAAAGTGGCACTTTTCACAAAAATTGGTAAGGACTCAGTTATACTGATATATTTATGACTTACAAATGATTTTTCTAGTTAGACTTATTGTGAAAAAAGTTTTAGAATATTAAAGAAAGCATCTTTTTTTTAATTTTTAATAGCAACCAACAAATTACCTCCCAGACTGAGGTTCAGTTAGCCCAGTTGAAGGAGAGAATGTCAGGAATGGAACAAGAGTTTGAGTTCCTGAATGACGACAGAATGAGATTACAAAATGATAATGATGATCTGAAGAAACGAATGCTGGCAGCAGAAAAAGAAAAAGAATCAGCTCTAAGGAAATGTCAAAAAGAGGTACATTGTCAAAATAATGAGTTTCATTTATCATTTCACCACATATTCTGTAGTTCATGGAAAAAAACAGAAACCACTGGTTTTTAATGAATTTTAAAATTTGTTTTGCAGCGTATCATTCTATATAGAATGTAGCCAAATATTGCTTCAAAATGATGAGATTAGAGGCTGTTGAACACGGTATTATCTTTTGTACAATATTAATTGCTGTTGGAAGTCACACACTATGATATTAATCTTTGAACAATATTCATCAATATTAATGATACCCCTATAGTATGGTATGATTTGATCTTTTTCTATGGCTTAAATTTTTTATCATATTATATTTTAATGAAATTAATAAATATTTTGTGTGTTGTTAAGTTGTTGATGTATAATATGTAACTTTTTTTGTTTATATACATTTAGTTCATTTATATGTTTTGAGTTTAATGTGATTTACATTTTCACTGAACTAGTACACAATTTTATTTGGGGGCCAGCCGAGGACCACCTCCGGTTGCGGTATTTTCTCGCTGCGTTGAAGACCCATTGGTGGCCTTGGCTGTTGTCTGCTCTTTGGTCGGGTTGTTGTCTCTTTGACATATTCCCCATTTCCATTCTCAATTTTATGTGATTTCACAATACTGTAAACATGGAATTGTTGCAATTTTTTTTATTTTTGCTAATTGAAACCACATGAAAGCACGAAAAATATTTGCTGTTCAAAATTCTTTGTACTAATTAACAATATTGATGCAAATGGCACACTTATCATTTAATCAAAGAATTAAAACACCATACAAAATATTTATGCATTGAATTCACTAAAATAACTATCCACCAAAATGTTCACATTTACCATCCATACATTACAACAAACCAACATATTATTACAGAATCTTTATTGAGATAATCCAAACAATGTGAAATTTTCAAACCTAAAGTAAAAATTAAATGGAATTCTGATGTTGTTTATGTTTTAACCACAGAATATCATATCTATTTTTAGATGACAATATTTGAACATGAACAGCAACAAAAGTTACAGGAATATGAAACTAGACTACAGTGTTCAGAAGATGCTAGTCGATCAACTGTTGGTGAATTAAGAAATTTATTAACAGGTCAACAGAGAATGTGTGCTAGGTATATAAACTCACATATCATTATTTTATAGACAAAAAAAATATTCAATTTTTATTTTATTTTGATTTATTCAATAAATATCAAGTAGATTGGATTTTTAATGGTTTAATTATTTTTTTTATAAATTGTAACCAATTTGGAAAATGTATTTGAATAGTTACTGATGACAGTCAATAATTTAAGTGTCTCAAATTATTCCGCAATCACTTTAGAAATCTTAAAATTATTTTTTTGCAACTGAAAATTAGTCATGTGAAGTCTTCAAAGCGGTACATATATTCCAGTTTTTATATTTTTTCAACAATTATATTGATTTCGGATTATTTTCATTTTTGAATTAGCAGATGGCATTATAAATGCATTATGTTTTACATTTAGAGCCTGGATTTTACCATTTAATTTTTTACATTATACAGCCAAAATGCACATTGCAAACAACCTTTAGTAAAACATATGCTGATTTCTTATATTTTAGATGGAAGGAAGAATGTCAATCCATAACAGAAAAGTTTGAACAAAAAATAAAAGATGTCCGATCAGAACTAAGTCACGTGAAAAAGAGAAATGATGAACTCACATCTTTACTAAGAGAAAGTCAGGAGAAAACATTAGAGGTATATCATTTAACTACTTCATTTCTTTAAAAATGTCTTTGTTGTAACACATATAAGTTATGAATAAGATCATTTCGATATAGTAAAATTTTCCAAAGGCAATCCCAGGTTTGTGATTAGTTTTAGGAAAACTTAATTTGCAACATTTGTAACTTTCAAAATGAATAACAGGAAATTGATTCAACAACCGTAAAACACAATAATACAAAATAGGACTTAGAGTGGGGTGCTCATTTTTGTCATAATTTTCCATGTTTTCTGCAGTTTATGTTCAGACCTTTAAGTTTTTGAAGTATACTGATATTTCTATATGAAGATAACATCAAAAGCAAAATATTCTTAGCTTGAAAACATGTTTCTCTGAAAAAATTCATCTGAAAAGTTAGATTAAAGGCTATTTGAAGTTACATAGTATGATTATAGAAAGGAAATATACACATTCTTTTGGTGTAAACATATTTAATAAAGCAGAAAAGTTTTACAAATAAAGATACTGAAAGAGGAGGTCTGATGAGACTTACTACTGGTCACCTGAAATTGCAAAATAAGGAAAATTCTTCAATTCTTTCAAAAGTATGTTAGTTCTATTGATAAATGAATAAGATGATAATATCTGTATACCTCATTTTAAAGATGAGAGTTGTGATGTCAATTTTAAATAAAAAAAAACATGTTGAAATTGAATTATTCAACCTAAAATGATTATTTTACCCATAGATTTTGGTAAAATAAGTTTATAAGCCAATGCATAATAGATATGTTACATACATTAACATCTTTTAAAAAAAGGACATCTTGTAACATTATATTTTCTTGAGAAATGCCATATCTCATATTTGCATATTGACGACAAGATCTCAAAATAAGGCTTATTTGGCAGATTTTGCAGCTTTGCATTAAAAGCAAAAAGTTTGAAGCCAAAATGCTAATTATATAAGACCAAATTCAGAAATTGAATTACTGTGGAACTATAATACTACAGATTAATGCTTTGTGAACAATTGAAGAATGTTATATGATTGTTTCTCAATACTTTTTTATATTTTCGAATTGTAGAGGCCAAACGTGGCATAATCATCTATCTTCTTTGAAACAAATTATGCTACATCTCTACTTAAAACATGTAAAAAAATATGAACTTTAAACAACATCATAAAAAAACATCTGCATTGCAAATGATACATTGAAACCATCCATAATTTGAAATTTTGGGTAGATAAGTAGTTACTAAACTTGAAATTCCTTTATCAGTATTTATTGAATTAAATTTTTGTCTATTCTAATTTTGCATTCTTTTACTTTCAAATATTTCAACAGGCAGAAAGAATGATAACAGATTATGCCAAAAATATAAGGAGAATGGAAGAAAGAGTAAGAGATTCAGAAAGTAGAGCATCAGAAGCTTCTAAACAGGTATGGCAGCAAATCTGTAGCAACACAAAGGGAACACATCTTCTGTCGTCTGCTTTGTAGTCCTTGTCAGACTTAATGTTAACCCGCAACTCCTTAATGGCATGACAGAATTCCACCAAATTTGGAAAGATTCTTCTTCAGGACATGAAAATGTGCACTTTCTATTTAAATTTTGATCAGAGTGAATTATTTTTAAACTGACATCACAAAGTAGTTTATTGAAGTTTTAGCTTAAGATATTTCAAACATTAATGTGATAGATATGTTAAACATTATTTTACTCAAGGATGGAACTGTTTTACTTTCAAAGTCATATTTTAGTGACATCTATTAAGTATGGATTTTCTGTACACTCTCACCATATTTATTTTCATTTACACGTGCTATTTGAATTTCCGGTTTAAACATACACAAGTTAATAAATTTTATTGTTGTTGTGATTTTGGCTTATTTAAACACTCATGAAGTGTTCTAGAATCATTTACAAGCATTTTCAACTTCTACTTGATGATGGAAAATGGGTTTTTCTATGAAAATACTGCAAACGACCACACATGATTTGAAATTATTAGAGTTTCATTAGACGTTTTCTAACAGTTACAAAATGTTTTTTTACCTGAAATTTCATGGCGAGAAGGGGGGTGCGGACAATGTACCAGTGCGAACTATACAAGGCCGATTACAGTATATTAAAAGTATTAATGTAAGGAGATGTGGAGTAAAAGGCAATGAGCCAGCTATCCCAAAACACACAAAAAAATTTAGTATTTGAATTAAAAAAGCTAAGGATACGAAAGGGACATTCAAACTCATAAGTCGAAAACAAACTGACAACACCATGACTAAAAAAGAAAAAGACAAACAAACCAACAACAGTACACAAAACAACATAGAAAACCAAAGACTGAGCAACACAAACCCCACCATAAAACTGGAGGTGATCTCAGGAAGGGTAAGCAGATCCTGCTCCACATGTGGCTAAGGTTTACCCAAAGGTACTATACTGGGTCAGGAGTTATTTTGAATAAATATATCATGTATATAAATAATGTGTAAAGTTCTAAAACTGTATTCATTCAGATATAATATTAATCCTCTGAAGATGTGTAGAATTTACAGGTTTGAAAATCTGTCTATTCTGAGTAGTCATCAAGAATCTAACGCTATTTTCCTAAATATCTGATCTCAGGAAAGTTGTCTCTTGTTGTTCATTCTTATATCAATTTTCCTCCAAAGTGTTGTTAAAGTTGTAATTAAGGAAAAAATTAGGAGGTGTTTCACCTAACAAAAAGTAGAGAAAACAAACGTTTCATAAACATTAATCAGTTCTCTTATTAAGTGTTTATACTGTGAAAAACAAATATAGACATGTTCCTCAGTCTTTAGTTTTCTGTGTTGTGTATTGGAGACTGTTTTTTGTCTTTTCATTGTTTTTTGTTTCTTGCCATGGCATTGTCATTTTGTCTTCGACTTATGAATATCCCTTTAGTATCTTCTGCCTCTCACTTCCTTACAATGCTTGCAAAGTGTTCCACTTATAATATTTCAAACATAATGAATGTAATGGAGAATTGAATTCTTTTTTCAATATTGGTGGAATTTATTCTCTTAATTTTTTAACAATGAATGAATATTTTCGAAAGAAATTTACAAAACATATAATATTTTTCTTTTTTAGTTGGCCAGACATTCTATGAGAGAAAGAAAAATGCAAAATGAAAGAAAAAGTTTATTATTAGAATTAAATACTTCAACAAGATCTGTAAGGTAAGACATGTAGTAACAATGATAAAACATAGCCTCTGAATTGTTGTTGATGATCATAGTAATTCATGTAATATTTGAAATCTTTTTGGTAATAAACATTGTATTCTTTAATATTAACATATGATACCAAAGTTTATTGTGCACCACTGTTTGACTCAAATGTTTTTGTGATAAAGAAAGTGCTGCAGGTCCTTTGTTTGATCTAAGGCTGGTTCAAATAAAACTCTTGATTTTGATATTTGCTGCGTCTCTGCCTAGCATGCAGCATTAAGGAGTAAGAACAAAGGTTGACATAAGGTTGGAATATTGTTTCCAATTGGATGACATGTCTTCCTAAAGACTGTTACCTTGTGGTTTGGTAAACTGAAATCTGATTCAGCATTTTGTTTCAGTACAAAGGAATGTATGTTTATATCTCATTAACATGTTATCATCCTGGATATGCATTGATATTAACCACTGGATTTGTTTGTAGCCATTAATTCATTATTGTGCACTAAACATGTGTCGGGAACAGTATTCATCAGTCATGCTTGAAACAAAGAATTTGGAGAGCTTTCATTTTATTCATCGTAACTCACCTTAACTAATCTGAAACTGCCCCATAGAACCTTTCTCTCTATTCTACAGCATTCTTTTTCATTACCTTTTTTCATTGCATTTCAACCCAGCATCTCTTTTTAATAATAAAAAGTGGTTAAAACCTGTATCATGGTTTTTAAAAACATATTTTAAATAAATTTAATTTAAGATCAGTCTTCAATGATGTATACTGTATCTGTAAATTCATATTATATTTTAGTGTACCAATCTTGTAATTACTCATGGATTCTTCCAAAGGTACCATTATGGTGAATAATTTGTGTAAATTACCTTTATTTGCTTCCACTTCAGTTATTTGAGTTTTTCTTCATCAACCATCAAATATTTTTAATCAATATTTCACAAAGGAGGAGGCAGGATAAGGGCAAGGAAAAATAATGAATCTGATTTTATTTTTTCCATGTAAAATGATGTTTTACTGGCCCAAAAAATGGCCATTATCCTACCTTGTCTTTTGTTGTGTTATGACAGCATGAATGTTACAAAATTTACATATATACTCATCACTGGCCATTGTCATTTTTCACATTCCTGAAGATCCTGTTTTCTCAGTGTCAAAAAATCTGATTAATAACAGATTATCTATAGCTTTGATAACGAGAGGGAGTTCCTCAGCTAAAATCTCATTGAAGGGCAATAGCTGCAATTGAGAGGCCATAGATAATCTGTTTTTTTGCTATTTTCCTAGGTAATGCTAATGACGTTATCTTATGACATCATCCTGTACTCACTTTACTCGACTGAGAAAAAACATTCTCAGTCGAGTTGCTTGAGATGGAAAGTTATCACACAAAAAGATCAAAGCAAAATTTAAAATAAGAGTGATTTAACATATTTAATTATTTATGGAGCACCTAGTTTGTTATCTGTGATTTTGTCTATGTATGCTTTACATAAAAATAATAGTAAGCTCGTATAATAATACCTAAATAAGTAGCTGGTATCGGTTGCTGAATATCGGTACTAGAATTTAACAAATCTGAAAATTAATAATATGAATTATTATATTATTTATTTGGTCAAAATGCTACTGTACACTTGCAATGCAATGGCTCCGATGACTTGAATCTCTAAACATGTGTCAACTATATCAACTATATGTATAGATAACAACATTTTCACATGTTTCAAATTGTGTACATCTTAAATAAATACATTAATTATATATAGACATGAAAGGTACGGTACCAATGTATTTGTGCAAAACACATGTTTCTGGTTTAAGAATGATAATTTGAATAATAAAAGTATTACCAGGTAACATATTTTCATTCTTTCTTTCAGAAATAATGATTTGTTGATAGGGGGATTAACATCTAGTCCAAAATCCAAGCTACAAGACACATCATATTTAAACGGCAGCCTTAACAAAGAAGATCCATTATCAGACAGATGATATTAACACTACATTTGTATTTAATGCAATGTTAAAACTCAGGAAAAATTCATATCAATGTTTTGGAATGAGTTCCATGGCGTTTCCATATCTGTGATAAATGCAATAGTGCCATGCTGGAAGCTTGTATGGAATCAAAGAAGATTTCAGGCAAAGACTGATTGAGATGCATTTTGTTATAGTCATCAATTACATTTGAAAAAGATATATTGATCTATTAGAACTAATATTCTCATATTTAATGAAAGGTTGGAAAGCTTGCAACATTCTTTTTGGACAATAGTTTAATTTTAGAGTAGATAGTACTTTAAACCAAAGAACAGCTAAAGTTGAATTATAATACTCATGGCATTTGTTAGTGTGATAGACTTCCCTGGCTGGAATTGCTGGCACTATCATTTGGTTTTCATAAATTGTTCTTAACAATTTCTTATAGGTTGATTTCATGACATTGAGAGTAAACCACAAACTTATTGCTAACTGTCACATTTGGATCAATTATGTTATATTCTGAAAAATATGTAAAAAGTCAATATAAAATATTGATGGTGTTGATGGCAATAAATTTTCATAAAGTTTTTCTGCCAAATTTCATTGATTACAATCGTTTTGGTATTGGAATCTCAAAATGTATAGCCAAAATGATGAAAATTTTATGCAACAGTTCATTTTTTAAATTCGTGATAACTATCAATATAGTTATAATTTGCAATAAGATAAAACAAATGAAACTAGCCAACATTGTAGTGCTATAATTTTTGATATCCCTCATTATGAGAAAAATGTATTTCTATTTTTGTAATGTTATTGTTTACAAATATATTTAAATATAAATATTCAATATCAAACTGCTTGTGTATCATTATTCATTAAGCCCATGTTGTCTTTCATAATAGTGAAATAAATCTTGTCAAGTTTTGCCTTCGGTTTTATGTTGAAAGAACAGAGGCTTGCTTTGATTTGCCAGAAACACACCAATGCAAACAAGATGTACTCAGGGAAAGAAAGTGTTCCATAAAATACAAATTTCCTGTATGCTGAATTTGTTTACACCATAAAATCAACTATCCTCAAAAAATGAAAGGCCAGGTGAGCTTTTGCTATCACTAGTCATCTGCCGTCGTCGTCTGTCTGCCCATTGTTTTTTTTATAACTTAAAAAAAAATCTTCTGCACTTAGACTACAGGATCAAATATTACAAAACTTAAATTGAATATTCCTTAGGGAATCTACTTTAAAAAATCATATCCAGGGCTTTGTTTCAACAAATAACTGGACTGCTGTTGCTTGAAATAGATCATAGGGGTAAAATGCAGTTTTTGGCTTCATTCCCAGAAACTGAAGCAGTTACAGTAATAATGATCAACAGGTCAAGGTCTATCTCCTATGGAATTTTCAGAAAAATCAGACAACCCATTTTGGAGTTATTGTCCCAGAAATGTAAATTTTTAGAAAATTTCACAGTTATTGGCTTTTATATCTCAATAACTAAAACAGTTAGAGCAAACCAGACCGGGTCAACATAATCAGCAGGTCAAGGTCCATTTTCTATGTAAATTTCAGAAAAATCAGACAATTAATTTTGGAGTTACTGCCCCTGAAATGCAATCAACCTCATAAAATCACTTTGAAGGTGCAGGTAGTAAAACCTCATGTTATATCATCTGTATATGGAGAAGATTTTGAAATACGGATCAAAATGTTCAAGCAAATAGGTTGTTGCAAATTGCTGGCATATAGAGGAAAATAGAGATGCTATCAGCTAAGTAAAATTGTGACAAGGTTTAATCCAGATTAGATTGGAAAGTTTCTTTATAAAAAATGTTAAAGTAATTTAAAGACTATAACCCACAAAAAATGCCAATTGAATCTTTCCATCACTTCATTTTCTTTTAGATTTTGTCTTGCTGATCATTTTTTCTAGTTTTCTCTATTATAGTTTTAAAGATAATTGCAAAAATAGCCCAAAAATTTGTCAAAAATAGATATTTAGGACATTAACTCCTACAAGGAGATGATCCACAAACTATGTTATATTGACAGTTCAGATATTTGTAGATCTTTTCCTGCTGATTGTTTTTGCAGTTCACAGTGTCTATCTAATATAGTTCTCAATATGATAGCAAAAGGAAAAAAAATACACAAAAATATGTGTAAACTGAATGGCATTTAAGGGCAATAACTCCTACAAAGAATTGATTGATAATTTTGTCATATTTGACTTGTATACATGTAGATTTTGTATTTCTTATTATTATTTTTAGCTGTTTACAATTTCTGTTATACTTTTAAAGATAATTGAAAAAAAGGGCAAATCATTCTATTTAGGGACAGTAACTCTTGTAAGGAGTCGATCCATGAATTATGTTATGTTCACATATTTGTAGATCTTATCTTGTTGCATGCTTTTGTTTAAATAGTTTCTCTCTAGCTAATATAATTCTCAGGATAATAGTAAAAACATGGGTTTTGTCAAAATTGAATTTAAGGGCAATAACTCCAAAGAGTTGATTGACAATTTCAGTCATATTTGACTTGTTTGTAGACTTTGTTTTTCTTATTATTTTTGCTGTTATCATTTAACTCTATCTCTTTTAGTTTTCGAAACAATGGCCAGAAAAAAAGCCAAAAGTAGTGAAAATTGTCCTTCATTTAAGAACAGGGTTTTAGATTTATGTGTTGTTTGCATATCACATGCTTCCAAGATGGTAAAACAACTTGTCCTTCCTTGCTTATTGGCAGGATGCAAGATCATCAATTGATGTTGATTTAGCAGAACCACACGTACATACACTGATATTGGACACCACGTTGATGATTACAAGTCTGACTGAATGCATCAAAACTTTTTGGTTAAAATCATATTGAACTAAAACAACAGAAACAAAAGCAGGATGCAGACGAACATGCAAAAGAACCAATTTTAATATTGATGACAATGTTTGGTTATATTTACCTCTGTGAAAGTCGGGCTGTGAGAAACTGGTACACACGTGTGAGTGGATCACATCGTGTTGTATTCAAACCTTAACTTTATTATAGAATCGAGAGTTGTCATAATAAGGAACCTCCCCCCCCCCCCCCCCCCCCCCCCCAAAAAAAAAGTCAATCGTCAAAGAGATCCTTAATTAAGATGTTTGTTGACCTAAACGATCTTCCATGATCGAGTAAAAATGATCGAGTTCATAGCTGATTGTGAAGTTAGACAACCTAAGGGGACGACTATTTGATATTCTAGGGGTCAGGGGAATTTTTAGCAGATTAAGTATTCATTTTTATCTGTTGATAGGAATGCTTATTTTTTCATCCTGTCCTGGGCAAAACTATTTATTTGCAGCTCTTACCAGGCCAGGATATTCATTTTAATAATCCTCCTGCCTCTCCCCGTCCTCCAGAAAATCAAATGATCGTCCCCTGATGAAGATTATGTCTATAAGACACGGAAAAGTGTGCAATTGAGGAATTTCTATATAAACTTTGAAAAAGCGGTGAATTAAGACGGTCGGTTAGTGTCTATAGAAACGAAAGTTCATGGATCGTCAGTGGTCAGATCAGTTAATTTCTGACCATGTTCATGAATGTGAGAATAAAACTATAAAGATCGTGGTGCTTCATTTAGACAAAAGAAATATTAATGTTACTGTCGGTATCATGTGATGTAAATACTGCGTTTTAACATGGCACAAAAATATGTGGTTGTGTTGTAAATTACTGACAGACATTTTCACAGGTGTAAAACAACTCAAACGAGATAACATGCTGAAAGCAGAGAAGAATCTGGCAACGGAGACCAGGAACCTGAGATCAGACGATCAAAGACAGTTACATACGAAAAAAGAAACGATATACTGACCAGTGTGGACACTTTGTAACTTCCTGTTTCAACATAGGTCGCTGCATGGACACAGTGCATGCCGATATGTAGTGGCACTATCTAGGGCATAATAAATAGTTGATCATGTAGGGTTCTGGATAGTTTTATTAGAAGCATCAAACGAAACCCTGTGATATAATATCACATTGAATAACAACAAATATAAAACTAATTCTTTTAAAGTGACATACATGTATTATATCAATCTGACAAATTTACGTAATGCGTGTACTTACAAAAATTAACCAGTTAACTGTAAAAGAGGGACGAAAGATACCAGAGGGACAGTCAAATTCATAGATCGAAAACAAACTGACAACGCCATGGCCAAAAATAAAAAGATAAACAGACAAATAATAGTACAGATGACACAACATAGAAAACTAAAGACTAAGCAACACGAACCCCACCAAAAACTTGGGGTGATCTCAGGTGCTCCGGAAGGGTAAGCTGATCCTGCTCCAAATGTGGCACCCGTCGTGTTGCTTATGTTATTACAAATCCGGTAAATAGTCTAATTCTGTAAGTCACATTCGTGAAAAGGGAAGGGTATTGTAGTTACGACATAAGGAACATATCCGATATCATCTGTGAAACGGTTATTCCATAAAGGTCAACCAACTCGTGATGGCGTCCGTAAAATTTACGAAGGGATGATTTCAACTTCACCATTTGGAACTCTTGGCTTAATAGCTTCCTTGTGAGCAGCAATCCCATATCAAGGAAATCATGATAGGAAACACAAGCCCGGGAATATCGTACCAATTGGGAGATATATACTCCGTATGCAGGCGCTGCTGGAATGTTGCTACATAGAAATGGAAATTAAGTTCACAATTGGAAAGCTGAAATCATCTCTTTTGTCGTAAAGTTTTGTTTTCAACCGACCCTCATTGTCAATTTCTAGATGTAAGTCAAGATATGAGGCAGACTTAACTGTATCTGTAGTATCCTTTATCTCTAGTTCGATGGGATAGATTCGTTCAACATAGTCACCAAATTTTGTATTATTTAGTGAGAGAACATCATCTATATAGCGGAACGTAGAGTTAAAGGATATTGCTAACTTCTTATCTAAATACGGCACAGTTTAGGAAATAAACAAAATGTACTATTAAACCTTATCTTATCAAAATATAACTTAATCCTGTGACATTCGAAACAGAATTTAACTTGTCAAAAGAGCAAAAGTAGAAATATAGTTTCTCATTGAGCAATAACATTTATTTTATAATATACGAAAAAGCCGATAAAACTATAAACAAACAATTTAAGCAAAATATGCATTAGAAAAGCCAATAGCGAAAATCAGTTAACTAATAAAGCTAAGCTAAACAAAGAAAAATTACTAAGCTAATAAAGTAATAAGCAACTATAAAAATGATCACTCATTCTTACCTCGTATGAAATACAAAAGGTTATGCCTCAACGTACATGTACATGATCATATGCAGAACTCTAGCTGACATAATACCTGTTACTGTGTAACAAATACTTAATTATAGTTACTATGAACAGACTTAATTATATATTTTAATATTCAAAATCTATCAATCTGAGACAAAAATGTTATCATGTAAAGACTGAATAGTTTTTATCAGTTAACGTTTTACTCATTTACTCTCGGACTCATTCTGCTCAATTATTCGCCATTCATTACGTTTATCTTTACACTTATTTAGGCTTACATTATGTAACTCAAATGTAAAATAATAATATGCCAGTGATAAAAGTTACGGTAATCTTTTAAATAATTTGCATCATTCATTCAACAATCACATATAATGTCTGAGGCAGCATGGGTTCAAATCACATCGGCTGAAGCACAGGTACAAGACAAGTTTTTTTTATAAATATATGTATATAAAAAATCTCAACTTGTACCTGTGGACTGACGGACAAAAATTACAAAAATTGCAACTTAATTTGAAGATCTAACAATGTTGTGCTAAATTACAAACCAAGTATATATCTTGATGAAAGAAGCTGTGAACAAAGAAAAACAAACAAGAATAAAAATGATAACAGCGCAAAATTATTTATTGTATTTGACTGTCCTTCTGCCCTCAGATTTTAGCTCAATATGACAACTGCACTATTCCACCTTCGGGCAACCAATCTGTGACAAAGACATGGCAAAAGTTACAGAAATTGCGATTTAAAAAAGCTAATAATGAACGAAAAGACATGCATATGAAAATGAATATAAAATCATCAAGATTGATGACTTTTTTTTAGTTTGATAATTTATCACTGTTGTACTTTGAGAAATATAATCCGACACGTTTCAACTTTTTGGAAATATAATATGACACGTTTCAACTTAACCATGTTTTCTGCACCGTGTATTGCATCAGATGTGTCTTAATCTAGATACAATGACCTTTTTATTTAAGTTTAATCAAGTCTTATGTTCAAGAAGTTCCAGACTCACAACTTATATATACACTGAAAGGTATGTAAATAGACAAATGCATTTGCGTTATTTGTTCTGTGAATGTCCTATCAATTATACCCCTCGGATATAAAATGTGCTAATATTAATAAAGAACATATGATATAAACGTGACTTTTTTATGTCGAAAAACGGAAAGACTTGAAACAATTAATCAGTAAAATTCAGTAATGTCCGGGATTATCATTTTCTGCTGGAGACCAAGGCATGTCAATGACACTAAATAGTTTTGAATACAGTATTTATATACTTCTACAGTTTTATTCATGTTTTTCAGGAATCATTAAACCAGGAGGGTATCCAGTAAAAAATCAACAATACAAAGGAGGTAAAAGCGAAAAATGCATGTTTTTGTTGCTCAGACCTGTTTCTATGGTCATTAAAAGTCTAATGCTGTCATATATATTGATCTATCATAATAATTTAAGATTTTTCTACACTGACACGCAGGCAGTACTATAAATTCCATCAATGACTTTAATTATGTCTCTAATAATAGTTACTCTCAAATTACAGTACGATTCTAATAGATACACCTTTTTTTTTCAATCCGACAGATATATGCATGTTGTCACAAAACTTAATTTGAATGATCATAGATGATTCAAAATCAGTGTGAAATGCCACGCAGGCACGTTGATCACACGTTACTGGCATATTTATCATTTCCCTCCCCTTGACGTCACATCTCCTAGATAGTAGATTGTCAACAAACCAAAACCAGTTCCATTTTTGCTTTGTTTAGTTATTCCAGTTTTGAATTTCACAATAAACGTATGTATTTCTCACAACAGATGGGAGTCGTTGGTTCACGAATGTTTCAGTTTAAGGTTTAGCATTTAGGTTCATAATTTTATTTTTGTTATAATTTTTGAGATTCTAAGACTTTTCAAGTCTTAAGGTTCATCATAACAAATGGACAAATATGGCCGTATTTTCACCGCAAAAACTACTCTGTGTACAGACTTACCTGTGCAGTTTGGAAAGTTTTAAGGCCTGGCATCCACTAGATATAAAAAAAAGTTAAGGTTCATCATAACAAATGGACAAAAATGGCTGTATTTCCACCTCAAAAACTACTCTGAGTACAGACTTACCTGTCCAGTTGGAAAAGTTTTAATGCCTGGCATCCACTAGATATATACAAGTTAAATGCATTTTGTGTTTCAGAAAGATAAAATCTTTTTTTGGATTTTGATGGCCATTTTTTTTCCTTTCTGCAGAAGGTGTAAAAATAAACTAAGTTGGGATAAAACTTTGAGATGCTCCCTCTCAGGTAAAAAATGTATTCTATTGTATTGATTGTCCTTGATTGACACAGACAATAGACAGACAATAGTTATCTACACAACTATAGGTGAGTTAAAGGGTTTAACTGAGTGGACAGTATCAAAGCAATTCAGGTGTTAGTTTATTTTTACACCTTCTGCAGAAAGGAAAAAAAATGCCCATCAAAATCCAAAGGTGATTATATCTTTATGAAACAAAAAATGCATTTAACTTTTATATATCTAGTGGGTGCCAGGTCTTAAAACTTTCTAAACTGGACAGGTAAGTCTGTACACAGAGTAGTTTTTGAGGTGTTAATACAGCCATTTTTGTCCATTTGTTATGATGAACCTTAAATACATTTTGTTTTTCAATAAGATAAAATATTTTTTGGATTTTGATAAGCATTTTTTTCTGTTCCTGCAGAATGTATAAAAATAAACTAAGTTGGGTAAATCTTTGAGATGCTCCTTCTCAGGTAAAAACTGTATTGTATTGATTATAAAATTGAGAATGGAAATGGGGAATGTGTCAAAGAGACAACAACCCGACCATAGAACAGACAACAGCAGAAGGTCACCAACAGGTCTTCAATGCAGCGAGAAATTCCCGCACCCGGAGGCGCCCTTCAGCTGGCCCCTAAACAAATATATATACTAGTTCAGTGATAATGAACGCCATATTAAACTCCAAATTGTACACAAGAAACTAAAATTAAAAATAATACAAGACTAACAAAGGCTAGAGGCTCCTGACTTGGGACAGACGCAAAAATGCGGCGGGGTAAAACATGTTTATGAGATCTCAACCCTCCCCCTATACCTCTAGCCAATGTAGAAAAGTAAACGCATTTATAACAATACGCACATTAAAATTCAGTTCAAGAGAAGTCCAAGTCAATCAAATTTTATGTATTGATTGTCCTTGATTGGCATGGACAATATAAGGACAATAGATATCTACACAACAATAGGTGAGTTAAAGGGTGTAACTGAGTGGACCATATCAAATGTAATTAAGGTGTTTGTTTATTTTCAACATGTTCAAGATGTCATAATTATTTGTACTAGTATTTGAATTGTATATCTATAGTTCATAAATATTAATGAACTATATATCTGTATGAAAAAAATAAGGCTGAAAATGCACTAGATATTTATATTCAATATGAATATTCACATTTTGTCTATTAAGACATGAAGAACATTTTTGAACAATTTGATGTCTTAATAGACAAAATGTGAATATTCATACTGAATATAAATATTTAGTGCATTTTCAGCCTTATTTTTTTCCTATTTTATGCACAGCGTGGACAAAATTTATAACTATATATATATATATACGCAAGTCTAAATTGAAAACACCGTTCAAACCTATGACTGCGTTGGATAAAAATCGCAATTTTTATACTTGTGCATGCAAAACAAATTTCTTGGTAGAGGGTCTAAATACAGCACAAACAACATTTTCCAAAAGACCAAAAAAGTGAAAAAGTATATTTTAACAAAACGCATTTGACTAGCAGGTCGAACAACTGATGTTCTTAAACACTGCTGACTGTATATATATATTTATATATACATGTCATGGTTTTTCAAAGGTGGCAGATAAAAAATTGTGCCTTTGATGATGCATAATTCAAATATATAATTAAATTTTCATTTTAGGAGACATTTATTGGAATATTGTTTTCAATAGTTTCAATATTTATATTTAGATTTCATAATATCAAAAGGTATTATTTTTTTAATGTAAAATATTATATTAAAATTGTGTTATCACCTTTAATGAGAAGGGATGATTATACAGTATAACACATTTATGTTAATTACTATTTTATTAGAAGTTATAAAGTTATATATCAAGAATATTGGGTATGCACAAGGACATATATTAGAAGCGATCCTTGTTAGTTATACGTCCTTGGTATGCATAATTATAATAAAAACATACATTTAATACAGAAGTTAGTGCAATCATTAGTCAACATTAAACAGCAATTTTTCATGTGAATTTGAGTCTTTGATCTTTAAAATAATCTTTTCAACTGGTCACCTGAATAACATTTGGTTAGTTCACTCAAATCTGATCCCCAATTTAATGCGCTCAAACTTTTTTCTTTAAAAGTTAAAAAATTACTCAAATTGAGAAATATTGTTTGATTTGCTGAATCCCTTTCATATAAAGTTAAATAGATTTGTTACCTTTTATCATTAATCATCATTGACTCAATACTGTTTCCTAATAAGTATTCCTCCGCTAAGCGAAATTTACACAACTTTTTCATGTGCAAATTGTCACTTACCCTGAATCAAATATTTCACATAACTCTCAGACTTTTATAGAGATTATTCATTATTTTATTATGGAGCCAGATCGATTTGGGGTCAAAATGACTTGGACCAGATCAACTTGGGGCCGGATTGGTTTTAGGCGGGAACGACTTGATACCTACAAAAGTTGGTAAAATAAAGAAACACCGGCATTAATTTAACTTGATGTGGTCAACTTAGTCAGGTACACAGTTTAAAACACCTATAGTTGTGTAGATATCTAAAATGTATTGCCCATCTACATGTATTGTTCATTTCAGTCAATATAACAGTTCATTTCAATTATTACATGAGCTGATGAGGGGAACTTCTCAAACATCATGTCCTTTAGTTTATTTTGCCACATCAAAGTCCAGGATAGTTTTTATTCTCTGAAGCAAAAAATGCTTTTAAACTTTATTTATTTAGGTCCAGCCGTGCCTTATTTATTCCAGGTAAACAGGTTTGTCTTGCCTCAAGAGTAAAATTTGAGATGTAAACTCTAAACACAGAGCCATACTTGGGAATTCCTTATGATAAAACAGGTTCATCATAGGTTGGGCAATTGGCAAACATGACTGTGTTTACACCTCAAAAACTGACAAGTACTATCATTTAAATTTGATGTTTATTTTAACTTGATAATTGGCTGAAAATAGATGAGACATTCATTTTACTAGTCATCATAATTTATTGTAGAATGGAAGAGTTTAATGACCCCGAGGTAGAGGAAACCCAGGTCAACATTCCAGACATGTTAGAACTCCAGGTATCAGAGATTGAGATGCTACAGAGTATGTTTCCAAACAGTGATGAATTGAGATTAGATGACCCTGCAGTTATAGCAGAGATTAGACAATATCTTGATGGCAAACTTGCATATGAATACCTACAGAACAGGATAGGGTTTACACTGAAAATAACACCAGGAAATCAAAAGGTGATTTATAGAAATTTTGCATTCTTTTACACTTAATGCATGAATTTGATAAACAATATGATAAAACCTGACTGAAAATAAATGTATAGAATACAAAAAAAAAAACAACAAAAAAGTAAGACCCTAAATGGAAGGGAAGAAAATACCAAGGTGAAAGTCACAAACTGTAGGTTAAATATAGACAAAAAATACAATGGTCAAAAGAAAATAAAGCGTCTAATTTTCGACATGTTACATACTCTGTGATAAGACATTTTGGTACTCAGGCAAATAAGAGCAACTAAAAGAAGTAAAATCATACTTACAATCAGTTATTTTTTTTGGGAGGGGGGGGAGTAACTATTTTTGTGATGATTTTGTTACATTTGTACTTGACCGAGTTCCAATATGTACTCTGGAGTCAAAATTCGGTAATATGAAAAACGTTTATTGGCTATACAAATGTGTTGTATCAAGATTGCAAAATCAATTGATTATAAAAGGGTGCTTGTCAATTGTAGGTGACTATTGAAGTTGTATGCCTTTATCCACATGAATATCCAAGTGTTGCTCCATGTGTCTTTACCCGTTGTGAGCAGATGGACAGAACCAGCCATAGTCAATTAAATGAGGATTTACAGCAGTATATTTTGGGAGTCGATAGAGGAGAAATCTGCATGTTCTCTGTTATAGAATGGATCCAAGAAAATTTTGTAAAATACTTGAAGAAACAACAACCAACAAAGATTAAAAAGAAAGATATCGAATTTGACAAAACTTTCTCAAGACTTTGGATTTATAGTCATCACTTATTTAGTAAATTTAAACGTAGAGACATTGTAGACTGGGCTCTAGAAATGAAACTTACTGGTTTTAGTTTACCTGGGAAACCAGGAATAATTTGTGTTGAGGGATATAGTCAAAATATTGATGATTATTGGTCAAGGTTAAGGGCGCTAGCTTGGAAAAAGATTGTTATACGGGAAAGAGAAGATAATGCAATTGGGAAGAAAAATATCAATGAGTTTCATAAATTTGATAAATTTGAAGAAAAAGTTTTTGAAGTGCGTGCTGCTAGAGGAAGGGAATATCGTATGGATATGGGTTTATTTTGTGATTTTTTAAATGAACATAATTGTGGACATATATTTAGTTGTTATTTTGGTGTTGATGGGAAAGGGACTTCATCATCAGTTACCTGAATAATTTATTTTATATATCTATGTTTTAATCGATTTTTTTTCTTTTTTCATTATTCTGTTAATCATGTCAATAGTGTAAATAAATTTAGTTTCAGTCTCTTTTGTGGTTTGTATCTCCCCTTCGAAAAAAGATACAGAATATAAGACATAGGGAATACAATCTTGTGGCAGCAAGGCCGTAAACTATTCTTGTGAATTTTTAGATTTCAGGTGGTAGAAGACCTGGATCCTTCATACTTTGAATACAGTCTTGTTTTAGTTAAGTTTCTTAGTCTGTTATATGTCCACTGTCCTTGACCTCATTTTCATGGTTCAGCGACTGCTTAAATAAAGCTGTAGATTTTTTTGGGTATGTGAAATTATTACTGATTATGAGTAACAGGATAACTATATTTGGTCTACATGTGTGTCAGACAGGGTTCTGACCACAACCTCATTTCATGGATTGGTGATTAAGGTTAAATTTTCATGGTCAAGTCCTTATCTCAGATACTATAAGCAGTAGCTCAACTATATATGGCATATGGAATTATTGTAAGGTGTACTGGTCTGTTTGGCAGGTTTAAATCAAACTTTGTTTTTTCATTTTCATTGGTCAATGTTATGTTTTTATGGTTAAGTCTGTTTCTCAGATACATTAAGCAATACTGGTAGGTTAACTATATTTGGTGTATGGAATCATTGCAAGGTGTACACTTCTGTCTTACAGAGTTCCTCTGACCTTGACCTCATTTTCATGGTTCATTTGTCAAAGTTTAGTTTTCTTGGTAAGGTTCGTTTCTCAGACACTTTCAGATGCATGGAGTGACCGCAAGGCATACATGTCTATCTGACCTGATTCATCTGAACTTTACCTCATTTACATGAATCGTTGATGTTAATTTTATGTAATGTATATTGTATATTCTTTTTCTCCAAGAATTTCAACATAAGTTCTATCATGGTCAGTAAAGCAGGAAAGACATTTCAGCATGTGTACTCTTGGTTTTTTTCTTCCATTTCATATGAACAAATGAAAGTGGTCACCCTGCTTTTAACTTTTAGAGCTCAAAATAAAAATTTGATATAAATCTTATAAGGGGCATTAGCTACGAGATATAAACAAAATTAAAATATGATTTTTTTTCTTTGTTCAATAATTATAAATGAAAGTGAAATAGTGAAAAAATGATTTGCTTTTAGCAGCCAGTTTGGTTCAATTTTGTCAAAATAAGCCAAGAAACATTGCTGATGAATTATTCACTTGCAAGTGAATAATTCAACCTCATTAAATCTGTATCGTAAATTGTTTATCCTAGACTTTTTATAATTTGGATATACGTTTTAGTATGTTATATCAAATCAAATATGAGAATTTGAGTCAAAAAGTGAACATGAATTTGACAGCTATTGCCCCTTCAAAAGAATATAATACTTTCCTTGCTTTGACCTTGACCTACAAATTGTGTCCTTGGACTAAGATCATGAGACACCTTTAAGACTTTGGTTGTAACCGTCATAAATATCAATTTAACTAGGGAGGCAGAACAAAGATGTTGACCAGACATTATACAGTCAATACAATTACTGGGTTTGACCTTGACTCAAGTTTGTCCTTGAGACTCAGTAAAGTTTTGTTTATTTATTTGATACATGGCACTTACTATACATTTATTTTAAATCAAAGAAAAATCTTACCAAATTTGCTGCAACGTCAACCGATCAGTTATCAACAATGGGTCATTGACCTATTCAAACATCAATTGAATTGATGACTGCATCTGGATGAAATGTTTAACCAGAGGTGTTATCACTTTTGAAAATAGAATCACACAATCTATGTTACGAGATCCAGATTTATTGTAAGATGTACAGATAAGAAAGCTTCTTTATACAGTGAACCAAACTAATCAGTTAACAGGTATCCATTTCAGCTCACCTGGCCAAAAGGCCAAGTGAGCTTTTCTCTTCACTTGGCATCTGTCATTAACTTTTACAAAAAAATGTTCTCCTCTGAAACTACTGGGCCAAATTTAAACAAACTAGGCCACAATCATTATTGGGGTATCTTGTTTAAACTAGAGGCTCTGAAGAGCCTGTGTCTCTCACCTAGGTCTATGTGCATAATCAACAATGGAATCTCTCCAACATTGTAGAAAAATTTCTTTTTTTTTATCTTGTATTGCTGATCATTTTGTCTGTTTAGTTTCTATCTTCTTTAATTTTTGCTCAAATACAAAAGAGGATAAAAAATATCCTCATTTAGAGGCAATCACTCCTATGAAGAGTGAGTCTACGAACTATATCGACAAAATTTGACTTGTTTGTGGATCTTGCCTTGCTGATCTTCCTTGGTTTTTTTAAGTTTCTTTCTATCTATCTATTATAATTTTTATCATATAAGGCAAAATGCAAAAAAATTGGTAAAAATCGTCATTAAAGGGCAATAACTCCAATAAGGAGTTGTCACAAAATTTCCTCCATATTGTCTTAAATGTAGATCTTGTGTTGCTGTTCATTTTTGCTTCTTTAAGTTTCGATCTATCTAAAGTATCATAATTTTTAAGGAATAAGGGAAAAACGCAAAAAATTGGTAAAAATCGTCATAAAAAGGTTAACAATGGACAACGAACGCCAAGTGATGAGAAAAGCTCACTTGGCCCTTTGGACCAGGTGAGCTAAAAATGTGTCCGATGACCCCACCAGCCAACCAAGATTACTGACATGGATAAAAATAGAACATAGGGGTAAAATGCAAGTTTTGCCTATTATTTTGAAAACTGCTGTAAATAGAGAAAATCTGACAGGAGCAAAAATGTTCAGAATAGACAGAAACTTTATATAGCAAAAATAATCAGCAAGACAAGATCTACAAATAAGTTTACATGGCTGAAATCTTCAGTCGACTCCTTATTAGAGTTATTGCCCTAAAATGACGATTTTAACCAATTCTTCTGAGTTTTAGCCTAATATCTTAAAGTGCTTATGAGCACTGATGGGTAAAGATTGCGAGAATTTTTAAACAAAACATTGAATTTTATTTTCCTAGACAAATTCAAAATTTGAGTTGAGTTATCTTCCTTTGTTCATGATTGTACATTTGTAGTTGAACCTTTTTTTATAACAGATTCATACACCATGTATTTCTTAGGTAATTTTTAATAATAACTTAAATATCAAAGAATAACATATCATCAATAAATTGCATGACATTGACTGGATAGGATACAAAAAATGATCACTTCACTGCACTATTTTGTTTGAACTATCAAAGGTAGTGATAAACCTTGGAAGATATAGATATCAAGTCAGTACCATAGGGTTTGATTGCATTTCATGCAATCTTTAACTATATTAGATAGATAGAAACTGTAAATACTGTGGATTCATTATTATTCGTTGGATACCAATTTTCGTTGATTTCGTGGTTATATGTTAACCACGAAATTAAAAGTTCAACGAATGGCAAATTTACTATAGGCTTGTATGCAAACATTGTCAAAAACCACGAAATTAAATATCCACAACATGTAAGTTTTCCTTAATCCACGAAAATTGGTACCCACGAAAATAAATGAATCCACAGTAGCTAAAATGATCAGCAAGACAAGATCTAAAAAATAAGCCTAATGTCCGAAATCTTAAGTCAACTCATTATTGAAGTTATTGCTCTTTAATGATAATTCTTTCCCATTTTAGTCTAATATCTTGAAAACGGTAATAGATAGATAGAAACTTTAAATAGCACAAATTATCAGCAAGACAAGATCCACAAATAAGCCAAAATGACAGAAATCTGCAGATGACTCAATATTGGAGTTATTGCACTTTGATAATTTATAACAATTTTTTGCATTTTTTGCCTATTATCTTGAAGACTATAATAGATCAACAGAAACTTTTAAAAAGGATTTTAACAAATATGTCAACATGACTGAAATTGTCAGTTATCTCTAAATAGAGTTATTCCCCTTTAATGATGATTTTTACTAAAAAGTGGCTATTGTTGAAGATGCAGGTGAGCGACACAGGCTCTATAGAGCCTCTAGTTTGGTAGTATCATTGTGAACTTGTGAAAAAGATAACAATGACCAATAACCAAATGAGGACAAGGACCTCAATGATTCTATACATTTATAACACAAGAGTGAACATGCTGAAATGTCTCGCCTACTATACTGACCATTGATTTTATGTTGATAGTCCTAATTATAAAGTTTTACTACAAGTATCACATTAACATTTATGATCTAAGAAAATGAGGTCAAGGTCAGATAAACCAATCCAGAAATACATGTACAGCTTTAATACAATCATTCCATACACCAAATAGAGATAACCTATTGCTTATAGTATAAAAGAAACAGACCAAACCATGGAAATTTTATATTGACCAATGAACCATGAAAATGAGGTCAAGGTCAGATGACACCTGTCTGTTGGACATGTACACCTTACAATCATTACATACACCAAATATAGTAGACCTATTGCTTATAGTATCTGAGATATGGACTTGACCACGAAAACTTAACCTTGTTCACTGATCCATGAAACGAGGTTGAGGTCAAGTGAAAACTGTCTGACAGGCATGGGGACCTTGCAAGGTGCACACATACCAAATATAGTTATCCTATTACTTATAATAAGAGAGAAATTAACATTACAAAAAATCTTAACTTTTTTCAAGTAGTCACTGAACCATGAAAATGAGGTCAAGGACAATAGACATATGACAGAAGGAATTTCATATCATAAGGCATCTATATACAAAGTATGAAGCATCCAGGTCTTCTACCTTCTGAAATATTAAGCTTTTCAGAAGTTAGTTAACGGCGCTGGATCACTATCCCTATGTCGAGCTTTCTGCGACAAAATTCGCAGACTCGACAAAAAATCCAATTCTATTATCCTTTATCTGCAGTAATTGAAAAGATATGTTCTCTGTCAGTAATATGGTTACACTGATTCAACAAAATCGTTCCCCCACAAAACATATCTAATTCATGCAATATATCTGAAAATGGCATTATATAGTACAAACCAATATTTTACTGAGATGTTTAATGAGTTTATAGTACAATGTACATTATCTATGCATGATGTAAAGAAAAAAAATATATATCAAATATCCATCAGAAAAAAAAACATCCATAATATTAGGTTATAAAGGAAACCTGTCAGAAATATTCATTTGTATTTTTACAGGATAAGAAATATTTTAACAGCATATTGCCTTGATTGTTAAACACATAAAAACATGTTTTTTTCTTATAGCACTGAAAAATAAAGAATTGAAAAAACAAAGATATAAGAAGAAATGTAAGTGAACAATAAATGTACAAATAATGAAAACTAGAAAATTCTTGTAATCCCACAAAATTACATAGTTGTAACTGTAAGTAATTGTAATTCTTTCAAATAAATCTACTGAAAATATAAAATCTCTTTCTTTTCAAATATGTCCAATGGAAAAAAATCTTTTTATTCCTTAAGTAACAACCATAAAACAAAGAAAAGCTACTGCTTTGAAAAACAAATAAACATGCATAAACTTTAAACTCCACAACTTCAAATATAGTTTTATACAACCATTTTACTCTATAAAATAATATAAAACTCTTACAGACAGAAGGGATAGTTTTTGAAAAAAGTAAAATTTACATTTGTTTATTGTTAATTTACAAAATAAAATATTACCCTTACAGGTAAAACATTTAACCATAGACTTATACTATGCTTGCTCCAAAACCCAACAAATTCAAAGGGAAGTAATAGATATAGGAATGCTGTGAACAAGTCTTGTAAAAGATCCTAAATTCAGCTGATGTTAAATTCAAAGCAAGGTTATAAATATGGGGATGATAAGCAGATGACTTGTTACAGTAAATTTAATTGTTTCGTATCATTATGACTGATGACATCTGCAGCTCTTTTCACCAAAAATCTTACGAGTAAAAATAATACTTGTTACACATGAACATTTCAGTATATCTTGTGATGAATTTTAACCGTAAGATTTTTGGTGAAAAGAGTTGCTGAACTTATAACTGAACGTCATTCAAAACTCCTATAAAAAATATTAAAATTGATATGAATTTTAGAAATATTATAGAAAGAATGTGAGGTTGTTAACATAACAAGTATTTGTTAAATAAGAATTTAAAAAACTTTAACAATGTAATGCATAGCATTCAAATATCTATTGTCTAGTTTGAATTTTGAATACAATATAATGAACTCGGACCATAAAGATATCACATACATTTATTATAGCACAGTTTGATTTTGTTGGAAACAACAATTTGATTATGTAATAGTCAAACAAGAACGACTCCTAATAAAATCTTGTTCAATAAATTCAAACAAAAGTTTTTCTCTTTTGAAGTTGAAACAAATGCACTATTATTCAAACACACAGCTGACAGGATTTCCAACAATAGATAACAACATATAAACGTCCATTCAAACAATACACTATAGAAGTCAGGAACAATATATCAAACATTAGGACAATACACTACACAGAAAATATCAAAAATTATTTCAAACCATGGAGAATTTTGTATTCTATCCAAATTGAATTCATATTTTGTTTTTAGTAAAAATATTCCAAATTTTGTTGAGTGACTTACTGCTTCTAAAGAGTCATGTTTTGAGTTAAATATTTCTTTTAAAATTCAATCTAAATATGTCTTACTTTCAATATTTTGTTGTATCATTGTTAAATTTTTGGTATATCACAAAACTGATTGGTAACAAGTTCAGTCAATTAAGACCATGCTTTGGCCAAACATTTTGGTGAAAAATTACTTAAATTAACTTGTATTTGTTATTTAACTTTTTTTCTTGTATAACTAAATAAATGGAGAACGTGTCCATGGGACACAGATGATGCCTCTGCTTGCATATAACGTTATAAAGGGGCATAACTCGAGAACGGTAAAAGTGACGCCAACCAAATTCGAACTTGTTTTGTGTTTGTGGTAATAAGCATTGTGTTAGAGAAGGGAAACCAATTTTGGGACATACAGACGTACAAGGGTAAATCTTAATGCTCCCTCTAGTGACGGCTGAGGCTTAAAATTATCAAGCTGATTTTGGTAGTTACAGAATTTACTCCATTCTTTGTAATCTACCGTAGTGATAGCACTATAAATGTCAAAGCATGTATATACTTTCTACATGTTAGTGCAAAATACAGGAGATATTGGATCAGGATGAATTCAATTACAAAATAGTATTACAAGAAAAATCACTGGTAAAAACAGTACATCTTAAGGCTGTTCCAGATTTAAATGCATCATGGGAGGCACTTTTTTTAAATTCTAAGGAATATGCAACCATCCACAATTCATTAATTTCAGTGCCTCCCATCCCCCAATGCGTTTAAATCTTGAACAGCTCTTAACATAATGTCTGGCAAAGTTTTACAAATCAATGAATAGATGGTCAAGTGAGAGCTTTGGAGTCCTTCGAAAATATTCATATTCATCAGCTTTTGTTGGTGTATTACCAAGGTTACAAATGAAAAGTCTCTACTTTTTAAGAATTTATTATCATTCTAGATAACTGCAATATATAGACGACACTGATTTGTCACCAAACAATATATAAGAAAAATTCAATGTTTTTTTTCTCAGATCGACAACGTCACAACAGCGATCATGCTTACATACCAAAAGCACATTACATACAAACCATTTTCTTTCACAACATAACATTTCAGATCTTGTAACAACTATATTTGTAATTAGAAAACAAATACAAGTTTGGCAGATTTAAGTATTATTGCGAACCCAATGAAAGTTTTCCACAGTGCCATCTCTATCTTGACCAGGTATTTAAACTTTTGCAAGTTCACCTGTCCTTTTGAATAAATACAATAGCTATTGTTCTCTGTGTAGTTTATTCTCTGGTACCTTTAAATTTCTTCTAAGAGAAATCTATCATTCATTGATTAAATTACCTGAGTATAAAAAAATTCTTATATATAGACAAAAATACTTTTTTTATACTCATTAATTGCGTGTGATGATGTATTTATTCAATATTAATAATATATTTTCATTCAGTTTAATATAAACATTGATTCAATCATAAAAAGTTGATTTCAAACAAAAGTTTTATCAATGTTCCTATTGAAATTTGATTTTTTTTTTGTCTAGTTATAGAATACATTTAATAAAATACTGTAAACCAACTTATTTTCACAGATAGTTATTCATGTTAACTTATCCCTTTTATTTCTATAAATCTATGTCTGAGAGGATTATTTATTTTGACATTTTTTCACAAACCTTTAAGCTTGATTAGAATAAATGTACATTGAAGTACAGTCTAAATGGATAATAAGAGTAAATATTAGCATTGTCACTTTCATAGTTTTTTTGGTCCAACACAAAAAAAGTAATTTGAAAGTCACAAATTTCCATAGGAACATAGCAAAATTTAATGTCAAAACATTGGAACAAAATTATGAAAAGCTGTAGACAATTTAGTAAAAATTGGTAAATAATGCAAATAAAGTAAATCAGTTTATTATGGCTAATATTGCAAATAGCCAATGCAGACAACTTACCCTAATACATTCTAGAAGCCTACTAAATTATTAGATATTGAATAAATCAACATCACATATAGTTTTGTGTGTCCTCATTTAGTATTGGTACATGTATTTTTATCATTGAGAGTTAAATTTTTTGTTCAGGTAAATTAATCAATGAGTGATAGATTTCTCTTAGAAGAAATTTAAAGGTCCCAGTGAATAAACTACACAGAGAAAAATAGCTATTGTATTCATTCAATAGGACAGGTGAACTTGCAAAAGTTTAAATACCTGGTCAAGATAGAGATGGCACTGTGGAAAACTTTCATTGGGTTCGCAATAATCGTTTAGTAATTGTTAATGCAGAAAATACTTTATATTAACAAAATAGAACATATAAAATTGCATATATCTATATAAAAATTCAAAATAAATTCTAACACTTCATGCATAACATAGCTTTAAATTTTTAACAATAAAATTTATTTAAAGCAAACAAGGTTTTGGCAATTTTCATAATAACATATAGCAAAATAAAACAAATCTTAACATTTTTTAAATTGTAATGCAAAAATCACCTTTTCCCCCCTATTACAGTTACCATGGTTACTCTTATTATGTTGTCTACAGATTTACAAATCCCATATTCTATCATGGCAGCATTTTATATTATTGAGTTATTGTCTTCCCACAATTCTGTGCATTTTGTTGATATAATGTTATAAACAGATTTAAGGCAGGGACAAAAATGAACAAGCATAGAATTGACTTGCCCTGTTCAAAGTGTAAACAAAGTAAATAAATTGGCCTAGTAGGCAAGTTTAACATGTGTTTAAGCTTGCCCTCTATAAAATCAGCAAAAATTGTCTTGGGCGAACTTCTATCCCTGTTATAACATAAACAAACTAATGACCAGCATTGTAAATTATACCACAAAATGAACCGACAGATGCACATTCAGAAATCTATTACATAATATTTGAAAAAATAGGATTGAAAGTTTATTTTTTCTGACGATTCACTAATTTATTACAAAATATTCACAAATAGCATCAAAAGTTTATTTCTACACTAAACATTTCATTCTTGACCATTAAATCTCATTACTTATTTGAAGGTGTTACTTGTTCAATAACTAATAGTATTGCCCTGGTATCTCATGACATTTTTATACTTCATAGATTCCTATCAGAGAAAAAAAAACCTAATATTATAATATATAATTTCAATTTGACTTCATTTATGGCACATGCTTCGTTTAATGCTGTTAACAGCACCTTCTGTACTATAAAATAAAACTTGTAGAAAAGGAAGACATTTTGTTTAAACAAAGCAAAAACTATAAAAAAAAAAACACATCATCTTTAGGTTTTAGGTTTTGAAATAAATTGAAAGGAAAAAGCTGTTCAATTTAAACCTGCAAAGCACACATGTAAAGTACTTTAACTGCACTTTTTCTTGCATTTGCAAAAAAAAGTTTCACTTAGATTTAGCCACTGCAAATATCTAATTTAATTTGATCACAATAGTTGTCTGGGATTTCACAAATATAGATCATAGCAAATCATTAACATATTAATTATCTCCACTTTACTCAGTGTCAGATCAAATGGTGCTGTATAAATTTTAAATACTTTCTCCTATTGGCTATGAATCTAATCAAACTTAATTCCAAGTGCTTTTGCAACATCCCTTGTAATTCAAAGTGCTTTTTTTTTTAAAAATACCTTAATCGTTTGAAAGGATTAGTCCTGAATCATAAAAAAACCTATTTTCCATATTAATTTCTACATTTTGAATTTGTTGAAAGCATTTATCTCTATTTTTTCCCGCCTACCCATTATACAAATGTATATTTTCTATTCTGTAAACTCCATTTAGACCCTCATCTATTGGTTAACATGTTTATGATAAAACACAAGTTCAAATTGGAAATTTTATTGATGATTAATGTTTTCACTGCTCAGCAGCTTAATAAACAAAATAAAAGTGTATGATAAAGAAATGCTGTTTATCTCTAACAAAAAGCTCAAATTTTCCCCATTGTACTTTGTACTATAATCAGTTAATGTAAAACTTTCAAAATCATACAGACAAGCATTTTATGTACATGAAGAAAAACCCTTTCTCAATCATATTTAAATTAAAAAGAAAAAAGAACAAAAACAAAAGTACACATAAATGACGTATAAAAAGCATAAAAATATTGCAAAATGGTTTGTTCAAAAAACGAGATTGACTCTGTGACATATGAATAAATGCATATATAACACATGATTGCTGCAAATGTTTTTGATCATACATATAAACATGAAAATGGACCAAAAAAAGATCATATGGAACCAATTCAAAAACTGATCCAAACTTCTCACTATAGTGTGTTCATATTTGGTGTGAAGTTTGCTTTAGAACTACTCCACATAAATATTCATACCCAACATACAAATGTACATTAACTTGAGAATGCTGATCATCTTTAGTATTTGTATGACTAATATTTCTGATCAACATTTTTTAACAATATCTTACTTAATTTTGTCTGATCTACAATTATCAAAGTAGCATACATATTATTTCTTACATTTCATGTAATTGTGGTTTGGCGATAACAATCGTGTTAGTATAACAATGCTGTAAGTTCTTTGGGTTTCTCTACGATGTTTTCTAAAGTCATTAACAACATGAATGGAATTTACTGTAAAAATATGTAAATATTCTGATTATTGCATGAATTATTTGACAAACTGTATGGTTTATGTTCAGTCTAAAATTTAGGTTTCAGCAAACATCCTTCACATATAAAAATGGTCTGGAATCATATTAAGTTTTTTCCAAAATTCTTCAACCAATTTCTTTACATATCAATTAAAATATAAATCAGTTTCTACTACCCTATTATGACCTTTGCACTAAAATGAGATTGCTAGTCACATGACTTTTATTATGATACAGACGATATTGGATTATGTGGCGAGCCCATTTGTGTTAGGACTTTATCTAACCACTGTAAAGGTCCATTCAAATGAATTTCAATCCAACATGGAGTACTTGTAACGTCCTGTCTGTGGTACTCAGCACCCCATCCTTTAACGAAGCTCATACGAATAGTACACATCTTAGTAAGTTCATATACAGCTTCAAAACCATGGTTTACTGACTGACTTAGAAGTGCTGCAAATTCTTGGTTGTTGAAGATCTTTAGACTACATCCAGGAGGAATTTTACAAACGGTTGTAGGATGAAAACCGTGGTGATAGTTACAGTTACGGCTCTGTACAAAAATGCTGCTGTCACTTAAACATTCGGCAAAAACTTCACCTCCAACATAGTAAAGGTGTACACCTGAAAACATAATCATATATTTTTTTTTACTTTTTAGTAATTTTTGCTTTTTTTAATTATTCTTTCCCCAATCTTCAATTATTCCTTTAATTTCTAAATATTTCTGATTCAGGATTAACTTGATTTTATTGGTATATATGAACCAGAAATTTAAATGCACAATAAAATATATTCTATATGTAAAACAAATCAAAACTACTTAAGGAAAGCATACTTTACTTCAGTACAAGTCCTGAGTCAAGCTTATTGAAAGGTATTGCTTAAGCCCATGAAATGTTCTGAGCGGTATTAAGTATATGTCACAAACTTTTATAAGTATTGGTCAAAAAGTTAAGTAAACTTGAAATTTGGTTATCAGAATAAAATATGAATGGTCCTGTACATACCTGATTAGGATTCTAGGTCCTATCAGAATCAGATACTAAGCCACAACTGTCTATTCCTTAAGAATATGTATGCAAAGGAATAACATACTACGCTGGAACACAATTATGTTTAACCCAGCTACATTCTGTTTGCGCCTTTCCTATGTCAAGAGCCACAAGAGTGGACTATAAGGTATAGGTTTTGCTCATTGTTGAAGGCAGTACATTGCTTAAATCTACATCACTTTCAATCTGGTGAATAGTTGTCTCATTGACAATCACACAACATCTCCTTATTTTTATACTTCAATATTTGATACCCTTCCGTCCAGTAGTCTGAAGTCTGTTCAACATTATTTCCCTCATTAACCATTTTCCATTTTATTGTTACATCAGTTTATTTTATAATAAATACCAGGAAACTGAGGTCAAAGATTCCTATTTTCACATTTGTTCTGTAAAATGCATTGGATTTCATGCAGTAAATATTTCGTAATAGAGCTACCCCCATGAAAATATAATTGCTGTAAATAATGCTATACCTTTACTTATATGACGTCTTGTATTTTCTATTGTTGAATTTCTGTTGACATTAGACAAGAGACCTAGACAGAATCTATCTGCATTATTTGATGGGTCAGTAAATCCGTCCACAACAATACTGGTCTGTGAAGCATGGAATGCCTCCCCTACTCTGTTGTTCAGTTCATAGTATACTATAGAGCACCAGTACTGGGGTTCCTGGTAGGTAACTGGCTGTAAGTCCACTGAAATTATAAATCAATGTTAAATTGTTACCAAATGTATCAAGCTTGCCAAATAATTTGATGTTTGGCACAATACAAACTCTAACAATTCATTAAGTAACTTTTTAATTGTTACAGAGCGGTTTGTGTTTTATGATATTGCATAATCACTTATTTTTGCTTATCATCTCAAGTGTTGTGTACTTATAGTTGTTGTCTACACTGTACAACTATAAAACTGAAATTTAAACTTTTTTTAAGTGAAAAAGACACTGTGTATTTTCACAGTCCATCGGTAAGTCTAGACAATACAATAAATAAACTCTTTAAATACAATATGTGATGTACCTAAAAATCTTTACATCAGAAAAATAACAGCATTGGTTTAGCAATGTAAAGAAAAAGACATGTATGCTAAGCAATTCTGAATCAACTTTTTCTATGCTGTATACACAGAAGTTCCATGTACTGATTTTAATATATTTTGGAAAATTGTGACTTTTATAATAAACATTTTACTTTATTAATTTACATCAATATATACCTCCTGATGGCATGGTATCCATTGGAGTAGGTGGTGGTCGTCGTGTACCATGTTGTAAGTTCACAGTTTGTTGACTATGTTGATTATGCGAGTTGTCATCATGTGGTTGATAAGCAGGTGGAGGAGTGCCAGCTGTAAGAGTATATAATGTGGTTAATATTCCTTTATAAATGTTATCTTAAAATATTCTTTCAGAAATGTAAAACACCTAGAAAAGCTACTGGAATACTGTAAATTAACTCATTTTCATGACTTTTGCAAGTAGGAAAATAATTTGATAAATATTGCATTTTTATGTATTTTATAGTGTGTCAAATGTGTTTACCTCATGTATTTCCATTTCATACCATTTCTTTTTAATCTATACCATACATTTATGCAAATTTTTAGTAGTAATGAGCATTGTGTGTAAGTTTCATAACATTTGGTTGCGGCTAAGTAAAGTTAAGAGTGTGGAAACGACACATTGAGTAACTTTTCCATTTATAAAGGGACATAACTTGAGAGAAGCCACCCAAATTTGAACTTGATCTGTGTACCTGGTAAACTATAAGGGCTTCCTGGTCCAGAACTACTTACCTGGTAAACCATAAGGACTGCCTGGTCCAGAGCTAGCAGGTGAATGTGGTCCCTGTTGTGACTGTTGGTGGAAGCCATTTGGATCAAAGCTGACATTCTGTGGCATAGAAGGTTCAGGTGACTGTTGGAAAGGTGGTAAGGATGACTGGCCTGGACCGGATGGGTACTCACTATACCTTGGGACTAACACTGGGGGTAGCACTGAAAAATGACCACATAGACTACTTAGTAAGCTCATGTATACATTTATAACCAGTAGTTTTGTCTTGTTTTTACAATTCTTATCATGGGCTGTATCATGGCATTATCATAATGTTAAACATAGTTTTTATCATACTTTCTGATACAGTGGAAACTTTGATTAGTTGAAATCAATTGCAAAGAGACCTACATGTAGCATAACTATTCCGCCTATCCAAGGTTTGAGTTATCCAAGGTCATGAGTTGCATAATGTTTTTCTACTTTGATGTAGTAAATTGTATTGTCAACCTGGTAAAAATGTATGTTCAGGTTGAAGACTTGTTTTAAATTCGTATTCCTCTGCATCAATAGTGTTAGAAAAAACATTTACTACATACAATGCTTGCCAATAATTTGATTTATCAGGTTATTCTGTTCATCATGTTCATTTAACCTTTCAATCAAATTATTCACACAAAATTTGATAACACTTCGTTGAAAATAATATTTAAACTTATGAAAATGTTTGTTTTCCAATAAAAATGCACATACAAACAATAACATCTATATGTAATAAACTGTTGACACAGAGATATGTCTCGCCTATCGGTATAAAATTCTGAAAAAGACAATCTGATGGACAGCAACATGGTTTATTAATTCAGTCGCTGGACCATTATCTAGTAAGGCAACTTTATACAAAATATTGATCTATCAAACTGACTTAAGCAGAAAACTTAACATTGAAAATTGTTAATTTGTTTAGTCACTGGACCACGACCTAGGGGGCAAGGCCTCAAAATAGTCGTCAAACTGATATGTACCGATAGTAATGCAACTTAACATTAAATATCAATGATCTATCACAAGCAGTTCCTATCAAACTAACTTAAGTGGAAAACTTAACATTGATAATTGCTAATTAATTCAAAGTCGCTGGACCATGACCTAGGGTGCAGGGCCCTGAAATAGTCATCAAACTGATAGTACTGCAACTTTATATTTAATATCAATGATCTACCACAAGTAGTTCCTATCAAACTAACTTAAGCAGAAACATTGAAAATTGCTAGTTAATTCAAAGTCACTGGACCATGACCTAGGGGTCAGGGCCTTGAAATAGTCCCCAAACTCGCAGGCGAGACAAAAATGTATATGCATGCTATTCATTTCTGTACTCAATGATGGATCAGAAAAAGTAAACTCATCATGTGGATTTTACATATTTTCTATCTGTTCAAATCTTATTTCACCTGCCAAGTATTAACATAAGGGAGCTACCATTTGATTTTTATGGGGGGGCTAGGATGAAAAATTTTGTCCTGCCTTTTTTATTTTTCCCTCTATTCGGTCCTGCCTTTTTATTTTTCACTCTATTCCTTTTTTTTTTAGTTTATCCTGACTTTTTTTTTTTACATAAACTGTCATCCTGCCTTTTTTTTGCAAATAATCTCATCCTGCCTTTTTTTTTACTCAAAACTCCAGTCCTGCCTATTTTTTTCAAATTTCATCCTAGCCCCCCATAAAAATCAAATGGTAGCTCCCTAACATCAAACAGAAGCACCATGTGTTTCAAAACGAAAATTAACTTTCCGATCAATATCTAAATGCAATATTGAAGAATTTATCACAAACATATATCTGTTGTCATTCAACACTTCAAAGGACATGCTGTCAGTAAACAGAAACTATCAATTCAAAACTTATTTATTTTTTACAAAATTCCTAGCTCTAGGATACAGACAAGGACATTAATAAACTGGATCCAATACATGTCTTAATGTATAATTTTTTTTTGAAAATCTGGTGTGGTACATGTATGTACATTTAATGAGTACAATATATATAACAATTTATAATGCTATAATCCGCTAGTTCGAATTTATAAAATACATGTACATCTATGTAATGAGTACAATTTATATTTATAACATGTAATTAGTTATAACGCTATAATCCTCTAGCTTGAATTTTCTAAAATAAATTACCCAAATCAAATCAATAAAACTTCCATGATGTTATATCATCTTGATTAAAGATATTAAAAAAAAATCAAGATAGACCTGTGGGGTATCAGTTCACAACTATCTGTATGAGTGTTATATGTTGTCTATCATTTTAACACGTACAGAAAGTTTCAGACCATTTGTAATTGCAGTTCTTTAAAATTTTTACAGAACAATCTATAGAATGTTAAAATTACAATAACTTAATCAAAATATCATATTTTAAAGGCATTATAAATATATTCCATTCTTTTCAGTCAATTTCATAGAGGCTTAGATTTCACCATTTGAAATGTCAAGATATGTTTGTTAATGGTGGGGGGCACTGAAAATAAGTGTTTGGGGACCATTTATATATTGAACAAAAAATTGGCTCTAATTTTATCTTCAAATCACTTTTTTTCTATTTTCTGTTTTAGGGGGTGGGGCATATGCACCCCCCTCTAAATCCATGCCTGTGTATAATTTTAAACTAATCTTGCATTGAACTCTGATACCAAAATTTATTGCATACATGTACATGATGTACTTGATCTGTAAAATAGTTGTACCTAGTTTTAGATAAAACTTATCTGAAAACAACATCCCTGTCATAGAAATCTCATGCCAAGATTTAAGGTTCTAAATACATCTGATGCACATGTGTATTGATTGTGCACCTATTTGTTTCTTCTAATATCTCTAATTAATCTGATACACCTAACAAACACCTGACATATGCTACAAATTGATAACACAAGGTTTTTAATTACAAAATTGTATATATCGCCCGATAGTATACACAATTTTTAACCAAAATTTATAAATCAAATTAATATCTAACGAAATTAATACCTCGTAAAAGCAGGTGAAGAGTCACATGTACGTTTGTAAATAATTTCAGCCTATTATGAATCATGTATGTATCAACTTTCAAGCATATCAGTAAAACTACATACATGCATGTCTGTAACAGATATTTCACATTTGTGAATAAAAAGAGACAGTAAAATGCCTCTGTACATGTATTTAAGTGGCTTTAACATGTAATGACAATACATCATGATAACAACATGCAATGTTAATACATCTCTATAACTCGGAAGTTTATTCAAATTTTAGGAATACATTTCATGTTTTTATAATACCAAATAATTCATCAATTCTTAGAATGTTAAAGGCACTAACTACATTTGCCTTTCTAACAAGACAATTTGTCTTGCATGTGTTACAAATGTATATGGGCAACTGAAGTTGAATCAGTGAAGGTACTATGTGGCTAACTTGGAAATATGAATAAAAGATTAGGGGTATACACAGTCTTCACAAAAAAACACAAGCCAATTTTTTTGAGTTAAATGAAAACACACGACCATTTTGAAATTTTTTTTAAAAGAAGAGTTGTGAATATGCATGTAGAAATTTTGTTAAAAAAAAAAAATTTCACGCCAGTACATCAAATTGTTTTTTTGCAAAGACTGAAAACATCGATGAAAAAGCAACAGAACAAAAAAAAGAATAAACTGCTTCGCTGAGCGCAGCTGGATACGCCCGCAGAGGTCCAACCCTGAACAGCTGGGGCAAAAATGGACACAATATTCAAGCTTGATACAGGTCTGAATTTGGATTGTAATTAAATATTTGACATATTATAGGTTTCTGAATAAATGTAGTCAAAGAACTTGAAATTGGTTATATGAATTGTATTTATATTCAATTAAAGATTTCTTGCTGTTGTGCAATACACTATGCTGTTGCGCAATACTTAGTAAATCTGTTGTCAGACTATAAACAAATAAAATTTATAAAATTCTAAAGGGAGCTAACATCAATAGATATAATCAATTCACCAAAGTTTCATAAGAATTGCTGAAAGCATTTTTGAGTTATTGTCCGAAAACTGGAAAATCCCCCTTTTTTTTATGAATAAAACCCCGTAACTTGGAAAAGTAAAATCTAAAATTTATAAAAATCAAAAGGGAGCTCATGTAAATAGATATAAACAATTAACCAAAATTTCTTGCAAGTTGGTAAAAGCATTCTTGAGTTATTGTCTGAAAACTGGAAAATCCCCCCTTTTTTAATGAATAAAACCCCATAACTTGGAAATGTAAAATGTAAAATTTATAAAATTCTAAAGGGAGCTTACATCAATAGATATCAACAATTCATCAAAGTTTCATGAGAACTGCTGAAAGCATTTTTGAGTAATTGTCCGAAAACTGGAAAATCCCCCTTTTTTTAATGAATAAAACCCCATAACTCGGAAACTTAAAATCTAAAATTTATAAAAAACGAAAGGGAGCTCACGTCAATAGATATAAACAATTCACCAAAGTTTTATGAAAATTGGTTAAAGCGTTTTTGAGTTAATGTCCGACATGTTGACGATGGACGGACGGACAGAGGTATACCATAATACGTCCCGTAAACGGGCGTATAAAAAGGCAGCTAGAAGACAATATATATATTGCTAAAGTCAAGAGTTCTCAATAATTCCATGAGTCTCAGGCTGGTCTCACCATTTTCTCAGATGGCGAGTACAGTATGAATAGACCACCAGATTTTATAGACTACATTGTAATTACAGTCATCATCATAACATTAATAAAACAAGAATGTGTCCATAGTACACAGATGCTCTACTCGCACTATCATTTTCTATGTTCAGTGGACAGTGAAATTGGGGTCAAAACTCTTAATTAGGCATTAAAATTAGAAAGATCATATCATAGGGAACATGTTTACTAAGTTTCAAGTTGATTGGACTTCAATTGCAACTTCATCAAAAACTACCTTGACCAAAAACTTAAACCTGAAGCGGGACAGACAGACAGACGGACGAACGGAAGCACAGACCAGCAAATCATTATGCCACTACTACTATCGTAGATGGGGCATAAAAAACCTCAAATGTTGATATTCTACTAAATTTTTGTTGGTACTTTAATTTTACTCAAAGACTTAAATAATAAAACAAGGTTTTACCTTTAGTCTAGGAAGGATATAGTTGTCTCGTTGGTAACCTTACCACAACTCTTTTTTTTTCAAATCAATAATTTTTCTTCATAGCTGAACTTAAAAGACAAATATGGGGATTCCCTTGACCCAAAATTTGTCAATAATTAAAATGTAGTTGACAATTAATAAATGATGTCTTAATGATCTTAAGAAACCCTGGGACCTGAATCACTCACCTGGCAAACATTTTTCATGATGACATTTCCTTTCTATCTTTTTTAAAATCATTTTTTCTTGAAACAAATTCTTGATTTCATTTACTGTGTTATCAAATCATAGTGTGTGAATGTCAAGTTGCCCATCAAAGACCCTCATTTGGAATAATAAATATTTGTATTGTTATTCTGATACATGTACATGATGTATGCAGCTTTTCCAATGCATGTAATCAACCTTATCAAATAACTTACCTGGACTTTCTACACGTTTATAATGGTAAGGATTAATACACACTTCCTTCTGTTTAGCACTAAATGGAAAATCACAACATTCTAACGGCTTGAGTTCGTGGTGGCTCTGTAGATCAGGCCATCGCCATACACGGCAGTATATAACATGTGGCAGTCCTTTTCTGTGAGATACTTGGAGTCTACCATCTAAAGAACGTGGAATGGTCACACATTTACTTGATTGTCCAGGACAACTTAAAGCTTTTTCTAGATCCTCAAGAGCACCTTTCTTTTTCTTCAGTTTTTTTACAAGAGAATCGACAGCTTTTTCTGCCCATTTTTCTTCCTCATCTCCTTGTTTCCATCCTAATAATCTTTTGACAGCAGGACTTGTGAAGGAGAATAAACTATTTAGACTGGATATTGGGGAGGACATCCCTCAAATCTGAAATTATAAATTAAATCAGGTGTTAAAAAACAAAAAAAGTTACATTAATTTTCAAGGTTGCGGGAACAAAACCTCACAAAATGTCCAGTTCAATTCACAGTAATGCATAAAAAGACAGTAATAAATGCAGTACAAGTAATTAAACTGACTGGCATACATGTGGATTCATAATAACATTTACTTAAGTTACATGTATATACATTGTAATTTTTTGCATTAAGCAGATGTATCCAAATTTTTCAGATTTCGATCCAACTACCATGACTACTATTTATATGAATAGAAAATGTCAGGTGCATATCATAAGTGATACAGCAACCCAAAAACATTAAACATCAAAACTAATCTGCAGATAGCGTCTTCAACAGAAAATGAATATCTTACCAATATGTCAACCTTACCTTGTAAAAAATAAGAAGAAATGTTTATCAAAACTGAAACACATCAAACAACAATATTCTATTGCAGATTCTTTTGTCAACTCCTTCACTTAGTATGCCGAACACATCTTAGTATTACTGAGAAAAGTGTACATTGTGAAATGTTATACTGCAGTTCAAAGTCAGGGGGCACCTGTTGTGTATTACATCAAAACATTCAGGTGTACATTACATGATGTATGTTACAGGTGCACAACTATTATTAAACAGAACTTGACCTAAACATTACTTCATCTACAGGATATGGTAATTGAAACATTTAATCACAGCACTTCTCACTTTCATGCTGGTTTAACAATTCAAAATTTGAACTTTTCAGCATGCAACTTCAATTTTGAAACTTGGTTGGTTTTTTGGGGGGTGGGGGCAAATAAAAAAAAAGTTTTTTTGTAATATATATATATATATATAACAATACATAAACTGTGGTGTGACATTGTACTCTAGAATTCATTGTTAAATAAATTTATATGAAATGAGCTGACAATCATGTATAAACATTAATTAGGCTTCTATTACGTTTAAACCCTGAGAAAAGATGTCAGCAAAGAAAACGGGTCTGATATCTTAAAACATTCTCTGCAAGATATCAAAGCAGTTTTCTTCATCCAAACCCCTATTTGTACATAAAACTACTAATAAAGAATACTTAAGTTGAGATTCAGATTAAAGTCAGAGAGTCGTGTCCCCAAATAACCCCCCTCAGAGACATCCTGGCTATTTGCCTCTAGTGCAATATGGCACATCATTTCTAAGCTTAATATATATTAACTTTGTTTAATGGTAAATGCACAAAAGACTATCTGTACTCTAACACAACATGACCCTATAGTTGACAATTTTATTAGTGTTTTACATCAGTGTCACAATTCTGACAAAACTTTCTATATTTAAAAACAACTAGGTCAACAAAAATGTTAACAGACAAATGACATAATATGAGGCCATAAAACAATACTGCAAATTATAACTTTTTGCACTTACAAATATTTCTGGAAAAGTTTTAAAATATAGAAACAAAAATACAAGAAATATGTATAAATTAAGAAATGATAAAAGACAATAACTTTCAACTGAAATATTGAAATTTTATCAACACTAAAATAACAAAAATTAATGTGGATTATATTAAACAATTTCTTTCACTGTTGAAGGGGAGACATAAATATACATGAACATTCTCAATTGAATTGTTTCATATTTTTCATGTAAGGGCCTTTTATAGCCGACTATACAGTATGGGTTTTCTCATTGTTTAAGGCCGTACTGTTGCCTATAATTGCTTAAATCCACTTCATTTGAACTGAGTGGATAGTTGTATGCAATGATACATCATCTCCTTATTCTTGAAATGAAAATCTAAATACGAGATCCTCAAATACATATTATAATACTTACATACATATCATATACACTTGAATGACTTGAAGTCTGCTTACTTTTAGTGAAAATAATCCACAGAATTAACAAACAAATATATTTTACATAATATAAATCAGTAAGCAATGAAAGAAACTACTCACAGAAAGATAAAATCCCTTTGGTGTGTGGTTTCCCTTCAGGGTAATAACACATAAATAAAATATCATGTTTAAAATTTTATTGCCTCTTGCCGACTGTACTATTACACAATAAAAGTGGAAAAAACAATTTACATGCAAGACAGAAAATTTATGTTACATTTGTTATCTGTACAGGTATTCAGAGAATTGAGACGAACCATATTTAATTGCCACTCTACCTTTACCATGAAAATGGGGATGACATAATAAATTTATGAACAATCAAGAAAGTCTTAACACTGATAAAATTTGATAGATTATTTCACTGTTGAACAAACATATAATGTTCAAGTCAATTAGTACCTATAAGTCTAGACACAGGGGCTCACTATAAACTTTTATGGGACAAAAGCTGCCAAATAGAGCTAAAATATCATGATTTTCATCTAAAAAAATTAAAATAAATATTGAAAGAAAAAAATTATGGAAAAATATAGGTTTATTGTTTTTTGTTACAGAATAATGACTTTTAAGCTACACCATGTACACTAGCACTTTTTATCCTTATTTAATATGTTCAATGGTTAATGCACCAGAGTAAAAACTTACTCAACCATGATTTGACAAATTTCGTGACAATGTTTATAAACTTTCAGGTCATATAGTACTTCATATATTAGGACAATTAACAGAGTGCAATTGATGTTTATTAATATGGCGGACAAAAAAAACAACATGGTTGAAATTTCGAAACAAATAAAAAAGGTATTAAATAATAAATGTCCGCCCATGACTTTTATTGTTTACCACAATTTTAGAAAACAGTTTCGATTTATTCGTTATGAACAAATGTTTATATACATTGATATAATAGACTATTTGTTACAGTGTCTACTTTGGACCAAGATACAACACATCTGGTTTGTTGTTGAATGCAAAGTATCAAATATTTGCCCCGTTGCTGACAATTCTATTTTTAGCAATTATTTTCTTAAATGGTGCTTTTAATAAACTATATATGGAAAAACTGCTGTTGTCTAATAGGAGTGCTGTATCTATTTGTGAATGATATTGCACAGTTTATGTGCCTTTGAAGCTGACCCTGCTTAACCGAATACTCTTCTTTGTAAGATGCATCTTCCCTAATACTGTTTTACTTGTGAATGCATCTCCTCCATAACCTTTATAGATATTGACAAATTTATTTTACCAAATTGCTAGTTATATCCTAAGGATGTTTTGTCAAATTTTATCCGAAGGGATACAATGAGTCCATATGAGAGTCATTTCCCCTTCTGTTTTTGACATAAGTGATATATTAATAAATTGCATGAATGGTAAGTGGTAGAGACCTAAGGTAATCTGATTTGAGATCCTTGGTTCACAAAAATGAATTTGAGGTCAAGGTCAAAGGTCAAGTTCTCAATTTTGACTTTTCCTTCTTTTATGATCTCCTCTGAAACTTTTAAAGATACATTGTATATATATATATATAAATAATAAAAGAACTAGTGCAAAATGTTTGCTTTATTGTGATTAAGATATGATACATTTGGATTGAAATAATCCAATGACATCTTATAGAAATTATTGCCCCTGAAATGTTTTAATATAAGGTGAATTGATTATTGCTTCAACTTGGTTCATGATAAAGCCATAGGGTCTTTTGCAAAATGTTTGGTGACATATGACCATAAAAAAGTACAGCGGGAAGTGACCTTAAGAAAACTTGAAGTAGCCATTTTTGCACTTTTTTCATGGAAAAGTACCTAGAAACCATATATTTTTATAAAAGGCATCCACAAACCTATCATTTCAGACCGGAAGTGACTTCAATAAACCGAAAGTAGCTAATTATCTCCCTTATAACAGGCAAAAGTACATAGAATCCATATATTTTTGGATCAGTGTAAACACAGCAACTATATGAGACCAGAAACGACATTTTCTAAACCAGAAGTAGCTATTTATAAATTTTTATCTCCCTTATTTCAGACAAAAATTAAACGTATATAGAAACCATATTTCTTTAATCAGTATGAAGAAACCTATGAATGGACGGAAATAGTAACTTTGAGTAAACTGGAAATAGCTTCATATCAATTATTCAGAAATTTAATGTGGAAAGACCTTCAATTGTTCTCTGAACAATTGGCTTTTAATTATCTCTACATCACTTTCCCCTCAAAAATGGCTTCGCCTCATGTAACTTTATTTAGCATGTTTAGTACAATGTAACCTGATGCCACATAAACAAGGATAAAGTTTTGCATGAAAGAGACTCACTGTCATCATTTATAAAATGTTTAAAATATATGGCACAAAGAAGTTTCATTCACATACTCCACATCTCCTTTTACTTGATATCAATAAAAAGATGATAACATGATTTTCCAGTGTTAAATATGAACCATTTGAACATCCTCATTGTTGTGTGAATAAAATAAGGCGTCTTTTTAAAGGGGTCTCCTAATCACATAACTAGAACTTGAGTCCTTCACCTGGTAAATGATCATAAATATATGTCATGAACATATTAAATTGCTATTTCTCTCTAAATATTAATAGTTACATTTTAGAGACAATGACTCCAAATTAGATTGTCCAATTTTTCTGAAAAATTGTGTAGGTGATAGATATTGACCTGTAAGTCATTTTACCATGTCAGCTTTTTCTCTTACCAGATGTAAGCAAAAAACTAAAATTAAAAAAAAAAAAAAAAAAAAAAAATTCAGGGCAAATAATTCCCAAATGGGTTGTCAGTTTTTGTCTGAAATTTGATAGGCGATAGACCTTGACTTTCTGATCATTTCTACTTTTTTTGTCAATTTTGCTGTAACTGCTTTTGTTTTTGAGATATAAGCCTAAAACTGCATATTACCCCCTACAATCTATTTTTAGCATCAGTGACCATGTTTGTTGATTGAATGAATCCCTGAATACAACTTTAAAACAAGATATCCTAAGGAATGTTCAAATAAAGTTTGTTAACATTTAGCCAAGTACGGTAGTTCCAGGGATGAAGATTTAAAAAAGTTTATGTGGAGGAACACTG